TAAAGTATCTACTTGTTCAGTACAAGGAAATGCCAAAGTCTAAAATGCCATGAACAATGAACATTTGCTGAAATACAGGGAATGCCAAAAAATCTTAACAGCAGAGTGCATTCACTTTTGGGATAAATGTACAAAGTCTGGGGTCATTTACTTCAGGCAGTTATCTTTGTAGCCAGCTTACTAGGTGCACAAATTTAGTATACAAAATGGCAACAGGTTACATGCACAGCAAAGTGCAATTTCAACTTTTTCTTAAATTAATATTCTGGGAGAATGCACAAGACAATGCAAGATAGGGATGGGTTAGTTTTAAGTAAATGTTCCACTTTCTGCAGTATCTAGTCAACAGTAATATTACATTAGCACTTTCCTGTGTACATCACAATACAGTAAAAGTACTAGGTTTGGTAAAGGTCATGCATAAAGTTATGCATTCTTGCTAACATCTAGTCAACCTGATCTAATCAAACTACTGTAGATCACCTAGAATCTTACAGGGTAGAAATTTTACACATTTTAGTGCAGTAATGGTTTTAATTGTACTATTAACTTGCAAAAATCACTAACAAGATAGGCATACTGTTAAGTTTCAACCTGAAAGGGCTTTGAATCTAATTAGTGAAATTTAAGAAACAGCTTACCAGGATGGTGTTGTAATGCAAAACTATTACACAAGCAATTAAAACCCCTAATGTTTAAAACTAAATTTCCATAAACAGCCTTATTTGGAACTAATGGTCTATTACAGTTTGTAATCTTAAGTTTTTCAACTAAATTGGTGACCAAATTGTTAGGCCAAATCTGCAAATATTGCTGCTCAAACCTGAATCTAAATCATTTATGTATATATTATAAATAACAGAGGTCCCAGGACAGCCTTTAGGCACTCCACTTTTTCCCCACTGACAACCCCATTTACAGTTTCTCTTTAGTATAGCCATACCCTAATCCAACTTACGTTTATATAGCACCCACAATACCATGAGCCTATCTTTTCAATCAGACTTGTGTGGTATTGTATCAAAAGCTTTGCTAAAGTCAAGGTACACAACATTGCAAACCTTACCAGTATCAACTGCCTCGACTATGCTGGAATAAAATGATAGCAAATTTGTTAAACATGAGCGGTCATTTGTAAAACCATGTTGCGAATCATTTAATTTATGTTTTTCGAGATGAAGATCAATGGTATTTGCAATTATCGATTCAAGTAACTATTGTGGGGAAACAGGCTAATTGGCTGATAGTTTGACCCAAGTGATCTCTCCTTTCTTAAACACTGGTACCATATTAGCAACCTTCCACAACTCGCTGCTCCTCTTTGCATTCTTTAGCACCCTGGCAAACTTCATCTGGCCCTGGGGATTGTTTGGTTTGACTTTCACCATTTGTTTAATAACATCCTCCCTGGTAACTGCTGAACTAGTCAACCTATCCTTGTCCCCATCCACAAACTTGTTTAGCTGAAGGCATGGTGTTAAGTTCCTCTTTAGTAAATAGAGAAAATGTTTATTCAAAATATTACTGAAATTTCTTTGTCATTATCCATTATCTGACCTATCAGTTTCTAATTGACCTAGCCTCTAATCTTAGCATTGAGCATTTACCCATGCTCAAAATGCATGGGTAAGGGGAAGGGAAGGGAATTCAAGGGAAAGCGCCAAGCCATTACGACGATATAGCACTGGGAAGGTGTCAGGATAAGGATTTGGGATGGGAAGGGGAGAAGGAATGGTGCCCAACCACTTGGATGGTCGGGGATTGAACGCAGACCTGCATGAAGCGAGACTGTCGCTCTACCATCCAACCCAAGTGCATGGGTAAATGACAATGCATTTTGCCTAAAACAAGTAAACTGGTAAAATAGGTTTTGGGTCTACCATTTCCAAGTACCATTAACTAATGGAAATATAAGATTTACAATTTGCACTCAAATTATGCATTAACCAACTAGATATGGGCCAACACTGGATTTAAGACTATACAAGATAGATCATACGGTCAAATTTACAATTTGGAAAGATGTTTGTACAATTTTACCACAACTCTTAACTTACCATATTCATTTAAAATTCATGGCCAAAGCTACCAGGGGGAGAAAAATCACATGCAATAACCATACCTTTAACAGGGTATGAACGTTTTGAAGTTTTATTAAAAGAACCTGCAGAAAGCCTACTGGATTATGCAACTATACTCCAAAAAAAACAATCCCACACCTCTATGCAACCTAGTATCCTCTAACAGCTCTGCTTTGAGCTCTGGGAGTTTTTATACTTCCAGCTCAGTGAGGCCAGGCTTGACGCCCTATTTCTAAACTAGTTTACCCAGGTTGCTTCCTAATCAACTCATTACACTTAACTATTACATTCCACTATGCCAACATGCCCTTGTTAATGTCCTGTTGCCCATTATTATACCCATTATTATACCCATAATTTATACACTCATTCCCAAACTACTAGACTGCTTTAAACATTAACTTTTGAATCATTGGGTTCAATTTCAAACTTCATGCCTTGTGTTGGTTCCAAGGACTGACAAGCCACATCACAATACTGTACCTTCCAAAGAATTTGAACCTTACCCAACCAACCAAAGTAAATGGGCTTTATCACAAAAGTTGTCAAATCATTTATGACTACCATACCGTATTAAAACAACCCAGCCAAAGTGAATACAGGTTATGGAAGTCATCATGAAAGTGACAATCTTGTAAGATTATAGCACTTTTGAAGTAATTAGGACAATGAGCTGGGATTTAATGGAGCAAAGAATTTGTGCCCATCAACTTTGGCCATTAGGAATTTAACACCGACCTACAAGCAGCAAGACAGCCGTTTCTTGCCACAACTTTCTAGTACCCTGAAAATCCCGGCAACTTTCACATGCCACAAACCTTAAATCTTCAGCCACATGTGTCATTGCATATTAGGGGGAGGGGGGGGGGGGGGAATCAAATGGTACAAAATTGTTCACAATTTTAGGCTAACAAGCATAACTAAACTAACAATATAGTTTGATTAAGAGTAAAATTTTTACCAAACCCACCATACAAGGTTATAAATATACTACAGATCAGTTACAAATGATAACCCACTTAATTTTTATGCAATATCCTTAATCTAACTTTATTCATAATTTTAAATTCATCATTAAGGTCTGACTACACCCTTCTGCAGTACTACCGACGTCACTGATGAGCATTTTGGTCTTTGGGAGATATACCAGGCACGTCTGAGTAATACTTAATGTTACAACATTAAGAGGCACAGGGAGGAGGCCGCAGGGAGCTGTAGGAAGTGCAGGGAGAAGGGCAAGGAAGAGTGCAGGGAGAGGTGCAGGGAGGGCACGGAGCAGTGCAGGGAGAAGCACAGGGAGAAGCGCAGAGAAGGAACAGGGAGAAGTGCAGGGAGGGCTGCAGGGAGGGCTGCAGGGAGGGCTGCAGGGAGGGCAGCAGGGAGGGCTGCAGGGAGGGCAGCAGGGAGGGCCGCAGGAAGGAGTAGAGGGAGGGCCGCAGGTAGTAGAGGGAGGGCCACGGAGTACAGCGAGAGCCACAGGGATGGGTACAGGAAGGGCGGCAGGGATGAGTACAAGGATGGGTACAGGAAGGGTGGCAGGGAGAGCCACAGGGATGGGTACAGGAAGGGTGGCAGGGACGAGTACAAGGATGGGTACAGGAAGGGTGGCAGGGAGAGCCACAGGGATGGGTACAGGAAGGGTGGCAGGGAGAGCCACAGGGATGGGTACAGGAAGGGTGGCAGGGAGAGCCACAGGGATGGGTACAGGAAGGGTGGCAGGGAGAGCCACTGGGAGGGCAGCAGGGACGAGTACAAGGATGGGTACAGGAAGGGTGGCAGGGAGAGCCACAGGGATGGGTACAGGAAGGGCGGCAGGGAGAGCCACTGGGAGGGAAGCAGGGATGAGTACAAGGATGGGTACAGGGTGGCAGGGAGTACAGGGAGAGGTACTGGAAGGAGTACAGGGATGGGTACAGGGAGTACAGTAAGGGCGGCAGGGAGAGCCACAGGGGGGCGGCAGGGAGTACAGGGAGAGGTACGGGAAGGAGTACAAGGATGAGTACAGTAAGGGCGGCAGGGAATAATGGGAGGAGTACAGGGAGAGCCACAAGGGGGGGCGGCAGGGAGTACAGGGAGAGGTGCAGGGAGAGGTACTGGAAGGAGTACAAGGATGAGTACAGTAAGGGCAGCAGGGAGAGCCACAGGGGGTACAGGGAGGAGTACAGGGGGAGGTACTGGAAGGAGTACAGGGATGGGTACAGGGAGGAGTACAGTAAGGGCGGCAGGGCAAGCCACAGGGGGGAGCGGCAGAGAGTACAGGGAGGAGTACAGGGAGAGGTACTGGAAGGAGTACAGGGATGGGTACAGGGATGAGTACAGTAAGGGCGGCAGGGAGAGCCACAAGGGGGGCGGCAGGGAGTACAGGGATGGGTACAGGGAGTACAGTAAGGGCGGCAGGGAGAGCCACAAGGGGGAGGGCGGCAGGGAATAATGGGAGTACAGGGAGAGCCACAGGGAGGGTGGCAGGGAGGAGTACAGGGAGGGCGGCAGGGAGGAGCACAGGGAGAGGTGCAGAGGGCCGCAGGGAGAGTACAGGGAGAACCACAGGGAGGGCCGCAGGGAGAGTACAGGGAGGGCGAGGCGTCAGCTGTGGCGGGTCATGGCGGCCGCCTCCATCCACCAGTCACATGCTTCCCTCCCACACCCACCCTCCTCCCCCCTCCCCGCCACGCCCACACCCCCAATAACACCCCCAACACACCACCCGCCCCCCACAACACCCCCAACAGCAGCCCCAGCCCCCAGGAAATACCCCCAAAGCATCTTAAGACAATTCTAGAATACCGGCACCGACTCGGCCATCGCCGGCTGCCTCCCTCACCACACCTATATCTCTCCTTACGCCTCTAACTCCTTACACACACTAGCAAACCAGCCAGAGACAAGCTCCTAAGAACAAAGCCAAGTGTGTGGTCTTACCTGTTTTATAAAATAGGTGCTATATACACAAATATAAAGTATATCCCAGGGGTAGAGTGACCCACTCACTACCAAGCCCTCTTGACGACTGGAATCTTCCCGGTCTACGGGGCTCTCATTGGTCGCCCACGGTCTCCTCCCGTCACGCGAGCTTCTCACTAAACTTTCACTTCTCACACTATATATATATATAATACCACCTTTTAATCAATCTATTTGACCTCCATTTATTACTATTTTATTCTTTTAATCACATAATTATTATCTTACATTTTCTAATAGACTAATTTCTACGTTTACTCGTTACGGCATGGTACTCGGTAATGAATTTAAAAGTAATTATTTATAGCAACCTTAAACAAATATGGTAAATACTCAAATACACATTATAGATATTAGCTTTCTATATTAAAATATTTACATATAAGATATGTATATAAAACGAGGGTGTGGGTGCGCATGCGTATTGAGGAGCGGGAGATTTGCTTCTGAGAATGGCAACTATTTTCTGGTCTCTAAACTCTCAACCATTTGTTCTACGCTCTATCTTTTCAAACGATATATAATACTAGAAATATTAAATTTATTTTGTATATAGATGGATATTTTATTAGTAAATATTCTCATAAAATCCTTGGGTTGGACAGAAATGGTTGGATGGCAACTTTGCCTATTGCCTGATGACTCTGTTCACCTATAGCAGTAGAGTAGGTACTTTCAGAGTTAGGAAACTGTTGTGGCTGTGGGGAAGGTCATAAGAATTTAGCCTGCAGGATTTCGATAAATCTACCAAGCTTCTTAATTATCCCCAACTATGTGTGAAACACACACATTACATTATATATATCTGCCCGAAACGCTGTGCGTAATAGTGGCTTTAGGCATTGTATGTACTAGCTCTATCTATAAATCTATCAATTTTTGTAAAACCTCTTGTATGTATGTACCTTACCTGAATAAACATTTATTTATTATTTATTTATATTTTTTATATATTTATATATACACAGTATAAGGGAATCAATATATACTGAAGTGCAGCTTTATTCATTTTGCTATTTTTTTTTTTAATTTTCATTTTTACATATGACTGAGTTAGTAAAATAATGTCTACGGTAAAGTAACCTCTATAGACCTGTATATATTTGTTAATTACCACTCACGCACCTAAGAGCTTCCAGGATTGATTGCTTCTATAAAAATTAGAAAGACGGATATATTTGCAATATTTATAATTTAACAAGTGCTTATAAGAAGCAAATGCATTAATATAGTATATCCCTTCACTTTAAAGAGAGTATAAATTAATGCCATATATGTTGCCCGAAACGCTATGCTTACTAGTGGCTTTAGGTATTGTATGTACTACCTCTATCTTTAAATCTAACATTGTTTGTACTGTAACGCTGCAACTATGTATGTACTGTTCCTAAATAAATTATTATTATTATTATTATATGCATGCTAGTACTTGTGCAGAATAATATGCCTTAACCTAGTCACCAAAATCTGCAATAGAATAACATATTGTACTTTCTGGTAAATAAATGAATAAATTTATTTCATTAGCATGCAATTTACTGACCACAGGGACTTATTCCAAACAATGGTTTGGAAACGTTTGTTAATTTATGGAACAAATGTAACATAGACGTGGAATTGCTGGATTCTTTTAAGCGTAGGTTAGACATATATATTAATGAGTTGGGATGGATATAGATAATACCTGCCTCTTATGGGCCAATAAGGCTTTCTGCGGTTTTTCTATATTCATATGTTCTAACGATAAACAGGAGACAGGGTTGGACAAATTGTATTTTCTTTTATTGATTTATAACGTTAGTTTCTGGTAACAACAAACACACCTTATGATCAATATTCTCCAAATTGCTCAGTATTTTAGAAGTTTTAATGAGATCAGCCTTGTCATGTCTGGTTTGCAGTGTTGTTAGACCTGTGGCCCTCAACCGGGCCTAGTATAAGAAAGAGGCAACATATTTCTGGAATGATTTTTGCCGGCCCGTGTTGAACTTTCTCCTAAGCAGGCGATCTGTCTTTCTAAAAACTAGTGGCTTTACAAGATTGTAATTACTATACTATGTATCCTCACAATCCCAATGTACCTTCTTGTATATATATAAATAAATAAATAAATAAAAATGAGGGTCTCATGTTTGAAATCTTGCTAGTAATCCATCTTATTCTTATAAAGAAGGCCGGAAGTCATGCCCCTTTACATTTAATACGTGAGTGGTTGTTAGCAATTAATACGTTTACCCATCTGAAGCACACAGAAGCCGCTATATAGGCATTTGTATAATCTTTGTAAAATGTAAATCTTTGTAAAATACCGTGTTAGCTTTGCATTATTTTCCAAATATTGACGTATATGATGTCACTATAGTAGGTCGTTTATATAGATTATATAAATAACAAGAGGTGTAGTATAGTGTCTTGTGGGACCCCTCTCTCCCTCTTCTCGTTAGGCTATCACATCCTTTAAGAATTGGGCCGGGTGTTCTGTAACGTACTCCTGTACCCAGATCACTGACTCCTGTTATCTCTGCTTGTCTCGCTATATTTTGTATTAGCCGAGGACGTTTCTTTATGTATTTTCTGAATAGGAGTGTCACTGGCAGACACAGTTCATAGACTGGGCCCCATTAATTTGCATGGAGTATTTACACAGATTTAGCCTGACTCTGGGGATATCAAATAGATATTTATTTCTGGTGTGGTACTCATGGGTTCTATTACACCTATCAAGGAAAAGTTTCAGATCAAGATTAGCATTTAAGAACAAGGGTTTTGTACATGTAGATAGCACACGAGAATGTGTAGAGTGAGTATATGTTTAGCATGTTGAGGGACTTGAACAGAGGGGCTGTGAGTTAGGTTCTTTTAATCGTCTTATACAATTTAACGAATAAAAAGGTTTTCGTGCCTTAACATCTTTATAGTATGATAATCACGACATATTAGCATTAAAATCAGTGTGCAATTCCGGTTTTCCGCCTTCTCACTTGTTCCCTTGTAACTTGTCACTCACTTGTAACACTTATATGCTGTGCTTCCTATTTTAACCTTCTATGTTAAATGGGATTCTTGTATTGTGATTTGTGTATTTGTACTCACTGAATTAGTGCGCCCCTTGAGGGACTTGAAGTAGAGGGGGGGGGGGGTAGAAATAGCCTAAGCTACTCTATCCCTTTGAGATGTATTTTTTTATTGTCTCAATAAACATACTTGAACTTGAAGTGGACTTTAATGTTTTTTCGGCAGCTTTATTTCCTTAGTTTCCGAGCTGTTTTCTTTACCGTGTATGTTGTAATAAACTATTCCTATATTTACAGTTGTTTCTCCCTGTGAAGATTATTAAACAATGGTGATTATAAGGGCGCGGAAGTTCAGCCTGGCCAGGGCCGCCAGCAGCCCTTGGGCCCGCCCCGGCAGCTCCCAGTCTTTAATTTGGCACCTTTGTGGCACCTTGGTATAAGCCTAACATGTATATATACACTGGCTGCCTGTCCCCCTACACAATGATTTATTATTACCTATTATTTTATCAGACAACACAGCAGTTGCAACATCAGGATCTGCGGGTTGGTACAAGAATTCAACCAACTACGAACCACTTAGTTTGATGAACGGGGGCAGTAGAACAACAGAAGTGCACTTACATCGCATCAGGCTTGGATACCCATGTGCATGGGAAATAGGCTTACAGGTTCCGGAAGATGAGAGGAAATGTCAACACTGTGGAGAAATGCCCGACAGACCACTGGAACATTATCTAACACAGTGCACAGTTACAAACCCATTCAGATTTCAACTTAGATTCAACAGAGCAGAAGTTGTTAAACACATATGGCAAAATCTTACTGAAGCGACCATACGAGTCATAAATACTCATACTCCGCCCAAGTAAAACAGAAACAAGCAACACTTAGTGGGCCAGACAGAGGCTTAGGGCCCGCGCAGGAATATCCCAGCAAAAAAAAAACAAAAAAAAAATAATTTAAATATTAAATAAAATAATGTATTTAATTATTATAGTAAGTACTTAATAATTTAATAATAAGTAGTAAGTACATAAAAATGATTCAAAAGTACAGTTTAGTCATAGGAGATTCCTAGATTGGAATTCACTACCAAATTTCAATATATCCAAGTATTTTTAGTGTGAAAGGCTGTTATTATATGCATAAATTGTTGTTTTAATAATATTACGCTTAACCACTTGGGCTGGATTGAGCGACGGTCTCGTTTCCTACAGGTCCGCGTTCAATCCCCGACCGCCCAAGAGGTTGGGCACCATTCCTTTCCCCCGTTCCATCCCAAATCCGTATCCTGATCCCTTCCGAGTGCTATATAGTCGTAATGGCTTGGCGCTTTCACTTGATAGTTCCCCCATCCCCTTGAATAATATTACGAGAGCAGTATTTGCGGGCTATTCATGCCCGTGCCACCTCTTGGGTGGCTTAATCTTCATCAATCGAGAGCAGTACGTCATAACCAGACGTTATATGATGATATCCTCAACAGTTGATAAATAAAAGTAATTGCGGAACTCCAGTTATCTAATACTTATCATAAATGGAATAAAACCGTATCATAAGCCAAGGGATTTGTAGATCAGTGTTTAAAGGGAATTCAGAAGTAATAATGATACAGCTGATGCCATCTGTCGGCAGAAGAGAACACTATCCACTGGCTGGTCAACAGTGCCCATAAGATACAGCTTACGCCATCTGTTGACATCAAATTACACTTATAACAAATTTCTCCACAAAATACAACTAACGCCATCTGTTGCTTTTCCAACGCACTATAAATAGCCAAACAGCAACCCATAAGGCGGGTTGTTGTGCTCGGGTAGGAGGTTCCAAGCTCCGCCCACAAGATGGGTATGGGGTGCATAATCAATGGCATATTATTGGTAGAAACTCTTTGTTGACATTCACACAACAGCCAATCACAGGAAGGGATCAGCTATAGGTGCCATCCACTTAGTAAATCATCTTAGTTCAGCCCGCCAGTTTTGCTTATGGAATTCTGTTTTAACTTTAATTTACCCAAAAAAGTAAAGTGTTGATTATTTAAAGTGTTAATAAAGTGATAATTAAATATTGCATTATATAACAGATGTTATATAAAAATGGGCTGTGGCTACCTAACTTGTGACGTCATTATTGTGGGTTGCCTTGACACAAATAATGATACACTGCTCTGCCCTCTAATTCGAGTAAATTATTCAGTTAGATGGAGATTTCTGTCAGGTGCAAAACATAAACTGTTGTTCTTTTTCACAACAACCGTGTTGTTGTGCACAAGGACCTATTTCTAAGTTTAAATTTTATTCATAAAAGAGTGTTGGTATTCCTCGCAACAGCCAATCACAGGAAGGTATTTCTGGAAGCTCAGCCTCCTTATGGACTCAGCACATCGCTCTAGCTCATGGCTCTCGTTTCATCTCTTGTATATACAAACTATGACTTTTTTCGATTACTGTTATAATTAATAATATGAGATGTAAAAGTTTTTACACAAAATGGCTAAATTCTGCCATTAAATGGACTTTGTCTGGTATACATACAAACATACACCAATTTATTACCATTCATCCATTATTAATTTCAAATGTAATGTATACTGTCTAGTTTTTTTCCTCTCGCCATTACTTGGTGCAATATTTGAAAGTTGTCTATTCATTTATCGATCTATCTGTTATCTTGTATTTATATTTACAAGTTTCTGTGCTTGGAAGAAAACTCTGCATTGAATTGGGACTAATTTATTAAATAATATTATTTAGTATTAATTAATTAATATTTACAATTATTTATAGCTTAGTTACTTTCATGTATTCGCAATCGTACATTCTTAACATTAATAGCCCAAATTAGCACATATCTTGCTTTTAAATTAGCCCAAAAAGTAGCAAGTAGCTAAATTAAAAATTTGCGAGCGCGGGGCTCTCAAAAGTAGCCCAATTCGCTATTTGTAGCCCACTCCATTGGAACTAAGCTAAATAATATATTTCCCAATTCGGAGCATTTGCTCTGGAGAAAATTTATCATAATAATAACCACATAAATTAACATGTGAAAATGGCCAGGAAACAATATAATTGCCTTAATTATAAGTTGAGGCAGTCGTGCCTAAAGACTTGAGTAGCGTCGTATCCCACATGTAAGCAAAGCCACGTTGGGAGGATCACCTGGAAGGTCGCCTTAACAATGCCTAAGTCTAAGCGGGATAAGAAAAGTGAGTACTTGTTATAGCTGCTATGGTCTATAGGAAGAGGGAAGAAGCTTTCCATCAGTATATATATACGTGTGAAACTACTGCTGGAATTTTGCGTTATTCAGATGTGTCTTTGGGTTTGCAAAACCTATGACCGACCCTGGGCCGGATTTAGACCTGGGGAAGCTCTTAAGCTATGGCAAGCTGAAGCTGTAAGCTATGGCAAGCTGAAGCTCTTAGCTATGGCAAGCTGAAGCTCTAAGCTACGACAAGCTGAAGCTGTAAGCTATGGCAAGCTGAAGCTGTAAACTATGGCAAGCTGAAGCTGTAAGCTATGGCAAGCTGAAGCTCTAAACCATGGCAAGCTGAAGCTGTAAACTATGGCAAGCTGAAGCTGTAAGCTATGGCAAGCTGAAGCTCTAAGCTATGGCAAGCTGAAGCTCTAAGCTATGGCAAGCTGAAGCTCTAAGCTATGGCAAGCTGAAGCTCTAAGCTATGGCAAGCTGAAGCTCTAAGCAATGGCAAGCTGAAGCTCTAAGCCATGGCAAGCTGAAGCTGTAAGCTATGGCAAGTTGAAGCTCTAAGCAATGGCAAGCTGAAGCTCTAAGCCATGGCAAGCTGAAGCTGTAAGCTATGGCAAGCTGAAGCTCTAAGCTATGGCAAGCTGAAGCTCTAAGCTATGGCAAGGTGAAGCTCTAAGCTATGGCAAGCTGAAGCTCTAAGCAATGGCAAGCTGAAGCTCCAAGCTATGACAAGCTGAAGCTCTAAGCTATTGTTAACACTATATGTTTGTGTAAAAGCTGAGCTTGGCAAGAATGCTGCCAAGATTCATAAATACATTCAAGATTTGGGAAAGGTTGCTTTTTTCTAATTTAAACAAAAAAATATGCCTTTAATTATTAAGTTTGAAGACATGCAAATAGGAAAATAATGTAATTTTGTAAATTATAACGATATAATAAATAAATAAATAATGGCAAATAACATGGAAAGTCATGTCACAATAGGTATAAAATGCCTACCAAACAACAACCAAGTATAATTAACTCATATATGAATTGATATTAAAACATAATTATAAAATAACAATCCTACAAATGTGTAAATAATTAGTTTTTAATAATTGTCAAATTTGTTAATGTTAATTGTTGATTATTTAATTAATTAGGGTAAATTATTACTAAAATATAAATTGTAATAAAACTAAAATGGAAAAAAATATCTAAGATTTTTGAGAGACCCCATCAGACTGTGAGGACCTAAGCTGTAGCTTGTTTGGGTCCCGGTAGTACAGTCGGGTTCGTTCTCGACACACAATCGAGAATTCCGGGTTCGATTCCCAGGCAGGACAGAAGTGGTTGGGCACATTTCCTTTCACCTAGCAGCAAGTAGGTACAGTACTGTACTCAGGAGTTTGTCGGCTTGTTGTGGGGTACATCGTAGGTGGGGTCAGTAATTCGTCCCAGGCGAGGGGGGGGGGTGGAACTCGATAAAAGCCTAATGTGCATGAATACACTCTAGCTTCCTGTCCCCTGACACTGAATTATTTTATAAATCCAGCCCTGGATTTAGGCATATACTAAATCCAGGACATATTATCTCCCTCACTCCTACACGATAACAAAACATCACTTTCGTTTACTTTATATGTAATTATTTCATATATTTAATTATGCTTTCTTTCTTTATCTTTTTTTATATTACATTACTATAAGTTTAATATGTTGTCACAGGAAATAGGTATGAATATACAGTATATAATAAAATAATATCTTGAAAGACATGTCTAGAGTGAAAGCTGAGAAACTAAGACAGACTATGAAGTACAGTATTATGGCACAGTAGATTTCCTAAAAAAAACTTAAACCCTTAGTAGAAGAAATCAAACACCTCATTTCTATAGTAATTCATCAATAGGATGTGATATTATCCATTACCCATAAATGGTGTTGATTAATGTACAATACAAATGTTTTATTTATATATTTCCCTCATTGCTTTTTATTACAGTTTCTTTGACTCGGACAAAGAAGAAAGGACTGGAATCTAAGCAAAATCTAGTGGAAGAGATACGTAAATGCATCGACTCTTATGCCCGCATATTTGTCTTCTCTGCGCAGCATATTAAAACAGACAAGTTAAAGGATATACGCCTTGAATGGGGACACAGCAGGTTGGTTGCAATAGTCTTTTTTTTTTAATCTTTTAAATATTGTTTACATGATTTCTCATTATGTGTAGGGCAATGAGCATCAGAAGCAGCTCATATTATACCCAGCATAATTAAATGGTACTTTATATGATATACAGTGGTATATCATGAGGTAGTGGTGAGATCTTAGGGCTTATTACAATTAGTGTGGTACTATTATGTTTTGTGTTCATGCTTGCACTTTTATGTACTTACAGTACTCTGTTGTTCCTTCTATTGTATACTGTATCATGCTTGTGGCATAAGATTATCTTGGGCATACCTCTTCACTTTTGGGTATCTGGTGCGACACTCGATTTCCTCTCTTTTTGATTGAATGGAGGCAGACACAACCTCCTTCCTCTGGATGTACAAGACATTTGGCTGTCTTCCAGTGAACCTCTTCACCTCTACATTAAATTATCGGCTTTTGGCAAATGTGGCTCCATTTCCCACTTGGGATGCAGTGGCATTGGCTGCCTTCTACCTTTTGGTCTTTCTACATATTCCTCCAGTCTAAGTGTTAGCAACATTCAGTCTCTTTGGAATATCTCTTTGTTAGAGCCAGATGACACCAGGATTAGGTGATCAGTAATTGAATCTCAGCCTCTCCCTGACTAGTTGGTTGAATAATGGAGATAGAAACTATATTTGAAATCAGAATTGGGTATCTGGTTAAATTTGGTAACTAGCCTTGGCTCCATCCCTAGGTTCCAGTCTGTAAATACCCTTGTATAGGAGCACTAGTGGCACTAGGATGTAAACCATCGAAAGACAGAGAATGATATCCGATTGGAAGGCCTGACAGCTGAGTGGACAACGCTTCGGATTCATAGTCCTGAGGTTCCGAGGTCGATCCCCGGTGGAGGCGGAAACAAATGGGCAGAGTTTCTTTCACCCTGATGCCTCTGTTACCTAGCAGTAAATAAGTACCTGGGAGTTAGACAGCTACTATGGGCTGCTTCCTGGGATTGTATAACAAAAAAGGAGGCTTGGTCGAGGACTGGGCCGCTAAGCCCCAAAATCATCTCAAGAGAACCGCAAGATAACCTGGAACAGGCAGCCAGTTCTCCAAACCTAGCCTCCCTGAGCTGAAGTCAATTTTGGACAAGCAATCTGATTGACTTGCCTTCTTGTGTGAGCAGTATTTTTTTATTACTGTACTGTAATATTTTCTGGGGAAGTCCCGGTGGCTCCCTGCAGCTAACATCTTCAATGTGTGTATTGCCTAGCAGATGCCATCAGTCTCAGAGTTTTCCAACCTACCTGGGACTATCTTGAGGTTATTTTGAGATTTCATGTCTTAGTGTCCTCGTGGCCCAGTCCTCAATCAGGCCTCCTTTTTGTCACACACCCTATTCCCGGGCAGGACAGAAATGGTTGGGTGCATTTCCTTTCACCGAGGCCTCTGTTCACCTATCAGCAAGTAGGTACTCAGGAGTTAGCTTGTTGTGGGGTGCTCTTGGGGTGTTGGGGTGTCAGGTGATCTCTTAACCCTTGATGATCAGCTGTAGGAAAATCCGTGATGGACAGCATTCTATGACATAATATGTTCATAAATTTTAGATATACAGTATTGCTCCTTCATAGATAGTTTCCATATTTTCATATGTAAAAGTAATAAATGTGTAGTAAATGTGCATTTTGTTTAATTTCATGCCATGCTTTAAATTGTAATTTTTTTCCAGAGTGTGACCAACACTTGCTCGTGACTGGTGACTGAACCTTACTCTTTTATCTTTTCCAGTCAATCATCGCTAGCTAATGTGTGTCATTTATTCACTGGCAGGTTATTCCTATACAATCTGCAGTGTATATATTCTGTAATTGCTGATATTTTAGTTTAAGGCTCTTGCTGTGATCATTGAAAATTAATACGTTTAGGTTTTTTATTGATAAAAATCATAGAAATTATTCATTTCAGATTTTTCCTTGGCAAAAATAAAGTAATGGCCTTGGCTTTGGGTCGCACACCAGAGGAAGAAATTTCAGACAATCTTCACAAAGTTTCTCAGAAGCTTATTGGGCAGTGTGGACTTCTGTTTACAAATTCTACAAAGGAGGAAGTTCTTGAGTAAGTATTTTGCAAGCTATACCAGATGTGAAACTAGTTGTTGTTTACAAATTTAATGTGTCAGCTAGTTAGCAAGCTGAGAATTAAATAATTGAATGTATCAGCCCCAGTTAGTAAGTATGAGAGTAAAATAATTGAATTTTGAAAGTTACTACTGATCCTTGCTTTCTTTTATCATTCATTTATAATTGCTTACCTTTAAATTTTTTTTTTATAGACTTAAAATTGATGAGGTAAAATACAGACTGTGCTGCAATACTGTACACGATTGTATTATTGTATTGTTTGTACTCGGCTACTTCTTCAGTGAATAAAATAATCACTAGGCTGCTATTAACCCAGTGCTGTGAATAGTGCTAATTTATGTTTTTTATAGATAGTAATAGACAGTGGCAGATGTCCGTAAGTGATGGAACACGTGGTAATAACAGTAGGTATAATGTTCTTATAAATGTTTGCAGCCAGCAATAATAGATAGTGAGCAAGTCATACCATTATTCCTCTTGTGTTGCTCCCTGGGTCACACCAATAATGAAGGCAATACACACAGCCTGCACAACACAAATACTTAGTACTTGTATGTTTGATAATTCTGAATTACCAAACAAAACTCTTTTAAGTTAGTCACCCACTAATTCTACTATCCCAACCACCACTACCAGGTGGCATTCCAACCATCCTGATGACAAGGGGACGAGGCCACTTCACTCTTGTGCCTCGGTGTTCCCTGCTGACATTAAAAAGAGGAATTAGGGTGGGAATGGTGTGCTACCCAGGAAGGGGCATTTCATTTCTTTCAGCCCTTTATTTTTTGGACTAGCTTTTTCCTCACAGTGATTCAGAGGGACTAAAATTATTGTATATTAAAAGTGTGGAAGGTGACTTTACCATGACAGATGAATGGATCCAGACATGTGTGACATCATACACCAGGTGGACAACGCACGGGGGTAAGGGGTGGGTTGTGGCCCCATGAGTCTGGGTTCGATTCCCGGCTGAGGCAGGAACAAATGGGTCGAGTTTCTTTCACCTGAGGCCCCTGTTTGCCTATCAGTAAAAAGGTACCTTGGAGCTAGACAGATGCTATGGGCTGCATCCTGGGAATGTGTGTGTTTTAGAAAAATATATGTAATAGATATGATAGAGGAAAATTAGTCAGGATTCAGTACATTAGACAAATTACAGCTGGAAGGTCAGGGGCCCAAGAGCTAACAGCTCGATTCTGCAGGCACAAATAGTAAATACAAATAGGAAGATATGAGCTTGGTGGCCAAGTGCCACCAGCAAGCATGAGGCAGGTCTGGGAGGTAGCAGATTGCTAGCACCTTGTTAGAATGCTAGAAGCCCCCTAGTCCTTACACTGGCTATAGATATAAAGATAAGGAAGCTGCAATTTCATCCCCCCCCAGCAAATGATATTTGAAAGAGCCAGAACAGAGTATCAGAATGAGCCCTCCCTTGTAACCTATAAATAATGCCTCATTACCAAAGAGTATAATGAACACCAGATTTTACTAATCATGCCTCTGCCACTAATAGCCTATGACTGAACACCGATTCTAATTTAAGACAAAAAAGCAGGTTGAGTATGAAGCCTTAGTAAACGATCTCCTGAACTGAGAGACAATGAACCATGCTTTTAGAGGAGAGATCACAAGCCTGAGAATAGCATGCAAGTCTTATTACCAATGACTCCTAGTACCTGAAGGCAAGGCTAAGGAATCCAGCTGTAAATGGATTTAATAATGGGGAGACCCTGAAGTGGTCATAAGACAAAAACTCATATCCAATGTAATGAATGTGACCAGGTCAGCTCAGCCTCTAGGGAAGTGAGATGGTCATAAATACAAAAATGTAATACTTAAAAAAAGGGCAGTGCATAGGCTAAATCTAACTTGGTGTGCCCCAACTTTACAGCATTTTGGAGGCATCACCTGAGCTGCCAATGAAGCATTATTCCATTTTCCTTAATATTTTATGATTGCTAGTGTAATATTGATGAACTTACCTCAGGGTACAGTCCTTGCACCACTGCTTTTCCTTATTCTCATATCAGATATAGACAAAAATACAAGTCACAGCTTCGTATCATCCTTTGCAGATGACACAAAAATCAGTATGAAAATTACCTCGGCTGAGGACATTGAAAAACTTCAAGCTGATATTAATAAAGTTTTCGACTGGGCATCAGAAAATAACATGATGTTTAACAGTGATAAATTCCAGGTACTCAGGTACGGTAAAAATGAGGACCTTAAACATAATACAGAGTACAAAACACAATCAAATGTACCCATAGTAGGAAAACAGCATGTAAAGGATTTGGGAATAATAATGTCGGACGACCTAACGTTTAAGGAGCATAACCAAGCAATATTGCGACAGCCAGAAAAATGATAGGATGGATTACGAGAACTTTCAAATCCAGGGATCCCATCACAATGGTTGTACTCTTCAAGGCACTTGTGTTGTCCCGTCTTGAGTACTGCTCAGTACTCACTTCCCCGAAGATTGTTTTTTTCATCATTTGGAAGTACATTATAAAAGAGGGTAAGTGTGCCAATCAGTAATTAGTTTTAAGTTCTCATTGAGAGTCAAACCAATTTTATTTAAAAATTTTGTATTGTGGTATAATGAATTAGAGGGCAGTATTTAATACCGTATAAATTTCCTCAGTTATTTTGAGAACAAGAAGTTCCCCGTCCATCCACATGCTGGCGACTTGGCAGCAGAGACGGTGGAATTAAAACAGGGACTACTAGAACAATTTTCCCATTCACTAGAGCCACATCTTAGGAAACTAGGGCTCCCTACTCGGCTGCAGCGTGGGATACCCGAGCTTTTACAAGACTATACAGTTTGTGTCAAAGGAAAACCCTTGAGTCCTGCACAAGCTAGTGTTTTGGTAAGAATTACAAAATTTTTTCAGTTCTAATAATATTTTGTATATTGAAAATATGATGGGTGAAAATGTTATCCCATAAATAAATGATATTAGCTGTAGATTCGAAGATATCTGCAGTACAGTAATACAGTACTGTATGGTACATGTTACTAATACACTTTCTGAAGTTTGCTAGCATAGCATAAACCTGTAACATTGTCCGTTATGTGGTCTTCTGGTGGCAACTTACTGCCCAGAATCACATCTGGATCCTTGTTGGAGGTTTTTGGTATCTTTTTCACATACCTTATAGGTTAAGTGTGGCCTGTTCACCTCTATTTCACATGCCATTATGTGACATTTAGTTATATTGAAAGTTATCTTCCATGTGTTGCTCCAATCACTTACTGTACTTTGTTTAGGTCATTTTGGAGGGCATGGGAGTCATCTAAGTTCTTTACTCTCCCTAGCAATTTAGCATCATCTGCAAACATATTTATACAACTGCATCCCTTCTGGAAGATCAGTGTTGTAAATTGTGAACATTCCCAGTGCAATGCTAGTGACATTTCTCCAGTCAGATACATTGCCTGGGATCACTTCTGCCACTTGTTAGAAATTTTGTCATCCAGTTTAGTAGTCAGTCTGTCTGTCACCTCTCCAATGTACCCTTAACTTCCAGAAGTCTCTTGTGTGGTACTTTTTCAAGGGCCTTTGTATGTGTAATTAGTCCTTTTCGTATGGCTCTATCATAAAACAAAGATGACTTGTGAGTGAGTGAGTTTGTACTTGTCTACATGTGTTTACAGGGATGAGTGCCTTTAATAGGTCTGTTAAACCCCATATTATTTCTTAGTTTTATGAACCCTATTCATTCTAACTTTGGATAGATATTATTAGTAACAGATAATGGCAAGGTTTAATTGATAAATATTAGTAATTAAGAGCTTAGTAAGAAGTTGTAAGATAAATAGCTGTAAATGCAATGTGTGTGTGTAGAAAAGAAATGCTTCTAGTGCTTAGATTAAGATTCAGGCCCTACATTTATATTAAATGTTGCTTTAATATCTTTCAGAAACTTTTAGGGAACGAGATGTCATTTTTTCATCTTAAAATGGAGTGGTTTTGGAACCGACTTGACGGCAACTTTGAAAAAATTTTGAGTGAACATAACGAGAGCAACAGTGGAAGCGAAGATAACAGTGATGATGATGATGAGGGGGAAATGAAGAGTGATGATGAATCTACAGATGAAGGCAATAAATAATGTGAAATGTTTATTTGTATGTTTAGTCCTGATTGATGAAGATTAAATTTATGCCGATACAAAAATAGGCATTATTTGTGGATTTTTTTTTTAATATACACATGTCCAAGAGGTTAGGTAGAAGGAATGCTTGAATGTGACACACAATACAGTTTTTTTTTATATTTCCTTGGTGATAAGTAGAGGAATTACTGTACAGTACCTGTTTGTTTCAAACTATCAGTACCTGATAGTTTGAAAGACTACTGATATTTTCCTAATCAAATCTGTACGTGGTACCCCCCTTCCTGAGACTTTTTACGGGCGAGTAGTAGCAGCCATTGCGGAAATGTGCCTTGGATCTCCTGGAAGGATAGGGAGGGTAGCAACAGTTGAAGATTGAGACATCCCAGGTGACATGGTAGTCACGACTAGGGACTGAGGTCAGACATCCCAGGTGACATGGTAGTCACGACTAGAGACTGAGGTCTAGCCTGTCAAGGATTAGGCTGGGGTAGGGAGAGGATCAGAATGGAAGCATACGAGTCTGAGGAGATGCCCTTCCAAAGACACCATACGACAAAGTTTAATTGACTTTGCTGCCCTACAAACCCCCACCCACCATGGAGTCATAAGCACATGGGCAACCTCAGGGGTAACAGACAATATACAAGGGCATTGTAGGGCTGGAAGAGTATCTGGGACTGATAGTAATGTCACTCCTACTTAATCCGATTATCTAACTAGACAGATTGGTTCAGGTGGGCCAGCCATTACCTGTTAAAGTTCTGGGAATCATTGTCCTCATCTCTGACCAGACCTGGTTGCTGATCTGGCCACATGCAGCCTGGGAACCTTTTTTTTTTTTTTTTTTTTATACCCATTACTCCATCAAAGAAGTATGTAGACCCTAGAGGGCCACAGCATGCATACCGGGGTGTATTTTGTTCATGCTCCTTTATTACAGGCAGGCACCACCTCCCATTTCTACCTGTGGCTGGTGCACAAGAGCTCACCTCCCCATTACCAACTGAAGGAACCACTCGCTGAGGTGGGAATGTAGCAAAGATAGTAGAGGCCTGGTGGGCCGCGGGATTGCCAAGTCCTGAAAACAACTCTAGGCAACCTCCTAAATGCAATAAGCACCAAGATGCATAAATGGAGATGGAGTAACTGTGTGTACATCATCTAAGCCTGTTGCAAAGGAATAAGGCAGATGAGTTCAGAAACATTTTTAATGGCTAAAAAATGCAAACCTAATTCAGTCACTACCAACATGAATCTGCAATAGTGGAGATGAAAGATATGCACCTGGCTCCCTCCTTCCACCAGCCAACAACCATAAACAAACAGGTAGGATATTGATAACAATAAAAAATAATCGTTTTCTATTACATATTTATTTTTTCCTAGGCACACACAAATAAAGGATGTACCACAATTTAAAATCATTGGACACAAATTACAAGGATGTTGGTAATTAAAATTTTTAAACTGAAAAAAAAATTCAAACAAAAATACGTGTAAGGTTTTTTTGACTTAAAGAACGTTCTAAAGAAAACAAGTTTATTTATCAATAATATAACTACAGCAAATTCTTTATCATAATCAAGCAGTCATCTAAAATCATTTAGGTAATATTTTATTACTTCATTAAGGTACAGTAGTTGAAATGCTAAAGTCTTCTGAAAGACCAAATTTCCTGCATCTTAGAAAACAGGTAAATGATGACCTAACGACACACTTACACAAGAACATGTGGGCGCTGCATGCGCGCGCACACTTCCTAAATGGTGTATGTATAAAAACAACAAATTATTTAAGCTAAATACTGTATAAATAGTTATATTATGAGGATGAAAGCATTAAATTCCACAATACTGTAATGTATGATTGAACTGCAGCAATACAAAATATGGGAAATATATATAATAAGCTCATGAAGATAAACAGTGAAGTCATGGGTCACAGGATTGTGTATACTTGACTTTGTAGAGAAATAAAGTAGTCACATGTTGTGCATATTTCCCACTTTTCTCTTATTAATTAGAATAAAAAAGAAAATACCATAATTGCTGTAATCAAATAGCACATGATTCAGTAAACTCAAGAAACGTAAAGCATTAATTCAATTAACAAGTCACAACTCTCCCAATTCTAACTCATTTCTTTACCTGTACAAAAAATGGAGAGCTTACTTCTCTTGAGATCTACATGTTTAATGTATTATAAATATCTTATCCTAATACACTAATTGTGAATATTTTCTTAAATCAATATTTCCATCTTAATGAACTTATAACCATCCTCTCAAATAATTCACGATTTTAAGGCTATAATCCAAAATGGACAAAATAAGGGGTACTATGAAAATTAGTATCTCGCAAACTACCACATTTTCTATGCAGGACACAGAAATCACAATAGTGTAATGCATCAAATGAACAAATAGACAAATAACCATCAAATGAACATGGTTAATTCTTTTAACCATTTCGTAGTTCAGTTGATCAAGACAGCGTCTGGGATCCTCTCACAAGTAGGTTCGAACCCTCGTCACGGCCCTTGTGGATTTGTTCTTTCTATGCAGGGATCGGTTAGGTTGCGCAAGTCGCTTGAACTCACACATTTTAGTAGCCCTTATTTTCTGTGTTGTGGCACCTTGTGACAAGTCGAGAGAACAGGCTAGAACACAAGCCTTAATTTGTCCTGTGCCGTTCTCCAATTGTTTTAGCTTTAGCATTATACTGAACACTCGCTCGTATTCCAAGTCTCAAACTTTTGTTGAATTCTAAAAAATTAAGATTTAAACAAGCATGCTCAATACACACCAAAAACAAGTAAAATACAGTAATTGTAGCCTTTAGGAAACCATTAAAAATAATCCAGGTACAATATTTGCTTATTCTAAGTCACTAATCATTTACATATATATATTAGCCCCTTAGTTTGTTGGACAATAATATACATTTAATTTTTTTTCAAATTTGGCAATACCATTGGTTGTTGAAACCTTGCATACATTTTTTTTAACAAAATCTGAATATTCTTCAGATAGTCCATAAAAATATATAAATTTAGTCCACTTAAATATTGAAGAGCACTTGAATTTCAAAGGATGAATTACACAAAATAGTGTTTAGAGGCTATTTCACTATCAAGATCCATTCTGGCAGCTTGGGCTATGGCAGCATCAGATGGGCCTTCTTCCTCTCCTGATGCTAGAGATGACGTCTCGCTGGGACACAGGTCCTGGATGTGTACCTTCGCTCTGGGTGAAAAAGAAAAGAAAGCATTCAGGACAGCGATAAAATTGTTTATTAAGGCTGATATGGGATAGAAGAATTTACTAGAAGCTTAATGAATGTGTGAATAGGTTTTATGATTGTGTTAAAATAGGAACAGCATTGTTACTATGAATGTTGCTTTAGCAATTTTATTTGCTACTTGGTGAAAATTGTTACATCTCAATTCTTACCTGGTGACGAAAGGCATTTGAATACCAAATTATAATTATTTTCTTACAGTAATATTTTAAAGTAGACACTCAAGGTGGTCCGAGTTGACCATGTAAACTTATCAGACAAGATACGGATGAAATGGATGTACCCACAGTTTCCTACTCCAATAATAAAACTAAATACAAATTTGTTGTTTTTTAAATCTTAACACACAAACTTGTACCCTTTCTAAAACAAATTGCATAAAAATATAAATTGTGTATTATGATAGACTTGCAATAAAACTATCAAAGCTTCCGAAACAAAAATGCTTATTAACATAATCATAATACAGACATGAAGCTCACCTGAAAGCCACCAAATGTGCATAATAAGCTGGAGTGGGAATGGACACTGAACGCGTACAACGAGAGTACAAGTGGCACATTGCGTAAGTAAGGGTCTGAAGAATATCCATTGACAAGTCATTGTCATCCCACAATACATGGTAGTGCGTTGGTTTGCTTGTTCCTTGGATACCCTGAAAATATAAAAAGACACTGAAGATTAATTCATACATGACATTTAATATACAATGTCGCTATTCAAATGGACATTGCTGGGCCAAGAAATAGGGTTTGACAAATTATCAATTTTTTACTATTTCATAAGAGAATTTTATTTTAATGTCATTCTACCATTTGAACTAATGTAGTAAAACCGCAATAATGCTAGATAAACAGTGAAAACTTGTAAAGATCATAATGCTTTCCAAGCTCCCACTGCAATGAATTTTTCAGCCCAACCACCTGGGCTAGAAGGTAGAGCTTCATGCATGTCAGAATTCAATCCCTGACCGTCCAAGTGGGTCGAGTACCATTCCTTTCCTCAGTCCAATCGCACTCTCTCCTGATAGTTCCCTTCTTCATTTAAAGGGGAAGTCTAAGCATGACTTGATCCATTCAATCAAGAGTCGAGTTGAAGAGTTGAGCTCAAACTACAATTTTAATTCAAATACAGTAGTTGATACAAATGTATTATTGTAGTTTCAGAACTGCATAAAATGTAACAAATTATTTGCTGGCTTGGAGACTTGCTATAGAAACTGGGCAATATGGATGTGGTGACATTTGATGCTTGATCGAAGGTCCTCCCCTTTCTATCTCCAAAATCCCCAGTTAGGCTCAAGGCTGACTTACACTCAGAATGTGACATTTGTTGTCCTCCTGCCCCTTGTCTCGGTAGGAGCACGTGGCACACTAGTCTCAGCAAAAAATTGGATGTTTTCTTAAGTATTTCCCCCTGTAGTGAATCCCTTTATTTTGGAGAAATTTGTCTCATATGGTAGTCCCCCCCCCCCTTCCCCATATGTGCTTTTACAAGTACTCTGCTTTCCTTCCACTTCCTCTAGAGAAGGGCCCTACAAGGCTTTGGAACAATTGTAAGCTGTGGGTTCTGCACCTCTGTTTTGTGAGTGAGTAGTTGCAAGTTGTTTATCTGTCTTTGTGGCTCCTCCATCTTTTCGATAAAAAAACCTTCTTCGTCTTACAGGTGTTCTGAGCAGCTGCAGAGCATCCCTTGTTATCTTGCTTTTGCCCTGGGACATGCTTTGGTTAACTTGAAGAATTCAAGAACAGGCCCTTCTTATACAGTACCCCGATATAGGTCGCTCAGCAAGCAACTTGGAAAGTCTTATTTCAATTAACTACTTAAGAGGAAAATTTGAATGTTAGGAACAAAAATTCCATTAATTCCATCATGTCAGCAATGTAACATCTCACAACACACACCTATATGATAATTGATTTGCTTACCTGATGTGAACATAAGTAGAAGTCTCTCTCTGAAGGATGAGTAATGGCTGTATCCACTGTAGTACCTGGAGGAATATTTTTGGATCTTCCTACCCCATCACGGTCTTGGCAGAATAATCTGTAAAGAACATTTCATCACTGGTTGAACAAAGCACAAAGTTAAATACAGTACAATACAGTACTCTATCATTACCATGTTTCCCACTTTCATGGGGCAGGGAAGCAAAAGCCTAGAGAAAAAACAGAAAGTAAAGGAGTATAGGAAACAAAGTTAGATACATTTAACCCTCAGACAGTGGTTATCATATGTTGATTCACGGGGTAATGCAATTACTGTTATATGGCTATTTAAATAATTATTGTCTGGGTTTTACATGCATGATGCATGTAACTGTTGATGTAATGAAGCCCATAACAAAAAAATCTTGCTATCATTTCATGGTTACATTACTAGATGAATGCAGTTGTTATTGTTTAAGGTTCAATCATAATAACATAATAAATAAACCAATGATGTTCATACGGTTTCCATAACTCCGTATGGCTGTAATGAGGTATACCAGGTATATAGAAGAGTATATACTTATCCCTGCATTATTCCTTTATTTAGTCTTATGCTTGCATTATTCCCTTATTTAGTCTTCGAGAACTATAATTTATTTTCAGAACTTTTCATTACTGCTGCTCAAATTTTTTATTCTATCCACACAATACTTTACAATGTTCTACATTTTTGTCAAACTGTTGTGGAAACCAGTCCTGTTATAATATTTTCCTCATCAAAGCCACCAAAATCAATATTTTCTGTTTTAACTTTAATGCCTGCAACCATCTTTATTTTTGCCATCATGTGTTTCTTACACTTTCTTCCAAAAACACTGGTCCTGCTTTGTTTCTTTAACCCTCTTTTTGAGAGTGGAGGGGGGGGGGGGGTTGTTTGCCAGAAATTCATTCACTTTTATGCACTTTTTCTCTATAATATTGCTTGTTTATTCCTTCCAAATTTAAAAAAAAACACTGGAGCTCCCTAGCCCTCAACCCTCCCACAATAACCAATACTGCAAGGTAAGCTGAATATGATTTTTTTCTCACTTTTTCAGTATTTGGGACGATAAATTATTTATTTACAAATGTCCCAGCAATATTCAACAGAGTTTGTCCATAAAGTGTCCCAGCAATATTCAACAGAGTTTGTCCATAAAGTGTGCAGATACAATGAGATACATGTTTATGTACGAGACAAGCATTAGTCTCGGCCCCTTACCTTGTATGATGTCTCTTTTGGACAACAAGAAATGTCATGGCTGGAGTGTAGTCTTTTTGCAGTTCAGTGCATGCGTCACGCATAGCTTTCAGTTCATAAGACAACACCTCTGGGAACTGGGACTCGCTCACACCATCACGATACATAACAATCCTCTCTGGTTTGTGGCGTGTAGTCCGGTAAAATGTTTTTAGAAGATTCCTGAAAACAAAACATTTTTAGTATTTATATTCTTGCAATTAACCACCATACAGTGGAATAGTATTTTGTGATTTTGTGGTAACTATTTATCATGTGTTCTATCACTTTCACAAAAATTTAAGAAAAAATCTAAATAAAAACACTTACTTTGTCATTTCTTTGAGGTCCAATATCATCTCTTTACGATGTTTTTGGTGCCGTACTTCTACAGCGTACCTAGAAGCAAATTTATCTATGGAGGCAACAACTGCTGCTAATGAAGGAGTTACTTTATCAGATGCTTGTGGATGGTTGACATCTGCACCCATGATCATTACTGGAGTTTTAAAGACCTGGGGGGAAAAAATAGATTACAAATAAATAAAAACCAGCATTGAATGTAATGAAATGCTTTCTTCTGGGCAATTCCTGTTGGCTCTCTGATGTTATGTTGCCAGTATAGCAATATAGTTTCCCAGTACTTAGTTCTATCACTCGTAGGAGTCTTATTGGCCTACTGGAGACGAGAGCTAAAACCCCTCGAAGAGGCACAGTGAGCACGGCATTGTTATGATCACCCTCACCAAGCAAGCTCCAGAAAACATACGACAAAAAAAATAGAGGTATGTGTGTGTATGTGTGGGGAAGAGGTAGCAGTGTGTGTATTTATTATTTATGCTTGCAGGATTGAGCTATTAGCTCTTGGACCTGCCATTCTAACCAATCTATTTTTCCTCTTATTATATTTACTACATATTTCTCTCTAAATGCATATATTCCCAGGAAACAGCCTACAGCAGCTGTCTACAACTCCCAAGTACCTATTTACTGCTAGGTGAATAGGAGCATCAGGGTGAAGAACCTAACATGGGCCCTTAAGACGACTTCCGAACACTGTCCACTCAGTTGTGAAGTGTGTATGTAGGGGGGAGAGGGGCAGCGGTGTTTGGGCAAGAGGCTGCAGGGTGCGTGTGCGTGTGTGTGTGTTATGCGGAAGGGGGAGGCAGTGGAGTGTGCATGTGTAGTGGGATGGAGGGGGAGGAAGCAGCGGTGTATGCATGTGGGTGCGAGGCAGCGATGTGTGTGTGTGGTGGAGAGGCAGCGGTGTATGTGAGGAGATGCAGTGGTGTAGAGGGATATGTACCACTCAACCACCATACATTATCTGCCTCACACAATGCAAATGTTGGGTATTGTATTTATAATATCAGTATTTGCACCAAGTAAACCAATCCAAGCATCAATCATATAATGTAAAAATTCATGAAAGTAGTAATGCAATGAAATAATGCTCGTTTTGGTGGAGGAAGGGTGGAATGTGTAGCTTACTTGTATGGCTGCATTAACCTAATTGTACTTTGGCAGCATGTTTTTGTATAAGCAATTGGGATTCTTATCTAAAATAGTGACCAAAATCTATAATTACCTAATAAAGGGCATACAAGCACACATTAATTCAGATAGGAAAAGATGTCCTGTATACTTAAAACCCTGTTCATCATTTTTTCATTCATAGTACTTTAATTAAAATAACTTACAAAAGGACGAGATGTTGCCCCAAGTACGTTGTTCGTTCCTCCCATCTTAGCATTGATCTTGAGCAAGATGTTTCCAACAGTGGCCGGTTGGTTCTTCCTAACATTACCTCCTTGAACACACTGGGTTACAATCTTTACAATTCGATCACCAGTCTTTTTCACCTTACCTGAGATGAAAAAGATGAAAATTAGAGTACAGTACTGTATTTTTAAATAACCAAGACACCAGCAATGACATTTATATTTTAGGTCCACATAGCCATCACAACCCAGCTGATAAGTGAACACAACCCCAAACTGAAGGTAAACAACCCCAGCTGACAAGTAAAGTCACCCCCATTGCTCCAACTGATTTTCTCATAGATACATCACGTTAGTTCAATTTATTTGTATCTGAAGCTGGAGCGCATGGTGGTGCGCTCTTTACCTACACCAGGGTGCATGGGGGGGTTATATATAAAACTTGGACTGGCTTCAGTAGAAGCCTCCTCACTTCCTGTGGATTCAGTGGAATACCATGTTGTATAACTTTTACCATGTAGTCGTACAGTGGTAAAGTGAACAGCTGGGAGTACCCTTATCATTGATTCAAGTCTCCTCAATGCTCAAATTCCTTTTCTCAATATTCATGGTAACTTCCTGATTGAATGGCCCATGTGCTCCCTCCGAGATGCTCATTGCAGGAGCGAGCATGAATTGATGTCCCTGCAAGTTTTTCACTATTATAGCCAATGTAAGTCATAATTTTTCATTTTTCCATTGTCAGGGAATGCATTTTAACAACATTATAGGGAAATGTTTTAGTATTTTTCTGTGCACCAGGATGTTGTCTCAAGTAGCATCACAGTTCAAGGGTTAATGCCAAAAAGTCAAAACAGCAACATACAAAAGAAATTTAGATTGAATTAAATAAAGACAATTATACCATAATAATTGAAGTTATATGTCGACCATTAAGTACAGTATTAATGGCAAGATATTTTCAGAGAGTTCTCTTTCTTTGCCTATTGAGATCTGAGGGAGGTTTTGAGGTGTCACAGGTAAGAAAAGCCATGAAGTAAGAAGACCATGAAAAAGAAATCAGTTTTGAAGTGAATCCCAACAGTAACCATACTGCATCTGAATGATCCCTTATCATGCCTCTCACCCTCCCAGCCTCTACCCTTTCAATCCTAATCCATTGCAATCTATACAACTTGTCTATAAAACACACACTTACCATAAAGTTCTTTGGATTTTGGTAATACAACCAATATCATCTGAATCTTGGGATGTTTATTCTTGAGGTATAAAAAGTCTCTCTCTGTATCAATTTTATAGTAGTCTCGGTACTCCATATGTTCTATTGGCTCAAAGATAGTCATTCCTCGCTCACGTCCCATTTTCACAAGACTATCAAGAAATTCACTGTAAAAGAACTGAACATTAGATATGGTTCCTATATTAGAGCAATCAAGGAAGGTATTTCTAGTTGTTAAAAATTAATAATACATTACTGTACCAAACAGGCAAGCAAATATGGCAATAACATTCCTGGAAAATGGCATGTTATATATAAAATGTGCTATATAATATAAATAGAATAGCACATGGGGAAATACTGGGTTAAATTGTCCCTCATGGGAAGCTTTTAAATTACATGCATACTTTACCCCAGACTGAAATTGAGTGTAGAGAGGTAGAGGGAGGGTATGGAGTCAGCCTCCACCACATCACTTCCGTGTGCATTCCATTTACAGTACTAACTACGTACTCTGACTCTGAAAAAGTTCTCTCTAATGTCTCTGTGGTTCATCTGGGTACTCGGCTTCCACCTGTGTCCCCTTGTGCGTGTACCACCCGTATTAAATAATCCATCCTTGTCTACCCTGTCAATTCCCCCGAGAACCTTGTATGTGGCGATCAAGTCTCCCTGAGCTCTTCTGTTTTCCAGGAACGTGAGGTGCAGTTCCCTCAGCCTTTCCTCGTAACTCATGCCTCTTAGTTCTGGACCTAGCCTAGTGGCATACCTCTGAGCTTTTTATAATTTCATCTTGTGCTTTACAAGGTGCAAACTTGGGGCCACATACTCCAGGATAAGGAATTGGGATAGGATGGAGGGAAGGAATGGTGCCCAATCACTTTGATAGTTGGGATTTAATGCCCACCTGCAGGTGAGCCCATCTACTGCCCAAGAGGTTGGGCCTGACAATCCCTAGCAATTTTGCATCATCTACAAACACATTCATGTAACTACTGTATTCCTTCTGGTGATAGATGCCTACTACTACTACACCATTTATATAGATAATAAACACCAATGCAAAGAATGCAAGAACTGATCCTTGAAGTACTCTGCTTATGACACTACTCCATTCAGATACAATGCCTCTTAACAATACAAAATGCTATAATTACATGATCTGTAAATGTATGCTGCCACATGCTTACCACAATTCTGTTAACTTTTTTGTGTCACACCCAAACAAAGCTCAAAGCAGTTCAAGAACTTTTGACAAATCCAAGACATCCACACTATTGGTGATAACTAATTCAAATATTGCAGTTTTGAAAATCATCATAAATAGTGCATTACAAACTTACGTCAATGTTCTCCTGTAAACACTTCCTGCATCGTAGTTAACAACAGCCCAACATTCCAAGCTGGCACTTGAAAAGAATGTTCTATTTCGGGCATCCCAGACACCCTTTTCAGGTATCAGCTCGGTATTCATCTGTAGTTTAGGGGCAGGCAAAACGCGTCCATCCAAATTTACTGGCTGAAAGATATTTTAAAAGTTTTGGTGTTTCAAATGTAAAAATTGTTAGGTGAAAATAGTTTCAGCAAATATTTAATAAAACTAACTACTGGTAGTTATTTTTGCAATTTTGCAAGGGCAATCGAGAAAAGCATCCCAGGTCCCCTACATCAGAATACCACAAAATTTAAAGAATATTTTGAAGTATACTCAACTCTCTGCAAACTGTAGTTGAAAAACCAATTTAAATATTGGAATTAACTTTTTTACCATGTATTACAAAACTTGATGTTTGATATACTTACAGAATATAAACTTTATATTATAAAAAATTCTTAAGAACAAATCCTAGACACACATTTTGGCGTGTTCCCTTACTCCTGATGCCTATGGTCCTCTAGCAGTAAGTATCTGAATTAAGTCTGTTGTTCAGTTGCAGCATGAACAATGGCCTGGCTAAGAAAACCATGATATGCCAAACCATTATAAAATGCCTACCCACAAAACTTGTACATGCAAATGCATTAATTTACTAATACAGCCAGCAAAATCATCAGGAATAATGGAAGGACCTTGCCCAAATTCAAGAATACCAATTTCTACTTTGCAATTGTCCAATATATGTCCAATGGTCTACATCATTACTGCAAGTATCATGTAAACAAAGGGATGGGCTGTACTTCTGGTCATCTGTTGTCATCCTCTACTTGGATACCAATCTGGTTCTGGTTTGTAGACCTCCTGGAACCTCTTCTCGAGTACCTCACACTACTTCTTTTAACCAATATAGGTACTTTACAGGTACTTCTTAACTAATACAGGTATACAAGCCTATACAAGTCATCAATCCAATTTTATGCTACTGTATATGTTTTGCCAATACAAGTCATACCACTAATTGAAAACAATTTTTGTTATAGCTACACACACCTGTTCAGTCCAGCTACAGATATGTATAAACAAGTTACAAGTAAAGTTACTCAATCTAAATCTACTCATTGATTATAACCCATTACTTGCCAGAATAAGAGTGGAATGTTAATATAATGCATCTGATGCTGTACCTCATGCATTAAACTTTCACCAGGAAAATATCAATCTATATTCCACCAATATTTCTTGATGATTATCAGTAGGATATTGAGCACCGTAGGCCTTCGATGTTCAAAGTATTCTCAAAATGTGCTGTGCAAGTAATCCAATTGATTTTCAACAGCACCGAATCCACATTGATTTTATTGGACCATTACCATTTGCCCGTCCCAGAGTTGGACATGCATCACATACTATAACCCAGTTCACTGTAATCACTGCCTTCGTATAAAGATGGCTGAGACAGTACTATATATACATGTGCAGTCAGGTGATTAAATTACCCCTTATCCCCCTTAGATCAATTTTGTATAGCAGTGATAATGTTAAATGGCAGTAGATATGTCATTAAGAAAATTCTACAAAAAGCCAGCCTATTTGGCTAAGGGTCTTCTCACAGAAAACAAGGCATACAATATATAATGTAGATATGGATAAGGAGATTTATAATTCAAACTTACCTGATCTGATATGGAAAACTGTAGAGCTCTCATCATGGGGTCTGACGAGAAGTTCTGATTGCGAACAATATCCTTGACGGTCTGAAGCCTCTGCACAGGCAATTTGGCAGTACTACGAATAAACTGTGATGTCTCTTGGTCACTGAGCTTCTTTGCTACCTTCTGACCTTTTGCAATCTTGCAACACTGAAATAATCCTCACATGAAATATGGCAGCAAACCCATTAAAGATCATGCAAAACTTAAAGCATCAAGTCTTGTTTATTTGTACCAGTTGTCGTAAATTGTACACATATTTAGTGTGACCAGAAACTATCACTATCATAGTTTGATGCCACTGAAAAGATTGGAGAAAGCACACTTCTACACTAGTACATGTAGATAGATAGATAGAAGAGAAGGGAAGGGAAAAGGAAAAAGAGGGAGAGGAAATGGTGTTGGAGGAAACAAGAAGCGAGACCAGGGCATCAAGATCATTTAACCGAGCAAGAAAGTGAGCCTCATCACACTGGCAAGGTAAGAGACCGGGGCAACGTGTGTGTGACTAGACCAACACCCAAATGCCACCCTCTGCAATGGGATTAGATCAAAGGGAAAAGATTCTACCCCAAAGGAGGAAAATCAGCCCAGTAGAAAGGAGTACTATAAATATTTGGTGCACAAATGCAGACATAAGAAATATAAGGGTAGTGCTGCAAGAACGGATGGCAGAACTGCATTCTAATATCACAGTTACGGAGACAAAACTGATATAACTAAGGATACAATATTCCTATGATGATATCAGGTAGTAAGAAAAGCATGATAACTAGGGGGAGGAGGAGTAGCCCTACTGACAACAACACTGGAGCTTCAATAAGACAGATTGTGGAGGTAATCAACCAGTAGGATTTCATACTTATGATAACTGAGGACCATGAAGATAGTGACAAGTGTTATCAATAACCCTCCATGAACTGGCGTTCCGCGAGCGCTTTGTCATGGGTTCGTATCCTGGCTGTGGAGGATTTACTGGGCGCAAATCCTTAACTGTAGCCTCTTTAACTCATCCGTAAAATGAGTACTTGGTTGTAAAAACAATTCTTCGCAGCGGGGATCGTATTCCAGGGACCTGCTCGAAACGCTACGCGTACTAGTGGTTGTACAAGAATGTAACAACTCTTGTATATATATCTAAGAAAAGAAAAAGGAAAAAAAAAAAAAAAAAAAAATACAGGAAGGCCAGGGAAGGAATATGATAAATGCAACGAAACATACTTGAAGACAACACAAAAGAGGTGGCCAGTGTCAGAGCAAGGATCCCAATACTTGGGAAAATACCACTACTCTATACACACACACACATATATAGTCTAAATTATCTTTAATCCACTACAAAATGCCTATACTGATCATTTATATCACTTTGACAGTGTGCAAAAACTAATATATATGTATGCATTTGCATTAAAAAGGTAAGGAAAAGTAAATAATGGCTTTTCTGGTGTGGTAAAGAGTAAAGGAAATTGGGTGGAGTCACTGCCTATGTTGACAAGAGTGAGTTTGCAGAGACTTTAGTTAGTTTTGTCTTCTCTGATTTATGTACATAATTGACAAAAACAGTGAGTACTCTGCTCCTGGTACAGCTCAAATAAAGTGTCTTGAAATACCATACTCACAACACAAAAAACTTACTTCAATTGGTATGAAGATGTTTCTGTGTATTGGTCCAACTTTCAGGCAATTGAGTTGTGGATACCTCAGTCTTTTTCTATAAGTGTCCATAAAATACTTTTCCACTGTACACTGTACAGTTCTGCCTTCACCTACATCCAGTGGAAAAGTTTGACGCGCTGCCCCAAGCTCTCCCACATTTGTGACTGTGTATGTTCGAGGAAACTGAGTGTGAGTCACTTGAACCTGAAAAAATTCAGTATTATAGTCATTATTAATTCCTTGATTCCTAACTTTGAAGGGTAGGAAGACATTTGCCCAATAAGCTGGGAGAGCAGTATGGATAAACCAGCATCACTGTATCGTACACTCATCTTGTCAAGTACAGATATACAGCATCACATTTACTCGTACATGTTTACATCAAGCCGCCTTCCCCCAACATATTTAGTCATTTGTTCCTTACCACACACACACACTTCACACTTTTCATGCATATTCAGGGTCATGCACACAGAATTTTACATACATTAATTAGTTTCAATTATCTCTATGAATTATTGCCTCGAGCTCGGTAACTTTACAAACTATAATTAAAAAACCACTGCTTAACAAGAATTATACTTTATATCTGGTAACAGCAGGTGGACTGTGGATTTAAACTGACAATGAATGTGATAAAATTACTACAGCCTGTTGTAACCAGTTATGTTTGGCTTACACAACTGCAGTACAAGATAGTTATTATCCACATAAACTATTTAAGAAAACCTATAAACTTCAGATATGTAAAAAAAAAAAATGCAATTCAGAATACAGTACCATACATTCGCACATTCAAGGAAAATAATTTAAATTAAAAATAGTAGCAGCTTTTCTAAAATACAGTAACTAAAACATCAATACATCAATGACTACTGTATTAGTTAATCCTTTGGCAGTCAACTAATCTCTCAGTTCCTTAATCCTACCACAGGGATCAAACTTTAGGTTCCCAGGTAATAAGTGACATGAACAGTACGGTGTCATGTGACACTTGCTGATCTTCACGCAAAGCTTATAGGCCTTGCATTTTTTTTTATCTCCATTCATAGTAATTATATTTTTGAGCAACTTACTTTCATTTTCTTTAATGCTCTCTGAAGTGCGTCCTTCTTATCAGGTCGTAATGGTTTCGTGAAGTCCTCATCACGGAAGTTCAAGGCTTCCTTCATAAAATCCAAGACACTTTGTTCCTTGTAAAAAGCTGTATGTGCAACTGGAGAAAAAAAATTATTTATTTAAATAACATTTAAATGTACAAATTATATGAGAAAATTGTATCTGCTATATAGTGATCAAAATGAGATATTCCTGTCTTGTCCTACAGTTAGTCATTAAACTTACATAGAACAGGTTATAAACAATATATACAGTACTCTACATGGAAAATGGTGGAGGGCCAGTTCCTAAATTGGCACAGTAAAATAACATACTGGAGTGAACAACATGGAAGGAAATGCATAACAGAGCCAGTGAAGAGTAAAAGGCACAATCAGAGAACATCATATGAACAACAGAGGTCTGCGGCTGTTCAATATCCTCCCAACAAGTATAAGAAATATTACAGGAACAAGTGAAACCTACAAACATTACAATATATACAGAAAATTATTAAATAAATGTATGCATTAACGCAAAGAACTTTTATTGTACTTTAACACAAAAGATGATGGCTAACTAGGGTTTGCTTGGCTTTATTAACAGCTTACAGCTCTCTAAGGGTTAAAACTCACTATGACCTGACCAAATTACAGTGTAACCACACAAGTTATTATACGAGCAAATAATATAGACAAACCATCACAATAATCTCTACTTTGACTAAACAATACTCCAGGTTAAAGGAATATAATGAAACTTGACAACAAATACTTACCATCAACATTGAGTAAAAGTGATCCATTTTTCCACTGAGCAGGCCTGAGGGAGCCAAAAAATCCCACCACAGCATCCTTTCCACCACCAATGTCATAGGGGGCACCAAATGCACCGTCCATGGAATAAAAGCTATTGCGGCCAACTCTCTCATAACGGTTGCTTGGAGTATGTTGAAACATTACTTCTAACATCTGAAAAGTATTGTCATGTAGTACAGTACAACATTAATATTATTCATATACCATAATTCACTGCCATGAATAAACAACTTACTAATTAAAAATATATTATAATGGCATATAGATTCAGCTAGTTGTACTTTTGCAACAACTTTCCTAACTCGCTTTTCAATCAATTCTTGATTTTTGAGTCACTTGAGCATATATTTGGTTTATTTTAGTCTAACACTTAAAATTCATTTATCTGATGTCTCAATCCACCCAGCCTGTGTTCATTTTCTATGACTAGCTTTGCATATTAAAAACTTTCTCAATTTGTGTTAACATGAAAAACAATTCTCATATTTCTCAATGTTAGATACTTCATCTCCAGCTATTATATAAACACTGACAAATTAGCAGATTCTTCCCCCTCGTCTTAATCTTTCATAAACATACCTGTTTTTTATGTTTTGTATGAGCAAGGTCTTTCAATACAGCAATAACAAATATACTGAATAGTAATTACTTTACATTAGAGATACAGATTAAAATACATTTAGCATGAGACAGAGTATACGTATGAGTTGGCCAAGAATGATACTATACCTGAAATATAAATTGTGGGACATTTTCTCTTCGTTCTCTTGGGGCCCTGATAACCTTGAAAACTTCTTGCAAGGATGCTGTATTTACCTTTGTTAAAGTTACAAAGAATTCTCTTTTTTTCTCACCATCATCCTTAATATCCACCTGTAAGTAAACAAAATATACTTCATAAAACATCTATCTCATTGGCATTTCTAATTTTGTTTATTTAATTACAACCTAGCAGCCACAATTTGTGTTCCGACCATGTATAAAAGTGGATGATATTATAGTGGAGAACAATGATTAAGAGCAAAATATACTGGACACCTTAGGCATAAAATAATATATACCAAATCCAACTGGTAGCTTAGAAATCATCAAACTGCAGGGACAGAAAGGGAGGTGGGAGGGGTGGTGGCAGTGGCAGGGAACGGAGGGAAAAACTAGGCAAGGCCAGCGGGCATGACAAAAAATATATTTACATAATTTGTATACAAACTGGGTAATAACTAAACTTCATTTATGATAATCGCATTATCCTGGGGATCAACATACGATAACTGCCCTTAACCCCTCAACTGCGCCAGCCAACAAATGTCGTTTTGAGAGTTGTCCGTTTTTATTTTTAATTAGGGCTATATTTTAATGTTCTTAATGTTTTCATTACTCTTTGTGTTTTGAAATGAAAATAGTTTAGTTTGGAAACATTTTTGACATTAACTTTACCTGAACATCTATAAAAACAAAAATACATCCTTAACAATTACACTTTGAAGTTTTTGCCAAAAACAAGTGCGCAGTGCAGGGGTTTAGGGGTTAAAGCTTGAATGTTGCTCTTGATGGTCAATATTTTCATTGTCATAAAACAATGTAAGGTAATAAGGTTATAATTTCAGTTAACCAACTGAAACACAAAAGTGTAAAAATAAAATAAAATAATTTACATACAGCAAACTCCTTTGAAGATTTCCTTAACACTGGGATTACTTTCACACTGTAGGCATTTTTCTCAGAGTCAAATCCAATGGGATGATTCTGGAATATGTCAGGATTCGTGGTGACCATTTTCATGAATATAGCCCTGCAATAAAATATATAAATACATTATACAGCTCAATCTACAATACAATATATATTGCAAACAGGACAGGCAGATTGCAAATATATAAAACATTATATGATGAATATGAATTTGTTAATATAAGCATTTTTGTTTAAAATTATGTGGTGTGCAAAGGGCTACTAATTCAACATGAGCTCCAAAGATATCTTTCATTAAGGTATTCGAGAAAGATACCCCATATCTGCCAGTCATTCACCACTCCCAGGTTCCTCCATCACTCTCGGGGCCAGATTTACGAAGCAGTTACACAAGCACTTACGAACGTGTACATCTTTCCTCGATCTCTGACAGTTTTGGTTACATTTATTTAACAGTTTACAAGCATGAAAACTTCCCAATCAACTGTTGTTATTGTTATAAACAGCCTCCTGGTGCTTTGAAGCTCATTAACACTTTCGCGCTTTAGATTAGAGATAACTCGTCGCCGTTTTCTCTTACGATTCCGCATAATAGCCGAGTTTTCTCGTCCATCGAAAAAATATTTCTATAAATTCCATTTTTTAACCGAAATAGATGGGGATACTTTTGTTTTGTAGGGAATTTATTTGCGAATGTTTTGGTGCCAGAATGAATATTATATCACATAAACTTCTATGAGTAAAAAAAAAAAATACACAAAGTATGTTTGGGGGTGTGGCGAGCGTGTGGCAGTGGGTTCCCTTTAGCCGTTGATATATCCAACACGTGGGAAATATTTGTATGTGTTATGTATATGTCTGTGTAGGGAATTTTACTGCGATCACTGTCATACAAATTATAAAATGTTTCAACAAGTATAAACATGACAAACATCAAACGAACGAAAACAATGCGTTCGTTTCTGCCGCGAACGCATACTGAGCGATGTGGTTCTATATTTGGCGCTTCTCTTACACATGCTTTGTACAAATGTTATACAGTTCATCTTATAGAAAATTTTATTGCGAACACATTGGTATAAAAAAGAAATACGTACATAGAAAAGTAGGGTCAGGAAACGTATAAACTTTCCAAGCATGATTTCCCCCCTGTGTTTTCGCCAGTGCGCTCGCGGCTAACTACTCTCCACTTCACACACTCTTGCGGGTGGGCAATTACCTATATTAAACATTCATATGCATATGTCCGTGTAGAGAATTTTATTGCGATTCCAATGATACCAAAATTAGCGATGTAGGACAACTGTAGGCTTCGCAACCATTAAGAGAGTGGAAACATTTTGTTGCTGTTTGGCGCTCTCGGCGAGTGATCTGCATAGTTTTTTATTTGGTGTTGATACTCCTTATGCTTTGGCGGCATTTTATAGATATGTTCTTATAGACAATTTCATTGCGAACACAGTGATACCAAATTTAAATACGTGCGCCTTCAATTATTGTCAGGACAGTCAAAAGAGTGTACACTTTTCGGTCTTACCGCGTAGGCGCGCGAAGTGCCGAAAGCATCTGGGGTATTGTTTTTTTTTGAGCGCCGAGAGCGCGAAAGTGTTAACTGCTTAATAATTGTAAACAAAACCCGCCAAAGATTGAGAAAAGATGAACAGGTTCGTAAGTGCTTGCGTAATTTCTACGAGACTCTGGGCCCCAGGTTCGTAAGCGCTTGGATAGCTTCTTTGTGAATCTTGCCCCAGGTTCGTAAGTACTTGCGTAACTTCTTCGTGAATCTGGCCCCAGATTCATAAGTGCTTGCGTAACTTTGTGAATCTGACCCCTGGTCACCAAATTTAGAATTCTCTCCATGACCTTGCAGATGTATGATGTCAAACTGATCGGACAGTAGCTTTCTGCCAAACTGTCCTTTTTTTTATATATAAATGGTAACATTTGCATATTTCCAATCTAGGGAAACTATCCCTTGGTCCAGAGATTTTCTGAAAAGGAGTTTCAGTGGCAGGCATAGTGCATGTGCCAGTTCCTTTAGTACTTTGGATTGAATTCCATCCACACCTGGGGCTTTTGAGTCTTTTAGTATGTCTTCCTGACTGTCTCACATATTATAGGTACATCCCTTAATTCATTCTCTTCACTTCCTTCAAATATTTTTGGGGGTAATGAGATGTTGTCTAATCTTTCTAGTGTGAACACTGATGTAGTCATTCAAATTGCTTCCCTTTTATCAGCCATTATAACTGGGTTAGTCATCTTTTAAGAGTCCTACCGAATACTTACATTTTGCTTTACTTCTTACATAGGCATAGAAGGTTTTTGGTTCTTTATATTTTGGGCAAGTTTTCCTTCATAGTTTCTTTTGGCCGATCGGATTTCCTGGGTGGCTGAATTTAATGCCCTTTTATATATTTTATAATCTATGATGTTCATCATGGATTTATACCTTCTCCAGTTTCCGCTTAGTTAACAAAGCTCTTTTTATTACCAGTGTCATTCATCTAGTTTGCTTTCTTTCTTTTTCCGTTTTGGCACTTTTTAGAACGAGTTCAGTAATGACTTTTTTCATTTGTTTCATGATGCTTCCATGTTATGGTCACCTATCGGCTCCCTCCAGGTGTTCTGCAATTCTTTCTTTCCTTGGTAGTTTCCTCGATGGTATTCTAGAAAGTCATATGACCTAGTAGTTGGAAGCAACCTCATTAAGATAGCTTCAGGGGACGACTAATGAGGCTCACCCAGAAAGAGGCACTGCATTGCATTCAACACTTATTTACTATTACATAACTTTGCCTTGTAGTTTAAATTATATAATTTACTCACTAGAGAGGTGACATAAGCATAACAATGTTACTTACAGTTTTCCCTTAAATTCCTTTTAAATGTATGTGGCTGTAAAAGAAAAAAAAAATTATCGTACTTACATGCGTCTCTTCTTGGAGATTGGGACTATTTCTTTCTTATAATCCTTTATAACAACATCATAATGAGCCAGCACAATTTCTTGTGTCCTTGGGGTGACCTCGAAGTAATTAGCCTGTAGAGCAATCTTGCGTCCAATGGTGCCTATGCCTCCCTCTGCATTAGGTTTCCGAAGAGGAGGGCGAGGATCTAAAAAATAATTACATTATGAAGTGTGCTTCCAAGAAAAATGGTTGTAAAACAGATCTAGTTCAGTAGAATGTGAGAAATCAGCAGTGGTGTGCAATTATTATGTCTAGCGAGACACATAATGCATCAATATGGATGAAGGCATGAATATGGAGGCTTCAATATGCCTCCATATTGATGTGGTGTACATTATACAGGTATATAGGTATAGAATAATGAAATCTTTGACTTTGTTAAATACTGAATTACAGCACATCCTCTCAAGTGTACCTATTATATATACATAGAAGCACTTCCTAGAGAACTAACAGAATCCATGAGCACTACATGAGAAATATATTTTTGATATTCCAACAGTGCGACGTGACCAAAGCAGAAATACCATGTAAGTCAACATTCCCAAACTGAGGAATGAAGACCTTAATCACAGTAAGAATTGTCCTCTTAACCAGTTTAAGAGCAACTAAGAACTACCTAGTTAACTACATAACCTAACCTTACTGCCTTAATGTCAACCTGTGTTTTGTAGTTATTGAACATGAATTTCTGAACTTGTATTGTTACTGATAATCGTCACGTAAAAATTGAATATAAAATTGAATAGTCTCCGTTTATTCTCTTCAATTTATAATTGCTTACCGAAAAAATTACTTACCACTGCTCTGCTGCAAAATTTGCATCTCCAATTATCAACAAATTTTACATTTTGTATAATTATTTGCAATGCTTACATTTCCGATTTTGTTGTATTAACAAGTATAGTGTCACGTGTATCCCCTGCATAGCAGTGGAACTGCCTTTTCCCTTCACCTTCAATGCCTCTGCACTGGAAGTATACATCTACACCAGCCCAGAAGAGTCATCAGTCCTGCCACCTCTCCATACCCCCCAGGGCCTGGCACGGCCTGGTACGACTCACGAGGCAAGCCGGGCGCCTCTGCTAACCGGTAGTTTGCCCCCACAAACAAGCAGTTAGCCGCCTTGAACTGACAGTGGTGCAGCTCAACACAAAGGCACCGCCAGCCACAACGAGCAGTTTGCTAGTTGACCAGATGTCCACCTTGCGTTGACACTGGATAAGTCATCACCGCTGGACTATATAAAGGGCGCTGCCTCCCTGGAGATCCGGCACCGCTCCTGTGCCAGGTAAGTCCACTACGGGCTCACCATAGCCCGTGCTACTTGCCCCGCTCTTGTGCCAGGTGAGTCCACTACGGGCTCACCATAGCCCGTGCTACTTGCCCCGCTCCTGTGCCAGGTAAGTTCACTACGGACTCACCATAGCCCGTGCTACTTGCCCCGCTCCTGTGCCAGGTAAGTCCACTACGGGCTCACCATAGCCCGTGCTACTTGGAACTTATTCCGAGTAGCTGAATCTATAACAACCCGGAGAGCCAGTCTCTCCCTTAGTGCTCTAGGATCACCTTGGTGTCTCACCCGTCGTCCACCTTCAGCCAACGTCTATGTATATATTTATAATTTGTATTCATTGCTTATAGTTTATTTTTGTATTAAGATCATACTAACTTGTTCACCTTGCATTACATGATAGCCAAGTATTTTCAGAGGCATTTATGTTCTTTAATATTTCAGTAAATTGTTTAATTATTTATTTGATGATTTTCATTTGTTTCCACCTGCGATTTACACACTGCAAGGCCAATAGCAGCATTTTTGTTCATGTTCGTGAAGTGAACATGAGATGATCATGAAGTGAACGCAATGTTCATGAAGTGAACGCGAGATGTTCATGAAGAGAACGCGAGGTGTTCATGAAGTGAACGCGAGGTGTTCATGAAGTGAACACGAGGTGTTCATGAAGTGAATACGAGTTGGTCATGAAGTGAACACGAGGTGTTCACTTGCTTTTAACTAGTTTTAAGAATTATACCTATTTTTTTTTAGTATATATTGCTGTATTATTGTGCCTATCCCCATGTTTGAGCCACATGCCATGTGATTTAGGCCTACCCACATATATGTGCCACATGCCATGTGATTTAGGCCTACCCACATACAAACTGTGCCAGGAGTCCTATAAGCACACCCTTCACAATTTACAATTATAACGAATGATATAATTATGCTAATAATACTCCCGATACAGTTTTAATATGGGTAGGCCTAGATCACGCGGCATGTGGCCCAAACACGCGGGTAGGCCTACTTGAGGCCTAACATGGCTGGCCCATAGATACGCGGCTAATATTTAATATTTAATGATATTGTTGAGGGCTAATAGCTAGTGTATGCTGGCCAAAGGGCCAAAATACACGTACACAAGAGTATTAATGAAAGCGACGTACACAACATCCCAACCCACTTAAGTTTCCCCCAAAACTTAAGATCGCTAATCCACGCCCAAATTACACAAACTCCCCTTCCTGGCGCGTGGTAAACGCGTAGGTACATACCTGGGCCCAATTCACTCCACACCATTATGGCTGTCCTGATAAAATAAGTTAGGAAAGATCAAATGAGGAGCGGGAGAAGTATCCAGCTTCAGCAGCAGCCTTCTTCTCTGGTCTGTTTGTGTGTGTCGCCGTCTCTGGCATCCTCCCCCGTGAGCCTTCGTACACCACCGCCCTCACTTGTTGCACACACCACTTCTAGAACTATAATTTATTTATTTATTTATATATATACAAGAAGGTACATTGGGTTTGTGATAATACATTGGATAGTACAGTATTTACACTCTTGTAAAGCCACTAGTACGCGCAGCGTTTCGGGCAGGTCCTTAATCTAACAATAATATATATATATAATCTTTATAAGGTCCTTAATCTAATAATAATATATATATATTTATTTATTTATTTATATATATATATACAAGAAGGTACATTGGGATTGTGAGGATACATAGCATAGTAATTACATTCTTGTAAAGCCACTAGTACACGCAGCGTTTCGGGCAGGTTAATAGTAATAATATCAATTATAATAATAATTATTACTTATAATTATAATAATAATCATCATTTTATTTACAAGAAGGTATAAGGGGGTTTGTGAGATTACATATCAGACTGGTATCTTCACATTCTTGCAAAGGCACTTAAATAGATAGCGTTTCGAGCAGTCAATCGGGTGCTGTAATCATTATCTCATTATCAGATGAAGGCATTATTGTGTACACACAGTAGGCCTATACACTTAAATTTACGCGAAAGTTGTGAAATATCAATATTAGTGCAAATAATCTAATGCCATTTAATTTCTATGTAGTATCAATAGTATGATAATCATCGTACATTGCAGCATATATTCTGTTTAATCGCAAGCCTGTCTCTTTTTTGTATAAATGAAGCAAAAATAGTCAAATATGTTTTTTTAAACACGGCAGATGTGATTACAACAATTTTTATTTAGAGAATAAAGAGTGAGGTTAAAACGTCACATGAGGCAATCATTAAGAAGGCACGGGAGCCAATAGTGCCGCCTCAACACGTATGGTTCCTGTTCTGTACGTTCCTGGCACTATCTGCCCTGCGCCCACGGAAATGCTATTTTTTATTTTGTTTTTTGCCTCGTGGGGAGAGTTTATTAGGCGGCGCCACTCATCCTGTGAGTGGACATACCGCCATAACAGCATATACAACACCCTCTATTGGGTGTTGTATACACCTCTGAATACTGGAATACAGATTGATGGTTGAGAGGCGGGACCAAAGAGCCAAAGCTCAACCCCCGCAAGCACAAATAGTGCCTATTAAATTAAGAAGCAGGCATTTTTATCACATTTGACTACTTGTAATCCTGCTAATATACTAGAGTTGTTGTTTTAGATTCAGCTACTTAGAACAAAAGTTCCAAAGTAGCACGGGCTATGATGAGCCCGTAGTGGACTTACCTGGCACAGGAGCGGGGTAGTAACTCCCCATCATAAAATTCAGCCTGGTTAAAGAGACATTGTCAGCGGCGTCCAATAACAGTAACTACAGTGCCAACGTCACTGATCTCCCTAATCTACATCCTGCTTATCCATCCCTAGCTACTGACCCATCACAATATACATGTAGCGTGTTTTCTGTGGGTAATTTTCTAATTATACAATGATATGTTGCCCTTAGCTCTCCTATCTCATACATACTTTTTTTCTTTTGCAAGGGAATAATTATTACATCTACGTTACAATCCTCCCATGGTGGTGTGAATTGTCTTAGGCAGAGTAATACATTCTGGAATACCATCATCTTTATAACATTAGAACATAAGGTACTCATATATGCTCTCTTCTTATACTTTATCATACATTGTTCATTACTTCCCACCTTTTGAACTGAGAGGATTAATTTATTAGTTCCCCCACCTCTCATTAATCTAATGGCAGAGGCTACATTTATCTCTGAAATTCTATCCTCAATGCTCTTCAGATTCAACTCCATCCTCATTATCTCAATCACAGCATTTCTTGGGCATCCTAAGATAATTCTCATGGCTTCGTTTTGTACCTTCTCCAACTTGCCCATCCTACCTTCACCAAAACAAGGAATGAGAGGTGCAGCATAATCAATAAGAGATTTTACAATACTCAAGTATATCATTCGTAGAACAGGGACACGGGAGACATCTCCCGTCACGCAGGGTGCAGCCTCACCTCCACAGATCTCCAGTATCAGCTCTTGATACTGGTAATGGCTCAAAAGGGCCACCACTTACGGGCTATTCATGCCCGTGCCACGTTTTGAGTGGCTTAATCTTCATCAATCAGTCAATCAGCACAGGGACTCCCACTCCCTTTCCACAGCATGCCAAGGCTTTCAGAGGTTGTAATCTCTTCCGATATTGACCCAACAGTTTGTTCATCTCAGCTTCCTTTCTAGCTCTCCTGAACTCTTGGGAACCTCTTCCTGCTTTCTCCAGGGCTTCCTTGCTTCTGCGAGTTCCTATATTAGGCTTCCTATCTTGGGGGTTTCCTTGCCATGGGTGGCCCTTGCTCCCCCCCCCCCTCCCCATCATAGTCTTTGTCATGGTTCTTATTTATCTGTATAAGATTCTTAGATGAATTCATAGAATAAAGACGGTTTATTTAATACAGGTGGTGTAAACACAAGAGGAAACAGGTGGAAACTGAGTACCCAGATGAGCCAAAGAGACATTAGAAATAACTTTTTCAGTGTCAAGAGTAGTTAACAAATGGAATGCACTAGGCAGTGATGTGGTGGAGGCAGACTCCATGTTCATGTAGATATAACAGAGCTTAATAGGCTCACAAATCTGTATATCAGTTAGACTGTCAAGAAGTGGGACCAAAGAGATGAACCACAAACCCCGCAAGCATAACTAAGCGAGAACATTCAGGATTGGTATCTTTTGATACTTGCTTGCCTGGGGTGAAAATGGTTAGTACACCACTTCGGGGTGACTGTGATAAGTACAGTTAGTTAGTTTAGTTCATTTATTATGCACCCCATACCCATCTTGTGGGCGGTAGTGGAAAGGGTTACAGAGGCACATAATGGGCTCAGGGACTGAACCCCACAATTCATTTAGCTAAGCAAGTTACAATCTTAATGAACTAGTTACAAAATTCAGTATAAGTCGTTTATACCAATTTGACAGTTAATTTCAGTAACACGATCAACAACGCTCGGAATATTAAGTTCCTTTCTCATGTTAAGTGTCTTTGTGGTACGAGGGCACCCAAGGATTATCCTCAAGGCTTCGTTCTGCAATTTTTCAAGCCCTCCAAGCTTTCTTTCAGGCATCAAAACAAGCAGAGGTGCAGCATAATCCACTAAAGATTTGATGTATGCAAGGTACATCATTTTGACAATTCTGACATTGGCACCATAGCCTGAGTGATAACCTGCAACAGCCTTAAGAGCTGGGAGCCTCTCTTTATACTGATGACACCACCTTGGGGTGACAGTGTTAAGTATACCATCTAAGTTACCTTGCAGTACAGTACCTTGTAATGTTCTGAGGATCCACGTCCCCACGACCCGGCCTTTGACCAGGTCTCCCAATTGGTCTGGTCAGACTGTGGGATGCGGCTGTTTGCAACCTGGTTAATCAGGTATTCTTTGGAAATGCTTACAGGGCTGCTTTAAGGTACCGGCAACTCTGGCAGTTGTCCGGGATGCCACGTAAAAGTAGGGAATTATGAGAATTTTCAAAGTAAATTTGAAAACTGCCCCAAAAGAAATGTCAACTACTATAAGCCAGCAAACTAACCAGTTGAATTATCAGTGGCGCAAACTGATCACATCATTATGAATGGGCCGCAAACCTATTAATAAATGGCATAGTTTTCCAAAGGATGCAGATACAGTAATCATAGTTTCGGTGAAAATGATGCATAGGAAAATTAACACTGGTGAAAATTTTCTTATTAGGTGGCACTTTATTTAAAGAACATCAATAAAATTTATTGCTCCCATTGTAACATTTTTGGCTTCTCAAATATATAATTTTTAGGAAAATCTAGAGTTAATGACTGGAAACATGCTCATCAATATGTATTTGTAATATTCATATTAGCATAATTTCTATAAAATTAGACAATAATTGTTAAGATCAACATATGATGATAACCGCGTAACCCCATGAATCAAGCTATGACAATAATTGCACTTTATGTTTAAAAGTCATTTGCCAGCAGGTATCCTGAGCACCAGGGCAGGAAAGAAAGATTTCTAAATGCACGTGTCAAAATAGTCTATCCATTTTATGACAATTTTTGTTAATCAAGTTTAATATTTCGTTCAAAGGTTGGCAAACAGTAAGACCTAGAAGGTGACCCCCAAGGAATCAAGTGTCCACCATTCTACTTTAAATTTTTTCCATTTTAGTTTTTTCTATTAATTGGGTTTTAATTCTATTTTTATATTGAAACTATTAATTTTCTATAATTTTATTTTAAACATACACAATACCACCTTAACCATTAATTGCATGTGTGGAGTTCATGCCAAACATTATACAGTATGCACAAACTTTGCTCATGTATTCTCTTATAATCCTAGTTCATATCCTTCCTTATCATGCGTCCTTGCCCGAAACGCATTGCGTAATAGTGGCTTTAGGCATTGTATGTACTAGCTCTATCTATATATCAATCCATTAATGTAACATCACTTGTATGTATATACCTTACCTGAATAAACATCTGAATCTGAATCTGAATATACACAATACTGTACTATTAAGATTTTTGTTCCAATTTTTGTCATAAACAGTATATGACCACTTTACTGGACATAACATCAGTTAACACCTAAAATTTTTCTTTACCTTTCAATCTTTTATTGGTTTACAATTTTTGTCTGGAAACATTTTTGGCACAGGTAGTCTTCATACACATTATTTCCTTCTGTCTGATTTTGGCTCATGATTGCATGGTGCATCTACTGTATACAAACTACAGTAATTGAATTTACACCACACTGTTCACACTGTTCAATGTTCATCATTTTTGTTATGTAGCTCCTTAATGTTTTTACCTCTTTGTTTCTTTCTGCGAGGGCACACTGCATCAGAATTCTCACCATCAAGTAACATAATGGCCGTATCATTTACATTTCTTTTATGTTTCCTTTTCTCTTCTTTCTTATGAAGGGAAAATGATGAATTGATAGCAACATTATGTTCAGTAACTTTTCTTACAAACTTTGCTACAAAAAATCCATGACATTTATCTACATCAGTTCTGGTTCTCAAGCACTTCTCTCCAAACACAAAGTTTTCATTTCCAAAATGCTTCCATCCAGGCAGTTTTTGACCAAGATTTTCTAGCTCAAACTGATGGTTAAATCTCTTTAAAGCTTCCTGAATAACTTCTTCATTCTCTTCTATGTTAACTGAACATGTAGAGTAGATGACCTCCTTTACTGATGGGAATGACAGAGCATGCAGCAAGATACAAACTTGGAAAGCTGCGAGACTCCTGATGCGCTGCTCAGGTATTTCGTCATTGTGGAGGCTCAAACCTGAAAAAAAAAATTATAGTTATACACGAGAAATCTATTTACTCTCACTACCCATAAATGTGTAACATTTATCAGATTTAACACAAAAAATCTTATTATGGAATCCAATTACCTTCTCACAATACTTGCTATTAAATACTTCCTATATTATAGTATGACTGCATGATTTTGATAAGATTAAAATGACTGCTTCTATATAAAATAAGTTCAGACCATTAAATGATTTTTATACTGTCAGTGTTTAGCTTTAAGTTTAATGTTTATGTAAAATATCACCTAATTATTGCATTGCTGGATTGAAAAATGTTTAAATTAGGATATTCTATGAGATGAGTGCAGGTTTCTATTTCATCAAATGCTTATTATTTCATGTTGTCTGGCTAGCTATATTTCCCAGATCATATTTCAGTGACAAGGGGAAGGTCACAGTAATAGGTCACGTTTGATGATAGAGCCGCAGAAATTCTACAGGTAAGAGATGGTTGGGTTGACTGTGTATATCTGGACCTAAAAGAGGCTTTTGACAAGAGTCCCATACAGACTCAAGAGATTGTTTTGTAAACTGGAACGTGCTGGAGGGGGGGACAGGGAGACTGCTGACATGGATGACAAATTTTTTGACAAAGATGAGAGCAGTAATCAGAAGCAAAGTACCCCAGGGTTCAGTTCTTACATCAGTAATGATCATTGTCTACATAAATGATCTATCAGAAGGAATACAGAATTATGAGTATGTTTGCTGATGATGCTAAGCTACTAAGGAAGATAGGAGATGTAGATGATTATCATGGCCTTCAAATGGACCTAGGAGGAGGCCTGGTCGAGGACCGAGCTGCGGTTGAGCCCCGAAATCATCGCAAGGTAAGGTAGATAAAGTAAGTGCTTAGAGCACCATGTGACAAATGGAATTCAATGTGAATAAATGCAATGATATGGAATGTGGACTAGGAGAAAATAGACCACACACAACCTACAAATTATTGGGAAAGAAATTAGAGATCTTTAACAAAGAAAGAGATCTAGAAATACTTCTGGATAGTAGAATGCCATCAGGAGAACCCACTGTTTGAGGAGCATATGCTGTGCTTTCCAACTTCAGAACCACTTTTTTAATGACATGGATGATGAAATACTAAAGAAACTGATAATGACTTTTGTGAGACCAAAACTGGGTCAAGTAAAAGGACTTCACCGAGGCCTTTACAAAATTTGACAATCAGGACTCTCCATATGGAAAGTATGAGGAGACATATGCACAGTTTATTCAGTAAATTGACTTGTATTAATACCACCCATCCACTGCCATCACCTAACACTGTAATTACCTAAGTGTAATTACACTTGGGTAATTACTGTATCAGGGGCGTGGACGGGTGGGTGGTAGTGGATAGATGATAATAATACAAGTCAATTTACTGAAAGAACTTGGAGACCTGCCTGAGAACTACTGCCGAGGCAAGTAAGGATGAAACGCAAGGCGAGTTGGTATGGCAATGTTGTGGCGAGACAACCCCTTCTGGTGGTGGTGGTTGATAGCAATAACCTAATAATAGTTGTCCGTTACCACCAGGACAGTTTGCTGAGCTTGGGTTGCCAAGTTGTGCCTCTTGGTAACTTATAGGGCTCATGTTATGCACTTTTCTGTTTAAATTTCCAGTATGATCCTGTAGATTACCTGTACATGATTTTTATAGTTCTCCTATTGCAGCCTGGCTTGGTGACTGTCTGGTCTACGAGGCCCCAATGGCACACAGTTTGGAATGTTGTCTGCTGGGTCGAGGTGGAATGTTGACCTGCCCTAATTGCTGCTGGTTCTATTCAATGTCAAGAAGAATCAAGGTTTAGGAAGGAACTGACTGGAATAGCTAAAAAAAAAACATACCACTTGATGAGCATGAAGGATCAACAAATATGAATTCCACATCCGAGTGCTTGTCATGTAGGAGTTTGGTGAAGTCTTTATTAAGAAACGTAACGCACGTTGTTCCTCGTTCATTCAAAAGTTTCTGGAGAGTCTGATAACGCTCAAAATCTTTTTCAACTGCCAGAACATGCCTGAAAAGATACAATTTTCATTCACACTTAAATATAATGATAACAATTAGTAATAGATTAAATTCCAAACATAATAGACATACGCACGGTTTGCAGCATACTGATCCGTGCAAGATTTGTGTTTCTGGAAAGCCACATGAAAAGTGAATTTGCTCAAAGATTTATTAGGCTTCCACATATCTAAAATTTATTTTACTTGTTTCTCAATATAATGTCTAACTGAACATCATTTATAAAAAAAGTCGTTCACTGGAATGGAACTGCAATTCCATTTTACTGCCACAGTTATGGCACATGAACTCCATGTAAGTTCTCCAAAGTGAGCTAGGCTACTGAGATTTCATCATATAGTTAATCAAGCTTCCTTCAAGCCACTGCACATGGAAGGTGAAAACTCAGACCTGTTTTGGACAACAATTTTCACCTTATACATTTAATAAAATAAAATGAAAAGAGCAGAAATAAGTGTTTACACTGAATCACTAAACACCGTAAATAATACTGATAGAAATACTGTACTGATAATCAAATATCAAAATCCAAGGTCTTGGCATTTTAAAGATCAGTGGAGGAAAATGGAGCAATTTAAAAACATTCAGTAATCTATCTCCATATATTATCTTGCTGGCAATTCCAATTTACAGTACAGTACAGTACTTAAAATGGACAAATGTGGCAAACACCATTATAGCAGAGAGAATTCCAGAAAGTATTGTATGGACAAAATTTACACCCCTCTAAGTGACCCTTTCCCCTCATGACCTCCGCCATGAATATATTGAATAACCAGCGAGACATCAAGCAACCTTGATACACTTACATTAATATAAAAATTCTAAAATCGCATAGGCTGTCTATTGCGTAAAAGCAAGTGAGACTATTATATGTTTCCTTACCCGTTGTCAGAAATGGCTGCTGCAATGTAAGAGGTCTTGTTTCCAGGTGCAGCACATGCGTCTATCACATTAGCTCCGGATTTTAAACTGCTAAGAAATACTGGCAGACAACTAGCCTGAAAAATATCATATCATTATGCCCATGTATCTAAAGAAACATCGTAATCCCACAGCAAATGCATTAACTTGAATAATATTTTACCTCTCGGTTAGCACAGTGATGATAAATTCTTCCAATTCTGATTTCAAACAAATAATTTACTATAGTATTACAATTAGTGAATAAAAAAATCAAGTATTGAATATAAGGAATCTCCAACTTCTGGGTGAGCCCCAGTGGCTCCCTGAAGCTACCGTCTCCAATGTAGGTGCCATCAGTCACGGAGTTCTTTGACCTGCTGGGGACCCAGTGCAAGAACCTGGTCCCCCTCACATACGTAAAGGAAGCTGTAGCAATTTATATATTAGGTTATTCATTTATGCCACCACCGAGGAAGGCACCCAGAAAGTCAGCGAGTCTAAACAAATTACAGCTGGCTGCCTCTGAGACCTGAAAGCTAGAAAACAGCCATAGAACTCACCAAACTATGTAAACATATGATCAGAAATGTTACAAACCAAGCACCAGCATGTTCCCCCCCACCCTTCCCCTCATTTTGGGTGAGGAGGGGGGCAAGCCACGGCTCACAGGCCACTCCATCATCAGCTCAACAAATGATGTAAGAACGCGACTCCTTGGGGAAAGGAGGGTGCCAGGGAGCCCAAGTGGCTCACGCAGAAATTGGGGTTTCATTACATTCAATGCTCGTTTTCTGTGGGGGGAGCCCCTTGTCGATCCCCCAAAGCTAACTACCCACAGAGAAGGAAGAAATGGGCACTCACCACGGAGGGAGGACTACAGGTATGAAATTGAAGACAAGACCGTCGGCCTAGAAAGCAGACCCAAGGCCGCACAGGGGAGCTGAGGACCGGAAACATTGTCCAAATACTAGTACTGGGCTGCCAACACACAGTTCGACCTCCATAAGTCTGGCGCCTGAACATCAGCCCAGGACATGTAAGCAAATCAGCTGAAAGAGTAGCATATTTGCAAACATCATGGGCACAAGGGTATACCACAGGCTGGCTAGACTTAATGACACTGTGGACAACCTGAGAACTACGAGCCTTGGAACAGGGGGTAAAGGAAACAGGATCATTCCCTCAAGGCATCAACCGATGCAGAAGTGGTGACGTGAATGTAGCATCGGAGAGCTGCCACCAGACACAAAACAGAGAAGTCTTTCCAAGGAAAGAAACAATAAAACTTTAAATAATAAATCTACTGTATAAATATATCCTTTCACAAAATAAGGAATGTACATTACTGTTGAAGCATAAATTCTTTTGAAAATTTTGTTGTTTCATATAAGATGAAACATAGCAAAACTGCACCTCACCTTGTCTTGCAAAATTACAGCATTACATTCATAGAGAATGCTATCCCAGAACGGGGTGTTGGGTGGGAATATCAGCAAGTCAGGTATATGATAATCTCTTAGGTAGGTTGACTCTTCCAAATTCTGAAAAAAGTAAAATTAGAAAATATAAATGTTCCATACCTGCTTATCAACAATCATATAAAAAAATCAAGGAGCTCCCCTGGAAAATTCCATTTTTTGTTTAATTTGGGAGGGATAAATAACCAATATCACAGTGACAAAGTGTATAATAGTGAATGAATATCTGACAGACAGAAACCAAAAAATGTTAAACAAAGCAGAAAAAGTGTTCTTGAAAGAAATAGTAGGAGCACACGATGACCAAAGCAAAGATGGCTTCCGGCATGAGGAAGGTCAACACAGAAAAGATTGATTTTGGTGGCTTTGATGAGGAAAATATTAGTATGAGTGGTTTTCACTATAGGCTGACAAAAATAGAGAATATTGTAAAATATTATGTGTATAAAATTAAGAATTAGAGCACCAGTAATGAAAACAAGGTTACAGCTCTGAAAGATCAAATAAAGGAATTATAAAAGGATAGGAAACTTTAGGAAACTGAAAAAAAAGTCCTGGAGGAGGAAAATAAAGAATTAATAATAGCTCTTGAAGTTAAATCAAATTTAGATGTCAATAAACATGTTAAGTTGGGCAAGGAAATTCAACAGGGAAAAAAAAAATTCATCTGATAAGATGTAGGAGGTTACACAGGATATAGGAAAGTGCAAGAAGGGTATGCAGCACAAATGGCCAGAAAAAACCCAGCGTTGAATGTAATGAAACGCCATTTTCTGGGTGAGACCCGGAGGCTCCCTAGAGCTATCCAGGCTGATATGGATATATTAGATGTTGGCATCAGTCAATATGAATAGAGTTCTAGGCCTACCAGGGACCACGAGCCAGAACCGGACCCCCCTCAGAGAGGCACGAGGAGCAATGGCCTATAGAACTGCACATGTGGTTATGGAGCATTCTATGTCTACCATTGACCAGTTCAGGCACCCAGAAAAGTAAGCACCCCAAAACAAACCCCTATTCTGGCCGAAACTACTACTGAAAGTCAAACGAGTGGACAGAACTTTAACTACACTAGACAATTGTTAACGCAACCTGATTCCCCATAATGCCCCCAAATTATTATGCTTATTGCTAACTCTAGGCACAATGTTGCTATTACAGTATTATTATTATCAGTATCCTGGTCACTAAATCCTGAATATGAATCACTTTGTACAAGTTTATTTTCTAAAGGAGCATGAGGTTGTTTTACGATGCATAGATGTACCAAACAATGGGAGAATGCTGTCGCTGTCTGTGTCATGATGAGAACACCATAAACATCATTGTGTTCACTGATATCTGAACATAATACTATCCATAGTCTTTATCACAGTCAGGATCGTCTAATATGGTACTATCATCGCAAAATAATAGCAGTTACTTATATATTTTGCCATTTTTAAGTGATGCCGTAGACACAAGCTGAACTACGGTGCTGTTAGCTAGTGCTTCATGTGCCACTCTTGATTGCTCACTCAGTACTGAAGTCTTCACACTCAGGAACGATATCCACATTTTTTTTTTTTAAATCGCATCTGTTTACTGGAGGCCTGAGAAAGACTGTGTAGGCCCTATGTACAGTACCAGTGGGAGGTTTTAAATCTTGTGTGGTATGTTAAATCATCCTTAGATAGCTGGTGCAGGTTGGTTAGATATGCCGCAGTCATCCTTGTATGACTAATGCAGCGGAAGGACTAAGGTTGCTAAAAATAGTAAGGTTTGTTAATAAAAGTTGTTAAAACTATAAATGCATGCGACTAAGTTAACGACTAAGTTAAATCACATATATTAGTTCACAAATACATAATTAGTTTTATATTATCTAACCACATCACTTGTTAAAATACTTACATTAATAAGACAAAGAAAATCATCATATGTCACTTGGGCAGAGTCATATTCTTGAAATATCCACCCTTCACTATCAAGCTGGAATTGTACATCACTCATAGATGTCTTTAAGGTATTAACACGAACATACCGTGGACTGCATTCTGTAAATGAGTAATGTTTTGATGAAAACCAAGGTAAAAATACAAATGTATTATTAACATTAATGATGAAACTTTTCCCTTTATATCCTCCAAATTTATGGACAAGACAAATCAAGATTAAACAAAAGTGACTTGAGACACAAAAGATAAATGGAGCTGAAGACTAAAATGAATAAAATCCAATCCTGTTATGGTCACTAATTGCTTTAGGTTAAGTAGCCACAGCAATGAGCAAGTTAAACAAATCCAGGAGTTCATGTGAAATATATGTACACTAAACAAAATTCAACAGTTTTATTATATAGTGCAGCGAGACCTAGCTTGAATAACAAAATCCTTTATTATCTAAAGAAGTTTGTTTAGGTTCCATTATAGTGAAGTTTGAACTAATCTAAATGGAAACTGCATTAAATACATTGAGGCCTCGCTCTAATGAATTCCTGAACAGTGTGTGTTCAGTGAATATTATACAATGGCACATACAAATGATCAATAAAGGTATGATCGTTCATCTAAGCTGTTAGTGCAGCAGAGTGCTAGGAAGTGCCTTTGCTAGCAGCATCCACCACATCCAAGTGTAAACTACTGTACAAAGCTTAACAACTTTCAAAGAAACTTAACCCTTAGACAGTGGCTATGGAGAAATGGACATACCCGCCTATGCACAAACAATACAAAATTTCCTGCCGGAAGCCAACCGACTCATTCTTTGCCAGAAAAGGATTAGCCAGCTATAAACAAACAAAACACCCATCACGGCCAAAGCAACAAAACTCCACCTCCGGAGAGGTGGAGTTTAGAGGAAAGCATTTAGCTCTCCAACCTGACAACTGAAAGCAAGACAACCTGAAAACAAAGACGTACAGAAACAACCATGAACCAAAGGGGACACTGTAAAATGAGAAGAAAGAAATACAAGAATATGGTCCAGAGACCAAGCAGGCTCGGGTAGGGCATGAGCAGGCTGGAGATAAAACAATGTGAGGCAGCTTGTGAAATGGAGTCAAAGCAGTATCAATCCCCAGTGCAAGCTGAAATGGCTCCCCCAGTGCTGCATGATACAAGATGACAACATTCGGTATGAGATGCAGACCAAGAAAAAGCCAAGAAAGAAAGAAAGAAGAGCAGCACATGCTTAGAAACTGAAGAACAATGAATACAGGAAAAGAAGTGACGAAAGGAGCACCATGAAACCTCATACTGTCACCAAGCAGAGAAACACAGGTGGTACAACATAAAAGAAGCCACCTGTTCCCCATAAAGATGGCAATAAACATTCATAAAAGATGCAAAGAGCAGTCAAACCAGTTGAGGATGTAACTGTTCTGACCTTCCGACAGAGGCAGAGCTGCGGAAAAACACCCAAGTTCGGACACTGAGTAAGAAGCATGTGAAACCAAGACAGAGTGCCAGCCACCAGGGAGCCAGAAGGATCAACTTTTCCCTGGTAGGACTCCAAACTGGCTAGGGCCTAGATTAACAGTCAGAACAGGGTAAGAGGTACTGGAAACCCCACCTAAACCAGTCCAGGTGAAAGACATCCACTGCCAGGGCCTCACAATCCAGGAAAGGAGCCACGTACAGTACAAGGGAAGGCACCGAGTCCATCCCGATGCAGAGGTCTACATCTGGGCACCCAAATGTCTTGCAAAGCTACAGGAAGGAGATGGTATTGATGGCCCACTCCGTGGAAATGGGACAGACTGTCTGAGGACATTGGACATTCCCTGGACATGAATGGCGCAGAGAGCCAAACTCCGAGAACCCAGCAGAAGAGTTACAAGAAGTGTTCAGGTCCAAACAAACAGGAGTAAGGACCACAGGTAAACAAACTAATGCCCCACAACTCTGACTAGTAAAAGCAAAAGCCTGAATTTAGTCATCCAGCTAAAATACAGCCACATAGATGACCAGGATAATGATCAAGTACACTTGAGAGCAAGGGGGGGTGGGGGACCAGTCTCCTTCCAGAGAGACTACTGCTGGCTCCCAAAGAGCCTATGCTAATTTAGATGATCACCTTTGAGAAACTTACCAAATAATTAAAAGGAACATTCATGTGACATTGACCCAAGTCTTAGCATATTTCATATGTAAAGAACCCAAGAGTTAAGCAGAGCCACAACACTGTGATAAAATGGCAAACTCAAGACATAGTTTTAGAAGTGGGCCCATCCTGCCAATATGTTGGTTGCACATTCAGGATACAAGCAAGTTTGGTGGGGTATGTGGGGATGGGGAGAGGGGTGTTCAGCTGTCTGTGTTCCTGTCAACCTGTGATTTTGCAGGTTTGTTGAGCCTATGAATGTCACACAATAAGGATGCCAATAAAACACATAATTGATTGTATTACAAAACTTCCTAGGTTATCATTGGTAACTGAGACTACTGGGATTATACCCCAGCAATAAAGCATGTACATATAAATTTTGGAGCAGATATGTCTATTTGTTTTAAAAAAATTATCAAGGTCCTCAAAACTATCCACAACCTACTTGAACTACCATACGTAAGTCCCGGCAATTTCAAGACAACACATGATGAAATTCTCCAGACATAACTTGAAAAATGCCACAAAACAGTATAGTATTCTTACTGGGAATACCTAACACTGTAATAATAGTTTCATGAGTGATCAACTAACATATTAAATGTACTGTAAAATGTTCAGACATCATGCCAGAAATATTTCTTTAAGAACATCATATATTTTTAAGTTTGAAACACTCACCTCTCTTCTCATGGGAAGATTGTTTGAAAAGACAAGAACTCATCAAACTTCTGATCTTGTCTTCATATTTAAGCAGAGTAAGTATTGGTCTGCAATCGCCCAATAATCCTTTTCCAAGCATCTCTTGCGTTAATACTTGTGCAAGATATGGACTGCAAATAAAAGGATGTAAGTGTTGTGTAAACTAAACACACGCACACACACACACAAAAATTACTAAATGGTTTTCTGTCCGATTGTAACAATCTTTTTAGGGAACAGAGGATCATTATACAGTACTTGTAAATGAGGCAGATGAAGAAAGTTTCAAGGGAAATAGAGGAATGCAAGACAAATTAAATTGTCTTGCTGAATTTCGAGAGAAAAAATTGCATCAATGCTAGGCCCACCATATAAAATAGAGAAACTGTAATGTTATTGCAAACATTGTTTTACCTAATGTATCCCATTATATGTTAGGTTAATTTAACATTTTATTATCCTATTACTGTATAAAATAATAATAATGAACAAATTGCAGCTTTTTTAATCAAATTTTATTGCACTTGGAAAATAGGAAACAAAATAGGAAAGCCTATTTTTTTGCCAGATGCATAATATAGGTACAGTACTGTTAAAGATTGGAACCATCCGACCAAAACGAACTGCAAATGGCTGCGAAAACAGAACACTTGTGTAATTGTGACTCCTTTTGTTATTGTTTAAAATATTTTGTTAATGTTATTTTCTACTACGTAATTTATACATTACATTCTAGGCTTATTTGGAAGAGCTTTGAGTGCCGCATAGTACACTCAATGTACTGTACTATGCCAGTGCTGTTTAATGTGAACACTTAATGTGTAATGTGTTGTTAATGTGTAATGTGTAATGTGATGTGAGGGAGAGTACGGTGCCATGGAACCAAGCCCGAAGTACACGAAGAGGAAGTCAGTGAAGCAAAGGTCAATGAAGGGTGAGCAGGGTCTGAACTCAACGGACCCAGCAGTGGCAAAAAGGGTGGAACTGGAGGAACCAATACAGTGCCTCAAGTCAAATTCTGCCCAAGGGTATCACATTAGTGTGATTTCTTTGTGTACTGTAACCATTATTAATGAATAATTATCAGTAATCATTAATTATCAGTAATCATCTATTGTAGTTCCATAATACACATTATCCAATAAATATGTAAACTAAAAATATTATTATTATCAGAAATAACATTCAAATGTGTAACAATTAACAGTTTGGAGAAGAAAGGTTTGTGGCCTAGCCCACAAAAAAAAATATTTGCCATTTTAAGGGCAAAAGCAAAACATTCACTATACATACTAGTAATTACAACATAAAAGTTAATTAGACACATGCGAGGTACAAGATCAAGTAGAACAGACCTTGTGGAGCTTTTAGCATTCAAAGTGATTAAGGAAAGGAATTGTCGGGAAAGCGCCAAGCCATGACGGCTATATAGCACTGGGAAGGGATCAGGATAAGGATTTAGGATGAGATGGAGGGAAGGAATGGTGTCCAACCACTTCGACAGTCGGGGATTGAACGCCGACCTGCATGAAGCGAGACCGTCGCTCTACCGTCCAGCCCAAGTGGACGGTAGAACAAAATAATTAAGGTTAGATTTAGACAATTCTGACAATGGGGAAATAGTGTAATAAAAAATATTAAGCGTTAACTAGCCCCTTTCTTCGAAACATGTTGAACCTGTGCATGTCTACATGAAGAGTGAATTCCAAAGGAATAATTTCTCAACATTTGTAATAAATCTTTTAAAATGTAATATAAAACCAGGCAAAGACTTACTCAAATTTTGATTCCTTGGTATATAAATTGGATTCAGCAAGAGCAGTCTTTATTGCAGCAGAATTCTCTACTGTTTTACACAGGAGCCCATAGATTCTCTTGTAATTCTGGAACAGTTGAAATTAACTAATAATATTAATTAATAATGATAAGAAAACTAAATAACAAGTTTTGAATGTAATGAAACAACTCTTTCTGGTGGGTCTTATGGTATTTTTTGGTGCTTGTTGCCTGGCAAGCTCCAAAAAATGAATGTAACATTGAAACTGCTTTACCACCGAGCAGCTCGCTCGTTTCTGGGCATTCTGTTTTACAGGTATTCTGTTTTCTATGTTTTGTTTATCTTAACCAATTCTTGGTTTGGGTGAACTATGATTCCCCTGCTTCTTGCAACTTTTTATAGGGGGCCAGATTTTGACCTCCACTTAGACCTATTTGCGCGACACACAAGGGTCTGGTGGGGTTGAATTCGACGAAGATTGCCAGGCAGCAAACACCAGAGCCACTCAGGAGCCTTCCTAGAGAATATAATATGATGATTATTCTTTATTTGCAAAAAACAAAAAACAAAAATACACTTATAATTTTGGGAATTACCATCTATACTAGCGGTCACCATGTGACAATTTTATTTGTGTATTGTATGTATGTATTTTCTTTAACTGTTATATTTAATGGCATCAAATAGTTTGACTTTAATAACTATCACTTCTTGTCTGGTGGACCGTGGGATTCACATTAGTGGTCCGCGGGATTTTAAATTATGAATTTGGTGACCTGTAAAATCCGAAAGGTTGGCGACCGCTAGTCTATACAGTACATATTCAGAACAGAAAATCTATTTAGTCCACTGCTGTGATATTAAAAAACACAGCAGTGGACTAAACCATTTAATGCTAGGCTAAGCAAATGTCCCCAGATCTTCTATAAAATATATTTCTATATGTAACTTACTTTATATTTTCCTTTATAGACCAATGTTTTAAGAGTTCCTTCTTTGTTCTCATACTGTCTCAATATTTTGCTGGCCTCTTTGTATAACCGAGGCACCGGAATGGAATGCTGCCTCTTGTCTCCCATTGTACGTGTTGTGGCAGAGATCCAGACAGGAGCTGTGGCACAGACCGTGTCAGGAGCTGCGGCACAGACCACGTCAGGACCCCAGGACCTGCGGCACAGACCGTGTTAGGAGCTGCGGCACAGACCGTGCCAGGAGCTGCGGCACAGACCGTGCCAGGAGCTGTGGCACAGACCGTGCCAGGCGTTGTGGCACAGACCACGTCAGGACCTGCGGCCCAGACCACGTCAGGACCTGCGGCACAGACCGCGTCAGGACCTGCGGCACAGACCGCGTCAGGACCTGCGACCCAGACCACGTCAAGACCTGCGGCCCAGACCACGTCAGGACCTGCAACCCAGACCACGTCAAGACCTGTGGCCCAGACCACGTCAAGACCTGCGGCACAGACCACGTCAGGACCTGCGGCCCAGACCACGTCAGGACCTGCGGCCCAGACCACGTCAGGACCTGCGACCCGGACCACGTCAGGACCTGCGACCCGGACCACGTCAGGACCTGCGGCACAGACCACACGTGCTTCCACCCACCCAACACAAGTTAATTAATGAATATGTAGGTTGAATGAAGGTGTGTAGTGGTGATGCCTGGAGGAGTGGTAGTAGACAGGTGTGTGGTAGTAAGCAGGTGTGTGCTGCTCCTCGCCGTCTCCCGGGAACCTTTCTGGAGGCCACATGTGTCTCTCACCCCCCAAACCGCCCTTCCCCCCCTCTTCTCTCACAACAAATCTTCTCTCACTGAGAGAGTGAGAGAGAAACGATTTATCCTCCTCAAGCACATTCCACGAAGATGATTTGAAGCAGAAATCTTAAAAATGGACTTTGTGAAGCTTTTTACACCCATATTCTTCAGATATGAAGAACAGAAATACATTAATTGAAGATAACATAGAGGGAGGTGGGCCGGAACACCTGCATGGCGCGGGGCCCTTCCCAGTCTCCTATTTTCCCCATTAACATCACCAATATGGCTCGGAAATGTGTTCTCGCCTGCTTGAAACAACTCCATCCGCCTATTGTATTACCTCATAACGAGAGGTACATTGTAGGACGGTCAAGGGACACAAGGATCAAGTCTAAACGTTGCTCCAAACGGCAAGGTTAGATTGGACCGGATTGAGCCATGTTAAGAGGGTGGGTGGATCGTCATGGGGGGGCGTCATGGTGATATTGAGTGGTTGATAACATTCTTGTCTGGGCAGGCCGGGGTCTTTGTCAGTTCTTGCTCCACAGTGGTCTTCCTGGTGAGTCTGGTTTGTGCTACACGTCTCAGTGGTCTTCCTGGTGAGTCTGGTCTACACTATACTTCACAGTGGTCTTCCTGGTGAGTCTGGTCCACACTATACTTTACAGTGGTCTTCCTGGTGAGTCTGGTCTACACTATACTTCACAGTGGTCTTCCTGGTGAGTCTGGTCTACACTATACAGTGGTCTTCCTGGAGAGTCTAGTCTACACTATACTTTACAGTGGTCTTCCTGGTGAGTCTGGTCTACACTATACTTCACAGTGGTCTTCCTGGTGAGTCTGGTCTACACTATACTTTACAGTGGTCTTCCTGGTGAGTCTAGTCTACACTATACTTTACAGTGGTCTTCCTGGTGAGTCTGGTCTACACTATACTTCACAGTGGTCTTCCTGGTGAGTCTGGTCTACACTATACTTCACAGTGACACACAGAGGATGATAAACTAATGATGATAAATGCATATAGTCCACCGCCAAGCAGCACATGGTCAAAGGAGGAGCTAGATAGTAAACGTGAAGGTCTTATAACAATAATGAGAGAGATTATAGCGAGAGCGGATAACGATAGATCACGACTGTTGATAGTCGGTGACTTCAACTTGAAATCCATAGACTGGGAAGCATATGAAGCTAAAACAGAAGATTTTTGGACCTGTAAATTTGTAGACCTCATCCTGGAAACATTCTTGTATCAACATGTTAAACAAGCTACGAGGATGAGGGAAGGGGACGTTCCCTCCATGCTAGATTTGATATTTACCAGGAAGGAGGAAGAGATATTTGACATTCAGTACCTTCCTCCCTTGGGTAAAAGTGACCATGTCTTTTTGGGAATAAAGTATGCAATGCGTTATAAGCTGGAAGAAAATAAGGAGGTTGAAGCAGTTGAAAAACCAGACTTCAGGAGAGGACATTATGGTGACCTTAGAAATTTTTTTAGTGAGTATAATTGGACAGACTTGATGCTAGGCAAGGAAGTGAATGAGATGTATGGCAAGTTTTGTGAAATATATGATAAAGGCACAAAAAAATTTATACCAAAACAGAGATGCAGAACTAGGAAACAGGATTGGTTCAATAGAAATTGCGAGAGGGCTAGAGACCGAAAGACACAAAAATGGAATCAATACAGGAAGAGGCCGAACCCCCAAACATACCAGCGATACAAAGATGCGAGAAACAACTACACGGCAGTGAGGAGAGAGGCAGAAAGAAATTTTGAAAAAGGGATTGCGGACAAATGTAAAACAGAACCAGGTCTATTCTATAAATTCATAAACAACAAATTGCAGGTAAAGGATAATATTCAGAGGTTGAAAATGGGAAATAGATTCACGGAAGATGAAAAGGAAATGTGTGAAACACTAAACGAAAAGTTCCAAAGTGTGTTTGTACAAAATGAAATCTTTAGGGAACCAGATACAATAAGAATTCCAGAGAACAACATAGAACACATAGAGGTGTCTAGAGACGAAGTGGAAAAAATGCTCAAGGAGCTCGGTAAGAACAAAGCAGCTGGCCCAGATGGCGTTTCACCATGGGTTCTGAGAGAATGTGCATCTGAGCTCAGCATTCCACTTCACCTGATCTTTCAGGCATCCCTGTGTACAGGAATCGTAGCAGACGGGTGGAAACAGGCTAACATAGTTCCAATCTACAAAAGTGGCAGCAGGGAAGACCCCCTCAATTATAGACCTGTATCATTGACAAGTGTAATAGTGAAAGTATTGGAAAAACTAATCAAAACTAAATGGGTAGAACACCTAGAGAGAAATGATATAATATCAGACAGACAGTATGGTTTTCGATCTGGAAGATCCTGTGTATCGAATTTACTCAGTTTCTATGATCGAGCCACAGATATTACAGGAAAGAGATGGTTGGGTTGACTGCATCTATCTGGACCTAAAAAAGGCTTTCGACAGAGTTCCACATAAGAGGTTGTTCTGGAAACTGGAAAATATTGGAGGGGTGACAGGTAAGCTTCTATCATGGATGAAAAATTTTCTGACTGATAGAAAAATGAGGGCAGTAATCAGAGGCAATGTATCAGAATGGAGAAATGTCACAAGTGGAGTACCACAGGGTTCAGTTCTTGCACCAGTGATGTTTATTGTGTACATAAATGATCTACCAGTTGGTATACAGAATTATATGAACATGTTTGCTGATGATGCTAAGATAATAGGAAGGATAAGAAATTTAGATGACTGTCATGCCCTTCAAAAAGACCTGGACAAAATAAGTATATGGAGCACCACTTGGCAAATGGAATTTAATGTTAATAAATGTCATGTTATGGAATGTGGAATAGGAGAACATAGACCCCACACAACCTATATATTATGTGAGAAATCTTTAAAGAATTCTGATAAAGAAAGAGATCTAGGAGTGGTTCTAGATAGAAAACTATCACCTGAGGACCACATAAAGAATATTGTGCAAGGAGCCTATGCTATGCTTTCTAACTTCAGAATTGCATTTAAATACATGGATGGCGATATACTAAAGAAATTGTTCATGACTTTTGTTAGGCCAAAGCTAGAATATGCAGCTGTTGTGTGGTGCCCATATCTTAAGAAGCACATCAACAAACTGGAAAAGGTGCAAAGACATGCTACTAAGTGGCTCCCAGAACTGAAGGGCAAGAGCTACGAGGAGAGGTTAGAAGCATTAAATATGCCAAAACTAGAAGACAGAAGAAAAAGAGGTGATATGATCACTACATACAAAATAGTAACAGGAATTGACAAAATCGACAGGGAAGACTTCCTGAGACCTGGAACTTCAAGAACAAGAGGTCATAGATTTAAACTAGCTAAACACAGATGCCGAAGAAATATAAGAAAATTCACCTTCGCAAATAGAGTGGTAGACGGTTGGAACAAGTTAAGTGAGAAGGTGGTGGAGGCCAAGACCGTCAGTAGTTTCAAAGCGTTATATGACAAAGAGTGCTGGGAAGACGGGACACCACGAGCGTAGCTCTCATCCTGTAACTACACTTAGGTAATTACACTTAGGTAATTACAGTGGTCTTCCTGGTGAGTCTGGTCTACACTATACTTCACAGTGGTCTTCCTGGTGAGTCTGGTCTACACTATACTTCACAGTGGTCTTCCTGGTGAGTCTGGTCTACACTATACTTTACAGTGGTCTTCCTGGTGAGTCTGGTCTACACTATACTTCACAGTGGTCTTCCTGGTGAGTCTGGTCTACACTATACTTCACAGTGGTCTTCCTGGTGAGTCTGGTCTACACTATACTTCACAGTGGTCTTCCTGGTGAGTCTGGTCTACACTATACTTCACAGTGGTCTTCCTGGTGAGTCTGGTCTACACTATACTTCACAGTGGTCTTCCTGGTGAGTCTGGTCTACACTATACTTAACAGTGGTCTTCCTGGTGAGTCTGGTCTACACTATACTTCACAGTGGTCTTCCTGGTGAGTCTGGTCTACACTACACACTCAGCTTAACATCACACATCTGCACCTTCACGTAGAGAATCCTAAGGAAAGGAAGCATTCACCATCTCGGTTAACAATCTCATTAAATCAACACAACATGGATTTGTTAAAAATAGATCCTACCTTACAAACCTGCGCACATTTTTTGAAATAGTAACCAGATACTCAGACAAAGGACTAACAGTAGATGTAGTATACATGGACTTGGCTTAAACTTTTGATAAGGCACTACATAAAAGATTAGAAAGGAAATTACTGGCATATGGAATAAAGGGTATAATACACAGAGAGTAATCACACTTAGAGAGTAATCTACCTCTGACGCTCCTCTTTCAATACACAGGGAGTAATCGCACTAACGTGATGTGTCAATGAGAAAATCCGTATGAGCCGTGATGAGGATTCTGGTCCGTGAAAATCCAGTGGAAAATCCTGGTTCGGCTTCAGTAGAAGCCTCGGGAACCCTTGTGGGCTCGGTAGAACTCCAGGTTGCAATCCTTTTGACCATGTCGTGGGCTAGTTGACTAGGGCATGTGTGTGGGAACCCAACACATAGGTTCGAATCCTCATCACAGCTCCTATGGACTTTCTCAAAGGGTATAATACTTCAATGCATAAAACAATGGTTAAAACAAAGAAACAATGGGTCATGCTAAACAGGAATGCAACTGTCTGGAGAAATGTGGTAAGTGGGGGTACAGTCGAGGAAAATTCGTTTTCCCCATACTGGAAAGTGCAAAATGGCATATTCTCTTGTTGTTATTGTAGTATTGGGTTAGATTATGAATGAATAAGTGGTTTGTAACGACGATGTAACTGTCGCCTATCGCAATAATTTATTGTGATGGGATTGGCAGCCCCGTTTTGTCATGTGATGCTATGAAACTGCTGATGTTTTCCAGACAGTTAACAATAGGCAACAACCAAGGACCCATGAGAAAGATGCATTTCATTATTATTATTATTATTATTATTAACAGGGTTATTAACCCATGGAACTGCCTACCCGCCAAAGTCATAAATGCCAAAACTCTGCTAACTTTTAAAGTACAGCTGGAAAAGATAGTCAAGGCAAATGGGGGGAGAGAAGGGGACTTATGACCGCACCTTCAGCCACTAGTGTTAGTGGCTGTCAGGTAAACTCGGGTAAACATTATATCCAATGCTGCTGTTTTGGTATGTTTCAGTTGAGCTGCTGGCAGATTATGCTACATACACTGTCACAGTACGACAAATTGGACCCAATGTGACTGGTGTTAATCACAAAGGTCTACTTTATGGTAGTACGACCCAGTTGCAGCACGGTGACATTCTAGAAGTAAGTTCTAATATTTCTTGTGGTTGTACAATATGCATGGTTGCAGTACATTATTGTACTGTGTTAATGATCTAAGTGAAATATGGTTCTGAGGTCTGCAGGAGCTATTAACAGGTTTGTGTATTACACTGAATACTCACGTAAAGGTCATCTCATATAGGCAGTGTGTGTAGACTTAAAAGCCTCCTGGTTTAGGTCCTTAAATGATATTCTTATGTTAATTATGGTGGGATTATATCTACCAAACAGTTCTTTTTCTCTTGTTTCTTGTAATCACCTTACCCATATGGTGTAGTTAAATATAGGTCTCCTATCTCCCTTACTCATTTTCATTGCTTTATTCATATTTGGATTGAATTTCATCAGCAATTTATTTGCCCACTCCTGAAGTTTGTCAAGGACTTCTTGCAGCATCCTTCAGTCTTCTTCAGTTTTTTTACTTCTGATTAACTTTGCATCTGTAAACATTGACATGTATGAGCTCACTACCCCTGAAAAGTCATTTTAATAAATAAATTTGAATGAGCAATGGTCCCAGGACAGATCCCTGTGGAACACCATTTTCCAATCTTCTCCAGCTTGATGTATACTCTCTTACTAAGACCGTTTGTTTCTTAGTCTGCCCATTCCATCATCTGTTGTTGCTTGACAAGGCTGTGATTAGGCATGCTGTGTTTGGGACCCTAGTGGCTTCTTCCGTTTGTGATCCATGTTTTAAGTTTGGCTTTCAGGTTTTGCTTGTTTCCCTGTAAGTAAGAGCGGGTTGCTACCCAAGGCTCTGTCGTGGGGTAGCAACCTGTTCAGAAGGGATTACGTATTTCAATTCTCTCAACAGTTTAGATTTATAATTTAGGAACCAATAATACAATTTTATCTTTTTTTTTTTTTAACAGGTTCTGCTTGGTGAGTACCACCACAGAGTAGAATTTGATCCACCTCCTGACAATACAGACACTAAGAAAAATTGCCAAACAACTGATCTAGAAATGCCACGAAGGAAGGCTGAGATTGAGCAGAGTTCAGAAAAAAGAAAAAATTCAGTTGGAGATGAAAACACAGAAAGACCAAAGAGAGCGAGGACACAAACACAAACAGAAAAAGGTGTGGAAGGCTGGGAGGAATATGATGATGAAGCATTACTAGTTTTTAACAAAAATATGGAAGGTAGAACGAAGGTATGAATATGTACTGTTACTCCTTTACTTCACTCTGCATTGAATAGTTTTCCCAGATAACAGACCCATGCTGTGTAGTCTATAATGAGATTGATTGTTTTTATTATATAATAAAACCATGGAATAATAGTGGATATTTAGTCTATTTTTTAAATTGTTTTTATTTGCTGCATTTGAATCATTTATGGTAGTTTTTGTGCAGTTTCAGTCAGTATTTCCCTCAGAATATGGTACTGCTGCTCTAGGGCCATATTCATTATGTTAAACTTCTATGAGAATCGCTGGCTACTGGTGGAAAGTACGACTCCAACAATTGTCTTGCCTCTTCAAAGGGGGCAGGGAGAACAAGAGGCATTTGGTGCAATACAGTTGATTGATGACATTTAAAGTATACTGTACTTCTCTGGATTGGCTGTGAGCATAAAATATCTCCTTTTGATTATGCAATGCTATCATAAGCACTAGAACCATTAATATTGGAAATCATTCAGAACAGATGCTGTATATTCACTATGGAGGTCGACTCTACTGACATCACGAGCTGCTTGTATTGCAATTAAAAAAGTACAAACAGCCTTTTGATTTCAGATTCAGGTCAGGGGGTCTATATAATAACGTTGCTTAAATAACTACAAGAGATTACATATTGCATATTACATAAGATCCATGCATTTGAAAGGAATTGTACTGTATATAGGGCCACAGGGAATGTGTAGTTATACAGCTGACTTTATGGTTTTGTTAACCATAAATATTTTATAATTTTGTATTTTTGTTTGGTTGTAGGTTGCTGGTTATGATATTGATGGTACAATAATCACAACACAGTCAGGCAGAGTGTTTCCTACGGACTACAATGACTGGAAAATTCTTTTAAGTGATGTTCCAGGCAAATTAAAACAGTTGTATCAAGATGGTTACAAAATAGTTTTCTTCACCAATCAAGCCGGTATTGGTGAGTACAGAGAAGTGAATCATCAGTTCAAGATTTGTGATATACTGCAACCAAAACAGTTTTATTAGTTATGTGATATATTACACTATTGTGTCACAGTTTTGGGCAGACCTTTCAGTACTAAAATAAATGATCAATGAAAAGTACTGTACTAATGTGAAAATGTTGCCACAGTCTGCAGTTTAATTTGTCAATGTCATTACATTACCAACTAATACGCTTAATATTTTGTTAAAAAGTTTATCATTTGCAGCTACTGGAAAACACACAGTTGCAGGAGTGCAGAATAAGATTAGCAATATCATTAATAAATTAGGGGTACCTGTCCAGGTATTCGTGTCCACTGGTAAGAGCAAATACCGGAAACCAGCCATAGGCATGTGGAATTTCTTCAAGAATAATGTAAGTATTATATTAGTTGTATATCTGGCAAGCCTCCCCTTTGATAGCTTCCCTAGTTTGATGCACTGGCACTAAAGGGTTATATCTGATATGCCTGGCTTCTGCTACTTCTTCTATTCATGGAAGCATTTCACACCGACTTGCCTTGCTAGGTTAGATTGTTGAGGGCATAAAAATGCCACCAGATAGCAGGCTGTCAGGGGTGGTGGCACCATCTTCACTCCTCTCTCTCTCTCACCTGGTACCTATCCCAATAGGCAGCTTTGACCAGGACCAGAAATCATCTTTACATAAAGTTGCCAGCTTTCCACCTGATGATATGGACCTTTCTTCATGTTTATGATCTTATGCTTTTGTTTTGCAATCATGTATGCTGGTTATCTTTAGTCAAATATAGATACTGCTCTTAAAAGATTCCCCACATTACACCCCCAAGATAACATAAATTTAGGGGTTGGTGAAGGTTAAATCTTCTTGTTTGATAAATTGTTAATTAGAGACAGCTAAGCTAGTCCCAGCTGTGTCTGATTACAAGTGACAGGATGAACAACCCAGCGGATTTTCTTCCTGTTTGGGGGATGTTGTACTGTACATGCTGTTATGTGGGTGTGTCCACTCGCAGGATGAGTGGCGCTGCCCAATAATTCGTACTTGGGGCAAAACTTAAAATTTAAAAGGGTTCACTAAGTGCATCTTTACATCCTTTTAAGTACCAAAGTACATATTTGATACATCACCAATTTCTCTGTCATTATCAATTACCTGATCTGACTCATTATTTAGTGGCCCCTGTCTTTTTCCCTTATGTTTGTTATTACGTCTGAATAACCCTTTAGAAATGATCTTTGTCTGCCTTGCTACTTGCTCTACAATAATTCTTTTAGCTTTTCTTCTATTCTTTTTTTCAGCTGTTCTTGCCTGTTTTGATAAATTGTTATTCAAGATGAACTTCATTCTTAATTTATTTGTTTACAACTTTCTTTTTTGTGTTTTCTTTTGCCCTGTATTTATCCTATTTTTTGGTCATTATTATTATTATTCATCCTAATTGATTTATATGGTCATTATACTGCATTTCTAGGCTTCAACTAGAAACTTTTTAAATGAGTTATAATTTCTATTTTCATCATAATCTAGAATCGGTCACTCATGTGGCTATTTGTGCTCGATCACGAATAACTTAAGAGCAAGACAAAATAATATATATGACATTCTTGCTTTATCCTTTGCATAGTTGCAACATATGGTATAATGTAATGACAAAAAATGGGAAAAAACATTTACATTCCATTATCTCTTTACAATTTGTACAAGGCTTTTAAAATAATACCATCTCTTATTTATTCATTAACTATTGAACACAATTTAATTTATTCCTTATACTGTATATTTTCTTTTGCATTCATGAATGCTGAAAATTTATATGAAATGACTCATATAGGGCTGAATTATAGATAAATTAGCAATAATAAATAAATTTGTTGAGATAATTCTTTGAAAAGTTTATTTATTAGAAATTTAATGAATAAAACATTGACGATTAGTAAATATGACAAAAACACACACACACTCACGTGCAATATTCGCTCCCTGTTTCAGGCAAATGGAGGAGTGGACGTGGACATAAATGAAAGCATGTACATAGGTGATGCTGCTGGTAGACCTGCACAAGGGTCAAAGAAAAAAGATTTCTCTTATTCAGATCGTCTGTTTGCTCTTAACATTGGCATAAAATTTTTCACACCGGAGGAGCACTTCTTAGGTAAGTATCTCTTAGCGGTTTGAAATTCCTCTATATATAAAACTATGGTACAGTGTATATCTAATTTTTCACTCTGTACTTCCTTTCACATAACCACAATATCTACATGCCACTGTATATATAGCACTGTTGCTTGTGTCACAATGTACACAAAAATGACAAATTACCATTCACCGGACACTAGTTAGCAGAGAAAGTAGGGAGATCCCCCAGCTGGATATTTGGACTTTTGAGAGAACTACTGTTACAAAGAGAAGGCATTTTGAGTCTTATTGAAGTCAGATCTGTGTTGCATGAACTCTGTGTGTTGGGAGTGATTTTGACCTGGGATGGCCCTAGAATCTGTGTGAAAATGTTGTATATAAATTAATTGAATGATTAGTTTTTATTAGTCCTCTAAATTGCCAGTCATAACAGTCTTCAACTAAATCCTTCATTCTTGGTCAAGAATGGGACTGAGGCTGTTTTTTTTGTAGGGGGTCCTATCTTCATTCAGGTCTGGTTACCTATCTTCATTCAGGTCTTGGCACTCTGCCTCAGATTCTCACTATAATTTAATCCTTCCACAATGGTTCTGCATATTAAGATTTCTCTTTCTCAGCTGTTTCACAGAGTGGTTAATGGGCAGTCTCAGGCATATCCACATACCCATGAGCCATCTAAGTTAGCTACATTAAAAAACATTCGTTCTTGGTTATGTCCTGTGCCGACATCAGTGCTCAGGGAGGTTAGGAGGGACACTCAGATAGCTTCCCAGTACATTCCTAAGGTTCCTTGCCACCCACAGCTCTCTTTCACACCATTCTGCAGCCCTGGTGAGTCTTGGCCTTATTGTATTTTGATTTACTTCTGCTGGCCCATGCCTTTAGAAACAGCCTAGTGAGAGTGCTTAGAAATCCAACTTCGAGTGAACAGTATGGGCCCAAAAGAGCACTTTTTTGAAAAGGACAATCAGTTACTCCTGCTCTTCCTTCCTTGGCTCTCCTGTGCTTGGCTGCTGGTTTTTCTCTTTGCTTTTGCCTCAGGAAAAATTGCGTGAGGGTTGGGCTGGGGGCATTGTTGTGGTGGTGGTCGGTGATAGTGACCTCGTGTTAGTTCATTGTAACTGGGAAAACTGCAGGATTTATGGAAGTGCTTTATTGTTAACTTTCTGTGATGGAACTGACTGAGTTTACTCCCATGTCTGATCTAGCACAAGTATGATTTGATATAAATAGTTTCAAAGTTTCCTACAATGCATAATGTTGACCTGGTCTGATTTCAGCAGATCCTTGACTTAGTGTACTGCTGAGAAGATGGTTTTTCTTATACTCAATGCTAGATTTGTGTAGCTTTGTGTTTATAAACTTTGGACTTGACTATTATTTCATTGTCTTTCAGTATTAATGTGTAGTAACATAATAGCCATCTTTCTGTTCTTATTGTAGCCTGTTTTCATGATCAAAACATCATCTACATAACTAAATACATAGCTATACATAGGTTAATTACCAGCTTTGTTTTACATATCAAGAGTGTACATTACAGCTATTTTCACCACAGCTAGCAGTTGGCAGTTTAGCTCTGCCCCTCATTATGCAATAGTTATTTACTTGCTATGAAAAGCTTTCCTTTCGGTACTCAGTTTGGTTAAGTTATCCTTGTTTTAGCAGCAGAAGTTTTTCTAGCTGAAGCCTTCCCTGTCTCTAGTATTTTAATTTAAATATTTTTGCAATTAACCTGATTTAATCCAATCAAAACCATCCTTGCAACTTTTACAATACTGAATTCATATCAGAGTAATAGACAAAATAAAGTACAGTATATATGAAATATGATACTCATATTTCTCTTAATATGAGCAGCTTCTTCCCCGAATCAACCTACCCTGGCTTTGCGCCCTGGTGAGGCCACTCCAGACCGACAACCAGAGCGCAACTCCATAGTCTCCTGAGACTGATGGATGGCTACTACTACTACTACATACAGTATTTGTCTTTCTAGGTGCCAAAACTCAGACATTTAATATGCCTGACTTTGATCCTCGTGCTGTGGATGACTCATTGCCATTATTTGATCCACCATCTACTAAAGTTCCTAAGCATAAAATTGAGGTTAGTAGTAAAGACGTTGAAAAATACTGTATACAGATTTTGATTTTAAAATATTTTGTATTTTAAACGAATGTTATACAGTGGCACTTTTGTACCACTGCAGTTACAAGGAATGTGGAGACAGTGGGGCATCTACCAGGAAACCCTGACATTAAAGCTGGAGTGAAATTAAATATTGGGCACACACAAAGTGCGTGGCACAAAACACAAATATAGAAATGGATAAAAAATAAAGCAATGGCTCCATGCAGAAGAAAACATTTTAGGGATAGCCAAGAATGATAAGCATGAAGTAGAATTTGAGCCGAGCAGAAAGGTGCACTCGCCCTGACTGCACAAGGTGAGTGAATCGAGTTGGTCAGCTAGCAGAGACCCTGGGTGCAAATATAATCTCCAGTTTTATGGAGAACAGTGAACTTCACAACCCAGGTCAACATAGATTTAAGGAAATGTATATGTTTATCTCTCAGAATGTTTGGTAATATGTTTATTGTTTGTGATGTGTGTCTATGTATGTATTAACACGATGTACTGAACGGGGTGAGAATAGCTTGAGCTACCTCATCCCTTTGTGTGTATTTTACCTACCTTGAGGCTACCTTGAGGTGCTTCCGGGGCTTAGTGTCCCCGCGGCCCGGTCGTCGACCAGGCCTCCTGGTTGCTGGACTGATCAACCAGGCTGTTAGACGCGGCTGCTCGCAGCCTGACGTATGAGTCACAGCCTGGTTGATCAGGTATCCTTTGGAGGTGCTTATCCAGTTCTCTCTTGAACACTGTGAGGGGTTTGCCAGTTATGCCCCTTATGTGTAGTGGAAGCGTGTTGAACAGTCTCGGGCCTCTGATGTTGATAGAGTTCTCTCTCAGAGTACCTGTTGCACCTCTGCTTTTCAACGGGGGTATTCTGCACATCCTGCCATGTCTTCTGGTCTCATGTGGTGTTATTTCTGTGTGCAGGTTTGGGACCAGCCCCTCAATTATTTTCCACGTGTAAATTATTATGTATCTCTCCCGCCTGCGCTCAAGGGAGTACAGATTTAGGCTCTTTAGTCGGTCCCAGTAATTTAGATGTTTTACTGAGTGGATTCTAGCAGTAAAGGATCTCTGCACGCTCTCTAGGTCAGCAATTTCTCCAGCTTTGAAAGGGGCTGTCATTGTGCAGCAGTACTCCACTCTAGATAGCACAAGCGTTTTGAAAAGTATCATCATCGGTATAGCATCTCTAGTGTGAAAAGTTCTCGTTATCCAACCTGTCATTTTTCTTGCAGTTGTGACGGCTACTTTATTGTGTTCTTTAAAGGTAAGGTCTTCCGACATGAGTACACCCAGGTCCTTTACATTGCCTTTTCGTTCTATGTTATGATTTGCCTGCGTTTTGTACGTGGTTCCTGTTTTTATGTTTTCAATTTTTCCGTAGCGCATGAGCTGAAACTTATCCTCGTTGAATACCATATTATTTTCTGTAGCCCATAGAAAGACCTGATCAACATCTGATTGGAGGTTTGCCGTGTCCTCTATGTTGCCAACTCTCATGAAAATCCTAGTGTCATCTGCAAAGGATGATACAGTGCTATAGGTTGTGTTCTGGTCTATGTCCGATATGAGGATGAGAAAAAGTACTGGAGCAAGCACAGTACCCTGGGGGACTGAGCTCTTCACGGTTGATGGGCTGGATTTTATTTTGTTGACTATTACACATTGGGTTCTGTCAGTCAGGAAATTGTAGATCCATCTGCCTATTTTCCCGGTAATTCCTTTTGTACGCATTTTATTTGCAATAACACCATGGTCACATTTATCAAAAGCTTTTGCGAAATCTGTGTAAATTACATCAGCGTTTTGTTTGTCTTCCATAGCATCTAATGCCATATCATAGTGTAGCCATATCATTAGCCATATCATTATCCATTAGCCATAGCCATATCATTATCACCTGAATAAACTTATTTCAATTTCAATTTCAACATAGATTTAGAGCAGGTAGACCCTGTCTTTACTCAACCACAATGTCCCTCAACCACAGGACAGGGGCCTGTGGCTGAGTGGACAGCACTTAAGGACTCGTAATCCTAGGGTCCGGGTTCGATCCCGGTGCTAACGGAAACAAATGGGCAGTTTCTTTCACCCTGATGCGCCTGTTACCTAGCAGTAAATAGGTACCTGGGAATTAGACAGCTGCTACAGGCTGCTTCCTGGGGGTGTGTATGTGTGGGGGTAAAAAAAAAAGTAGTTAGTAACAGATGATTGACAGTTGAGAGGCGGGCCGAAAGAGCAGAGCTCAACCCCCGCAAGCATAACTAGGTGAATACAATGGCAAAATTACAAAAGCATTAGAATAAAAGCAAAATGTAGATGTTGAATACATAAGACTTTGCAAAGGCATTTGATGTGTGACCATGGCATGATAGCTCATAAAATGAGATCAATAGGAATAACAGGCAAAGGAGGGCAGTGCATTTAGGAATGTGAATTACTGACTTAGTTAGGTTAGGTTAGGCTGGGTAGGTTAAGTTAGGTTTGATCAAATTTCAATGATAGTTTTGACTCAAATTAAAGTAATATTAAAATCATGTATAATGTAATGCAAAACTTTATCATTCCTTAAAAAAGAAATTAGAAAAATGTAATATTTTTCTCTCTTGCTCGCTCGCTCACTTTCTCTCTTATATTTTTATTTTTTCTAAACCAGGTTGTCATAATGGTTGGATATCCTGGCTGTGGCAAAAGTTTCCTGACATCAACACATTTTGCTGCTCTAGGATATGTTCAAGCCAATCGTGACAGTTTAGGATCTTGGCAAAAATGCCTTTCTGTCATGGAAAAATCTCTGCAGGTAAGAAAACTAATAATTAACCTCCTAAGTAGATATTTTGGTCCTCCTAGGAAGGATGCTTTGTTGTTCTCAAACTTAATTTTTGTTATCTGCCAACTAATTTTGTTTTATAAACTAAATTATAATTTTTGTTTTTGTGCATTTCGTGTCTAATTTGTACGATGTTTGTCATAAACTTTAGTACAGCACTGTTATACAGAAGGATAAAAGCAAATAAACTTGAGTTGAAATGGAATTAATTATTCCTGAGGATTTTGTAGCTGCCTTGTATTATGTAATTTTCACTATTGTTACCAAATGGCTACAGCTACTATGTCCAAACTCTTGTTCTGAAGGCCAGAAGTCTGGACAGATGTTTCAGTATGTTGACAAAAATTTTGTTGATGCAGTTGGCAACTTTTGTATCTCGCAGTGAATTACTACTATTGTGAAGCAGCTGTTCTTCTTCATCACATGGGAAGGGTTAATGATGCATGAAATCTTTTACAGAGGTCTGGATATCAAAATGTTCATTTTGTATAAGTGTTCATTGTATCCAATGATTTAGTACAATACTACAGTACATATACAGTATATATATGTTAGGTTAAAGTAAAAAAAAAAGTATTTTACAGAAATGATTAAGACTTTAATTTTGTACTTGTACAAGGATGGGAATCATGTGGTAATTGACAACACCAACCCAGATGCTGAATCTCGCAAGCGATATATTGACTCTGCTAAAAAGATGAACATACCAGTGAGATGCTTTGTCTTTAATACATCCAAAGATCACAGCAGGCATAATAACAAGGTATGTATGTATGCACGTTTGATGTCCCAAATAATTTATTAGTCTTTTTTTAAGTTGTCTTGGAGCTAGCCATAATAACATTGCTATCCAAGGTATACCTTTTTCATGATTTATGTTTTGTTCAGTTGTTACCTTTTAACACTTTTTGTGGTCTGGTCCTTCAGTTTGGCATTTTCTGCCAGTGTTTGAATTTATTTCTGGATCACATTACTAGACAGAACAGCTGCAAGGAGTGGGTAGCAATGCACTTTTATTGAGCTGTGCAAGATTTACATGCAATGTTGGTGTACATATTACATTGTAGGCCTGTATGTATTATTCAATCACTGGTTTTATTAATTAAGGGTAAATAAAAAAGTTATCTCACATATTGTAAGCACTTATGTGAAACAGCAAACCCATGAACCATGTAACATGATTATCACAGCTCCTCCCTTTACTTTCTGTGTCAGCAATATTAGTGTTGTCTACACTCAGTAATTTGAATTATATGGGGCCCACCCTTCCCTATGCAACCTGTCCTTCTACAAAGAATGTCACTTTTCGATCGTATGCGTTACATAAGGCCAAAAATTGCCGTACTAGAAAATGGAAGCGGCTCGCGAAAGTGACATGCTTTCCCATTTTCTGTTTTAGCTGGACTTAGCTGGTCTTGTTAGTTAACTGGGTTTGTGTGTTAGCCGACTTACCAGGAAAGTCCAAAAATTAAAATGCAGTATTCATAATTTTTGTATCACAACCAATATATATATATTTCCACATGCAATAAACATAAATAAACATGACATGGTTGTAACATCTTTCTGGTGTACACCTCTTTATGGCACAGATAACTTTGATCCATGGGCTGGATGAGAGAGGTGGTATTAGGAGGAAGTGGCAAATATGTTATGTTTCCCTCATGCGAGGTTATGTTGTCAATATGAGGCGTGTGCAGGTGCATTATTAAGTGAGAGCAAATCCCAAATTTCACTAGGCCTCAACGTCGACACCGCCTCCTTCCAGTGGCATTGTGAGACGTTTTGGTGCTCCGAAATGGAATTCTTTGCGTCATCTTAGAATTGGTGCCTTCCTCTTTATGTGGCTGCATTCCTCAATTGCAATGTCCTTGTGGTAGAGACTTTTTGGTTGGACTGGTCATTGGGGGAAGGGGAGTAGTTTCTGTACCTTTTTCTCACAGTCCAATTGTTGCTCTGGGTCTTGGTCAGGTAGAAGTCTTACCAAGGGAAAGTGGTCCTTCTGGCTCCTTTGTGGCTGGCTCAGCATTAGTTTCAGGTAGTACCATGACATGGTACTACATGTGGATTCAGTGGAATCTCAGGTTGTATAATGTATATCATGTCATGGTACAGGGATAAGGTATACAGCTGGGAGAACCCTGATCACTGGTTCAAGTCACCTAAGTGCATCACTTGATCTTTTTATGTACTGTTTTTGCTGTTACAATATTATATTCACATGTTATATTTATGTACAGTATACATTTTCATGCACCATTATGAACCACAGAGCAGTTCTGGTGGGTGTAATAATCTTGTAACTAGTTGCCTGAGTTCAGCCTAGTTCTGATGTTGTGCGTGAAATTGTAACTGGATGCATTAAATATATTATGCCTTTATATTTCTAATGTTTTTGCCACAGAAAATCATTTCTAATGTTTTTTCCACTCAGAAAATCAGTGTTGAATATAATGAAACGCCTCTTGCTGAATGAACCTCGGAGGTTTCCTGACCTCCCAGGTTGTCGGTTGGGAGTTTTTCATGTTCTCATTTGCTCTAGAATTGATGGATCTCCAGTGGACGGTGGACAGAGCCGCAGCCATCCCTCCCCCACGAAACTAGTGGACGGGGTGAGGCAGATGAGCACACACTTGTTTTAAGAGATTCTATTATTTGTTTACATTGTTGGGGAAGTTCGTTTGGTGGTTTTAAAGCTCCTGTCTCTTTGAACCCAGCAGTGGCCTGTATTGGTTTGGCGGCTTTCTGGATGCTTCTCGGTGAGATGGTAGTGTTCCTTTTGTTTATGTGAGGCCAGGTTTTGACTCTGGTCTATGGTAGGCCAAACAGAACTCCATAGCTGATGTGATCTAGTAGTTGGGAGCCATCTTGGCGAGATATCTTCAGGGAGCCACTAAGGCTCGCCCAGAAAGAGGTGTTTCATTACATTTTGACTATCAGTAGAGATAGAGATGGTGTCACTGCCAAAGGGTTAAGAACGAATTTAAAAACACTAACTGGTTGTCTTATTTCAATATTGTTTATATGTATTAAATTATGTTTAGTGCAAACTTGATTCAGACCATTTATATGTTATTTTGCTTTTTACTGAAATTTACATTACCTTGAATTAATTTTGGCATCATTAACCAAGAAAAAGTCATCATTCTTGAACCGTTTTCTTTTTCCAGTTCCGGGAATTTTTGGGAGCAGACCACAGCAAAGTGAACGACATGATCTACAACATGTACAAGTAAGAAAATTGTATTCTGTATTATCTTAAAGCATAGTCCAATTATTTATGAAGTTATTAATAATCTGAAACATCTTGATAATCAATTAGATTTTTCTATTCGCATTGATTTACCTCAGTGAAATTTAGAAATTAGACTAGGTCAGTCGAGCGGATAGCACACTGGACTTGTGATCTTGTAGTCCTGGGTTCGATCCCAGGCGCTGGCGAGAAACTATGCGCAGAGTTTCTTTCACCCTATGCCCCTGTTACCTAGCAGTAAAATAGGTACCTGGGTGTTAGTCAGCTGTCACGGGTTGCTTCCTGGGGGTGGAGGCCTGGTCGAGGACCGGGCCGCGGGGACACTAAAGCCCCGAAATCATCTCAAGATAACCATAAATTCATGATAAGTGACAACACCTTATGGTTACATGCTGTTTACCTTGCAGTGATTCTGAGGATCGATGTCCCCTCAACCAGGTCTCTGACCAGGCCTCATTGTTGGTGGACTGGTCAACCAGACTGTTGGATGCTGCTTCTTGCAGCCTGTTACAGTATATGAATTACAGCCTGGTTGATCAGGTATCCTTTCGAGGTGTTTATGAAGTTCTCTTTTGAACATCATGAGAGGCTGGCCAGTTATGCCCCCCCTTATATGTAGCAGGAGCATGTTGAGCAGTTTCAGGCCTTTGATGTTGATAAGAGTTCTCTTTCAGCATGCCTACTGAGCCTCTACTTTTCAGTGGGGCTGTTCTGCACATCCTGCCATGCCTCCTGGTCTTATGCTTTGTTATTTCCGTATGCAAATTTGGAACCAGTCCATCTAATATTTTCCGAGTTTAAATTACAGTACAGTATATCTCTCCTGCTAGCGGTCCTGAGAATACATATTTAAAAATTTTGATCGATCCCAATAATTTAGCTGTTTTATTGAGTGGATTCTAGAAGTACAATAAAGGATTTTTGCATGCTCTCCAGGTCAGATATTTCTCCAGCTTTGAATAGGGCTGTTATTGTGCAACAATATTCCATTCTAGAGAGCACTAGTGACTTGAAAAGTATCATCATTGGCATTACTTGTTTGAAAGATTACAGGAATAATATATATTGAGTGTCAAAACTTTGATTCGTTCATTTAACTGGTATAGCACTAAAAGATTAAACCAGTTGCAAACACATTTCGATACTCTATAGGTACCTTTCTGCTATACTTAGCACTCTATAGCGCAAGGCTAGAATAACAAATTAAATGAAAGTCAATTACTGGATGTCTAGCCGATATAAATACAAACAATTTCTGGAAATTTCAAGTTGATTAAGCTATAAAAACATTGTAAGTCTGAAAACATACGTTGCGATTCCATTATTTGCACTATCCAAAGATCCTGACTTTATTCGCAGGCTCCCCTGCCAGATGATATAGAATATCATTGCTGTTTAGGTCATATCTTTCATGTTCCCATAAAATCAACATTCTCATGGAAAATGCTGGAAGATAATAGCAGTTTTGTCTGTAAATAGGAGACCACACTGGCTAGCAGGGATCATAAGAGTAATAGAATTTTCAAATATTTTTCTAACAGTCCTGCTGCTGGCCAGACGTGATGATACTTTCTCATGAAAAGGATATTTTTTTGTAATTATCGGGGGCAAGTGCCAAGCCATTACGACTTTATAGCACTTGGAAGGGAAGGAATGGTGTCCTACCACTTGAACGGTGGGGATTGATCGTCGACCTGCATGAAGAGAGACTGTCGCTCTGCCGTTCAGTCAAAGTGGCTGGGTAGCATTTTATATATACATATATATATACTTCTACAACAATTTATAATACTGTATTATTTAAATAATGCTATCTGCAGTATGTGGTTGCTTACAAATACAGTATTAAAAACTGGCTAAAATTTGTATAATCCTTTAAAACTGTTTACTTTTCAACTGAAATGCCTTCTGCATTTGTGACAAACTGCTACTTAATTTGTTTAAATATTAATCTTCCAGTGGGAAGGTATAACTTTTCATCGTCCACTAAATTACCCCGAATAGATTTTCAGATACTTAATAATAACAAATTATTTAATACTTATCTTATACCATTGTGAAATTAGAATCTTCCAGTTATTTAAATACTGTATCTCTTTTTCAGATCAAAGTTTCAAGAACCAACTCTGAAAGAAGGTTTCGATGATATCGTGAGAGTTAACTTTGTTCCGAAGTTTAGGACATCTAAAGAAAAGGAGTTATATAAGATGTTTTTATTGGAAAAATAACTACATATATACTGCCAGAACAAACAGATGGCTCACATGCTTTTTTGACCCAATTGTTTTCATATGGATTGAGCAAATTTATTATATGAATATATGCAGTTTGACTCCCATTAGCTGTAAAAAAAGATGACTTCTGATAATGGAAGACATAAGGATTCCAAAGCCAAGCAATAGGCCATCTTGTATGCAGCATTTGCAGTATTTGTGCCTCTTCACAATAATGCACACGTGTGTTGTATTCAATAAAGACCAAGTCACCTTAAATAAGTTACAAATATGAAAATATTTGTTTATTTTATGCCTGTATTGAGCAATGCACACACCCTCCTTAAGTGTCACTTAGTGACACATTAAACAGTTTTGCAACAATTGATAAACGGTTGTATAAACTAAAGTCAACCCAAAATTACAAATGTATTACAAAAATATGAGCCTAATGATTGGACTGATGAGATCATATGATGCTGGGGCAATACAGCTGAATTCTGCAAGAACTCAATGTAATTCATTTAGCTGTCACCCCACTGCTGTCTTCACCCAAAAAGAAAAGTTGCCTTAATAAGCTTAAATGAGAAATACAATGAGTTTGAGCAAAAGTACAATAAATTAACTAAAGCTACTATTCGTTGATGCATTAAATGTGATCCCTCATGCATGCAAGCATGACGTCTCACTACAGTATAAACCTTTTATATACTATTTGCAACAATAAATTCTACCAACATAACTGAGGCTCCAGTCTAGGTAACTGGTCTTACAGAAGGGCGCCATCACACAAAGGTGCATCACCACCTATATCATTTTTATGAAAATTGTATTACAATCTAATTTTATTTTATGTATATTTTTTTACGACTAGTAGTATGTTCTTTTTGTATACAGTATTTCTGGAGCCTAAAGTTTCTTAATGTAATTTCAACAAATCCAAGATAAAAAAAAAAAAAAAGACATTACATTCCAAGAACAATGCTTGTTTATATGCACAACTAAGTACGGGTATTCACCTTTCGTAAACCATAAATATAGCTAAAATATAAGACAAAGGAAGGAGAATTCAATTCAGTAAATTTTTTTTTTTTTATCTAAATACAGTACAGCAAATGCTTAACTTACTCTCTTCCTTTTCACCACCTAAAAATTAAAATATATATATTATTAAAACAATTTACCTTTAATAAGGTACTTTAGTCAACCTGTCTGAACAACTTTCATTCTTCACATAAGCAGATTACAAATATTTTATATTGTTTGGAAGACAAAAGATGTAAATGCCAAGTGTCTGGAAGTGGAAACCTATGGACCAACTTTTTGTTTCATCAATATTGATCACTTAATTGTTTGTCTATGGGAAAAAGTACTGCTATATTGCTCTACACTAAAATGTTACCTAATACTTGAAAATAGGCAGGAGGGTCCTTAACAATTTAAAGTTTAAATAAAAAGAACTCTTAAAGTATTCAACATAGCAGCAAAGAAACTGAAAGCTTGTATATGGTCAGTAGTGAAAATGACTAGGAAATATTCGATTGTTAAACGTACAAAATAATTTTCATAAAAAAAAATCACGACAAAGGAATTTTTCAAATATAAAACTCATAAGAGGAGGTATATAAAATGCATAACATTGTAAATTACCATTTTCACATTCCTGGGTTTGCAAGTCGTCGAGTCAAAATGAACAAGTGAGACGTATATTGTGTTATTAGAAATTGAGAGCATAATTGAAAAAGAAAACTATAAATAAATTAAGTACCGTGTTGTATACAAACAGCACCAGTCAAGCAGTATGGCAATGTTAAAACAGTTAGCAATTCTTTCTTGTCTATTTAGTGCCAGGGAAAATACAGGCTCAAAAGGTAATGCATTAACTCTGTCTTCATAACTGCCATCTGTATTTTAAGTGTAATTCTATGCAGAATAATTCTATTTAATTAAACAAAATATATATCAGCAAAGTCAAAGATAAATATTGTGGTCTTACACGTATGAACAATGCAAATATCTCCTTGTATAACATAAATTTTATATTTAGTACCAAGAATTTTTTTTTGTGTGTAACCCGCCAAAACTACGACGTTGGTACAACATTCGAACAAGTTTTAACACCTCCTAACCAGTTATAACAACCAATATAGCAAGTTATAACAATGTTCTAATACGTCATAAACACGTTACGCCAAGATGTAACAACTTTATTACAAGTTGTAACAAGCGGAAAATAGAGACAGTTTTGGTTTGTGTTTCCAGGGAAGCTATTAGAAAATGATAATATTGTCGCACATGACAATATATTAAGAGAGAGAGTGCGTGTCAAAGGACGGAGGCCAGATGTTTGGAATTCAGCCTCGGCCCACTTTGCAGAACTTGTGTACGGCACAGACATAGGGTGGCAGGGGTCAGCTTAGCATTTATAGAAACCTCCGTATGTAAGGAGTCAGGTGTGACATATTTGGTGTGTTTCCCCATAGTTTTCAGAACTTCATCATAATAAATTTTCTGAGACCCATACAGTTGTATCAGTGCTTTTCATTAATACATTTTCTGGGGGAAAGAGATGGGACAAAGACGGGGGATAAAGTGCAAAGATGGACTGTCGAGTCTCCTGGAGCCGAGGTGAATAGACTGTTAATGAAGTTTGTGACAGTGATGGAGATACGCATGGGAAAGAACAGGGCCAAAGAGTCAACGTGTTGGCAAGTTAGGAGGAAAGGGGAATTATTTGCTCCATCTATAATATTGTAACTAAGCTTGCTAAACCTACCAAGGAAATGTGACTAGTGTCTGGAGAAAGTTCTAAGGGGCCCCAATCTGGTTTCACTACCAAAACCACCATTACACATAAAATATGACACCATAGCATTTAGTTGGATGCTCAACATAAGCCTTTGTAAAGTATGCATGTGCTTCGCTTTCCCTAGAAGGATGCCACTTGCCTTCCAATAAATCTTATCCTTATTTGTTTTATTTTGAACTGTACTGAGAATCTGTTTATAAGTCATTTTTATGCCTGTACACCTTTTTCAACATGTGTCTAATTCAATTAATAATAAACATCTTATTTCAGCCTTTCTATTTCATTCTACATCAATACAATTTTCTACCATGGTCATTTCTGCTATGCAAATTCAGTAAACAAATACAGTATAAAGGATTGCATACAGAATTTAAATTATAAAACCTATAACTTTAAAATACCTTTATACTGTACTTACAGAATGACAAGTTTGATATAGCTGAAAAAGTTTGATGTAATGTAAACTTAAAGTGAACATAAGCTTTTAATGCATAATAAAGAAGACTGTGACATCCATGTTGAAGAAATCTGACTTTCCTTCCTCTGATTCACTTAACCGCTGATTGTAGTAATGGCTCATAAGTAGTAATTATTATTACTCGGTAATCAATATTAGGCGCACATTTTTAAAGTTTATAATATTAAACCAAATAATTTCATTATTCTACAAAAAAAGAAAGAAGAAAAGCTGCTCAAGATGCTATCATGATGGTAATATAGTCTGCCAAGTTGCTCCCAAGCAATTTGTGTATAACAAAAATAAATGTCTGGCTGCTGTAAAGAAAGGCTCAATGATTACCCATATAATAATGCTGTAATAAACCTCACAAGATTTACATTACAAGTTTTCAGAATACTGTAATATGCTGAACATTTTAGGTAGGCTTGGATTTTTGTATTTTAACACTTTAGGTACATGATTGTAATCATAGTACCGTACAGAACAAGTATTACCTGGGGGTAATACTAGTTACAGTACCCCCCAAAAGGGGCCTAACAGCTGAGTGGACAGTGCTTCAGATTCGTAGCCCTGAGGTTCTAGGTTCGATTCCCAGTGGAGGCGGAAACAAATGGGCAGATTTTTGTTTCACCCTGATGTCCCTGTTACCTAGCAGTAAATAGGTACCTCGGAGTTAGACAGCTGCTACGGGCTGCTTCCTGGGGGTGTGTAACAAAAAGGAGGCCTGGGCCACAGGGACGCTAAGCCCCGAAATCATCTCGAGATAACCTCCAGATGATTACCAAGACTGGATAGAGTACAGGATATAATCTTCACCTGAGGTCAAGTATACCTATTACAGCATGTTGCTGTTAATTCTTTGAAGGTTACATACACTGATTATTGTTTGGGGCAGCTTGCCCCAGCAAGATACTGTATACTGATTTATCAGTGGTTTATTCTCGTCTTAAATCAAACTTGAACCGGTAGTATTTTTCTCATTAACTCATCATAATGACATGACATTTATGTGGAAAAAAATTCCCTTCATCACATACTTATGTGTAAGAACATAGTAACATTATGTTTAAGGAAACCTGTCGGTAGTTTACAGTGTACGAAAAGTGTACAATTTAACTGTGCGCATAACTCAAAACAAAAAGTACTCGGCATATAGATTTTGATAGTTACCTGTATTATTTTCATGATAAACACTGTTTTAGAGAAAAATATCAAAGTACAATAGGAAGTTTTGCCAAACATGGATTTGTTAATATAATATAATTATTTTCAACTCTCTATATAGAAAGAGTTGATTTTGCTGCCAGAAGAAATGTACTGTAATGTCTTTCACCATTGGCATACCATTCAACACTTCCTTTGATCACTGGCCATGAATACCAATCACGGCTTACTTTGAGTTGGTTCCGCAAATTAATGTTCTGACGTCCCAGTCTCTGACTGTGAGTCTTGGTTGGTGGTCTGGTCAACCAGACTGCTACACAGATGCTCACAGCCTGATGCGAGCCCAGTTGATCAGGCATTCTTTGGACGTGTATTATGACATTTTCTTTATAGCACCACGAAGGTTGGCTAGTTATGCCCCTTATGTGGTCTCATTTCAGACAGCAAGCAAGAACCAAGTGTTGTGTCTGGTCCTCCATAAAACATAAATTTTGTGCATTTACAGAACAAAAATTGGCAACCACTATATTGCAAGCAACAAATTTTGAATTTGTGATAATATGTCAAAAGTTAATCATATAGTGTAGAAGTACACAGGTATTTATTTTATTTTAAAATAAAAAAATCCAGCCTTGGGGAGATTAAACACTTTTTTTTTAATTAGCCGTCAAAGAGTTAAGCAAACCTTGTGGACGGTATTTGTGAAGCCTGGTTTACCTACCACCCTTCCCCACAGGACTGAATTTGTCACATGTACAAAACTTTTTTAAAACTGTAAATGACATAATATACCCAACTCTTTTTTTTTTTTTCAACCAAGGTGAGATTAGTTTGGTACATAAGAGCCCAGTTAAGGGCAAGACATGCTCATCACTGGTAATGACATCATGTACCTTACAATACTAATTCTACACTTGCCAGCTTTAAGCAAAAGCACAAACTCAAAGTATTGAAGTCCAAACACTTAACTGATCTAATTCCCCTTTCCTGTCATTTCTCTAATATTCTGCATAACTATATTCACTCCAAGAGAGGTGAATCGGGTAGCTTTGTGTTGAGTTTCACTCAAGGTGATGATGAAAATGTAACCCACTAGTACTAACTTTGTAAAAAAGATAAAGACTTTGTAATAATTATAAAATGTCTTTAATAATGCTTTTAAAGTACGTTGTATTTAATTCTATACTATCTTCATAGGAATAAAAAAAAATACTTTTGGAACAGACTCCATTAGCCTGAGATGTGGAAGCATCCTTTTTAAGTTTCTAGTCATTTAGTGACTAGACACTTATTTGTCATTGTAGTTCTTCTGTAATAAAAATGCATCAAAAGGTGAGTAACCACACTTACTGTAAAAGCAAAACTGTACCTTACAGCTGTCTGACTGAATTTTAGCACATGGCTTGTCTACTTGCAATTTTCTCCCTGTAATAGTCTGGATGCTTCACTTTGATGTGTGCTTGTAAGTTGCGCTTGCGCTTGATGGTCATGCTGCACACAGGACATGGCATTCGCAGATCGGCACCGTTGTGTTCCAGAAGATGTTCGGCAAGGACTTCGCGCCTTGTAAAAGAGCGAGTACATAAATGGCACACATAGGGCCGAAAGTGTGCAAGGTGGTGCCTTTTTAGAATGGCAGCTTTAGCAAAACACTTTTGACAAATGGGGCACACAAATGGTCGACCATCGACTGAAGCAGTTTCCTGTTCGGGTGAGAATTGAATCATACTTTAATTGGCAAATTTGTGCATATTATTAATACATTTTCAAAAACAGGTGCATTTTCAATGTACTATATAGCAGTGAATCAGTGGTGAATCAAAATATATTCTCATTTATTTATTTTTCTGATTGTTAACTAATCACACCAGATCAAAGTCCTTCCTGATCCTAGTTTTTAAAATTTAATGTGTAATAGACAGGTATATTGACTGTTTAAAGATGAGGTGCTGTGTATTGTGTTGCTTCATGAGGCATTACTTTATATACATTTATCAAAGGAAGTAATACTAATTAATTAATATAAGGACAGAATTGTTTTCTTGAGTTTACAGTATACATCCAACATAATGCCAAATATACTCAACTTACCAAATACTCTATATTTTTATTTACCAAAGACAAAATATTGCTAGACAAGGACAAAAATAGATGTACACCATTTAACTTGGATGTACAAATATGTACTCTATATGTATGTTTACAAGTGTGTATAATCGACTGGTGAATTTCCTTCATGACCTTTTAAGTTTTATCATACCTATAGTATACCTCTAGTGTACTTCAGTGGTATCTGTGCATCCACTAATTTTGTATAACCCAGGAAATAGCTTATCCCTTTCTACATTGTTAATGCACAAGTATTTTATATGTTGTGGTTATATCCCCTGCCGTTCTCTCCTAATATGCGAGATATACAGGCGATGAGTCATAATAACAGGGCTGAAGTATGTTGACCAGACCACACACTAGAAGGTGAAGGGACGACGCGACTTGAGAATGGTCCAGGACGGACTGAAACGTCGTTGTCCCTTCACCTTCTAGTGTGTGGCCTGGTCAACATGCGAGATATAGATTTCATAGTCCATCTTCATAGCCTATATTTTTAAATTTAGAAATGAGCCTGCCTCATAATAAAATGACTTATTTGAGTAAACCATAGGATATAAAAATGCAGCAGAAAATTACAGCTAAAAGTGATTACTGTATGAATCAGTTTGATAAAATGATACATACCAGTGCATCATCTGATGTATGCTTCCTGGATAGGTTGGCACTTCGTGCAAAAGCATCAAGGTACATGCGTGTTTCCTCTTCTATGCTGTTTGCATTAAGAGCAGAATTCACCGAGTCACCATGAAGATTCTCCGACATTGTGGTACTACTGAAATCTAAGGCTTCTTCTTTTATTTCAGGTTTCATCTGTGGGTAATAATATACTGTATATATATATATATATTTAGTCTTTTGAATTGTTACATCCAAAAAATGTAGTCTACTATATTTCAGTCTGTAGTCTAACAAAACAATTAATAAATCTTACAAAACAAAGTGCTAGGATACCTATTACAGAAATTATACAGAGCATGAAAAACTGGCAATGTTGAAAATAGCAGGCCATATTTCACAGCATAAATGGAAACTAAATTGAAGCACCAACATATACATGTACAGTATAAAATTAATTAAAACATTTTTATAATACAATACTCCAATCAAATTAGCAACAAAGTACAAAGTATGGTCTTTATTGTACGTACCAATTTTTCTGGTGTTTCTGCAAGTCCAGAATTTGACTCGTCAAACATATGTCCAAGAGAACCAACACCAAAATCTTCTCTGCTTCCCCCAAGCCCAGCAAGGGAGTAATTAAGTGCTCGTGGTGATGCTGTTTTTGCCTCGGGTCTTGGATCAAGAAGAGGCTGTTGGCTTGAAGGGCTTGGAGCTGGACGTCGTTCAGAAATCCTCTGTTTGGTGGTCTCTGTGTTATGTGATGCAACAGAGTCCTTGAAAGTGTGTTCAGGAAGAGACTGTGGTGGCGGCGAGGATGAAATATATGTAGTAGTGGGAGATGAAGATGTTATAGGTGTGGAAGTGTCTGGCTGCCTACTATGCAAGAAATCACCAAGCACACTGGAAGGCATTGTAGATGGATTATTTTGGCAGGAATCTTTTCCAGATAGCGGAGCAGTTTCTTTAGGGGATGGTTTATCAAAATATTGGGTATTAAGAGGTTTGCCTACATATTCAGGTGTTTTAATAGTTGTCTTTTCATCAGCCTTTCTTCGTTTTGGGGATGGAATGAGAGCATAATGATGACTGTAGAGATTTTCAAGAAAGTTATCATCTTTAGAGAAAGAATTTTTTGAACCACCACTTCTAACACTTTCTTCATTGGAGCCATTAAGCACAACAGGAGGCTCAATTCGTCTTTTTTTCGTTCCTAAACTTTTTTCTTTTCTTGTGTTAAGTCTCTCTGTTTCAGAACCTTCACTAGCAGTGTAGACACCAAGACCTTTGATCTGTAGTGCTTCTGCAGTTGAAAGTAAAGTTGGCACTTCCTTTTGGGGTATATCCGTTTGCCCTGTATACATAAAGTCTATTAAAGCTTGCATCTCTCGTGCAGCCACTCCTCGCATAAATACAATTGGGTGCTGACATGGTATATCACCCAAAATGGTCCGGAAATAATCACTACAGGTGACCAACACCAACTTGTGTGCAGCGAACTTCTGCCCATCACATGCCAGGGTAACATCAGTCAGGGTGTTCTGAAATATACACATCACATGGTTAATGAACATTAAGCAATAAGAATAAAAGTCTGATACATCATTGAGGTTTACAACAATTTTTTTTTAATAAAAATGAAAAAGTAAGAAAAAGTGTAAATGCTCTGTGTAATAAGTTTAATCTGATGTCACAACATGGAAGTAGCAACTACTGTATTACTAAATTTTTTAATTTTCACGCATTGTTTAGTATGCTTATACAAAAGATAAAATAGTAAACATTAACAAAACAAATGTCAATGTTAGTAGACATTAGTACTGTACATTTACTAGAGCAATATATAGGAAGGTGATTTTATGTGAAGAACTATAGTTTCTTCAAAGGTATAGTGAACATGGGATTGCAGATATGATAATAAATCAAGCGTTTGGACCAGGGAAAATTAAATGTAATGAAATGCCTCTTTCTGGTGGCTCCCCGAGCTAGCTGCCTGGTTAGTTCCAAGCCCTTATGAGTCATGAGTACCTTACAGGTAGCAAAGACCAGAATCTGGCTCCTCCTTAATAGAGCAAGGGGGCTCTGGGGACAGATCAATGCAGGCCAAGAAGAAATAGCTTCCTGAAGGGTAGAGTTCACAAAAACAAGCAACCGACACAAACTTTGTACACGCTAATTCTCTGGTTCTAACTACTAATTATACTCATTCACCACCAGATGGCAGACCCAGCAACTCAGGGCTCTACCCAGCTGCCCACCTCAAACATGCGTCACCCAATGCGATCTTCAAGAACACTGATAGGAGGGAAAGGTGGGAATGGGGAGCCAGTAAGGGAACCCACAAGAAAGAGGCATTTCAATATATTCAGTGCTGGATTTCTGGGATGGTTCCTTTTGGTGACTCCCTGAGCTATCTATGGGACACAAAGATAGTAAGACCTACTAGGGAAAGAGAGGAGCAGAAGGGAACCCCAAAGAAAGTGTCAGATCACCTGGCCAGATGTCATGTATGCCTAGCACTCCTGAAGAACATGAATCAAAATAGGCCTGTGAGCATGCAGATAAAGTGTCAAAAGTCTCAAGCCCAAAATTCTGCCCAGAATATGTAAGCAAAAAAAGTGTAAAGATTAGCAAACTAGTGGATAACATGGGCTTGTGGAAAGAATGCTAAGTGGCCAAGCTGAACTATCCCATAGACACCCAAAAACATCTGGGACCTAAAATAAGAAACCAAAAATGCTAGGTTGATAAGATAAAGTGGCATGTAAATAATGGAAAATTGCTGTACCCATATTAAAAAGTAGACTAACCTCTGGCCAAAGAAACCAAGACTCGAAAAACCAAAGGTTCCTGACAGATCTCTGCTGTCCCACTCAAAGCCACGAAGGAAGAAAATAACTGAGCCCATGGACCAAAAGAAGCAAAAACCCCAGTACCAGCTGATAGCAAGAAGACTCAAACCCAACCACTAGAAGCAAGAGCCAACAAAATGACATCCTGAAAGAAGAGTGCTGGGACTGAAAGGGGGCACCCAGAAATGATAAGATAAAAGAAAAGGAAGCACATGATCCAGAGACCAAGAAGGCTCAAGAGGAAGAGCAGCAAGCTGAAGGAGAAATAAGTACGATACAGCGAAAGTGAAATGTCAACACCAAAAGCCAAGAAAAGGTGGTTGACATGCAGCTAAAAAATAAAAAGAGGATGAAAAGAAGATTTCTGCAGCTTCAGGGAGCTGCAAAGTGCTCCCCCCCCTACCCCCAGAAAAATAATGATAGTATCTCTTATCAAGGGTTATATGTTAATACACACAGAACAATGCTTTGGGAAAAAGTCATTCAGTTGTCTTACCTCTTGTCTAAGAACACTTAAAGTCTGCCTATAAGTAGCACCATGGTTATTCCAAGTCAGGGATAAGCATTCATCTTCCATGGTAACACCTTTTCTACCTGCAATGTGGAAAAACCTCTTTAAATAAGTACTATACTGTACAAACAAGTGACAAATGGTGGAAATTATTATAGTTTAGCACAGTTCCCAATTTCTTTTACATGGATAAAATTAAAAAACAGAACCTACTTGATAAATCAGATAAATGAAAGTTGCAAGCTACTAAAAATATTTTGGTCTGACAATTCTTTTGAAAATATAATACAATTTTTGTTCAAATGGAACCAGTTTCTCCAGAAACTCGAATGTAATGGAATCAATAGCGTATAGCAGTAAAAACTTCAGCTGTATGGGAAAAATATTTGAGAAGTTATGACTGGTTGAGCTTTGAAGATTTCAAAGACTGGGACTTGTCGAGATAAGTGAACATGAAACCACTGTTTAACCAGATACAACAAATAAAGCATAGAATACTGTATAATGAAATGCTCTGCAGAATCAACTCTGGTACCACCAAGCCTTAGCCTAACACATCAGACCTGAGGTCCTTCCACTGCCTATTAATGGGCCAGCCAGAAGCTTAGGGCCCGTGCAGGAATATTCCTGAAAAAAAATTCCACTGCATATTGGAAGCAACGATCATAAGCTGGCTCACTCTATGGATCAGGAGATCCAAGATCAATCATAAAACTAGGAAAAACCCCACCAGAGAGCATAGGTGCTGCAAAAACAAGTGACTGCTTGATGGCAAATAAGTACTTCTAAGAAGACTAGGCAAACAATCCTCATTGCGAAGGAAACACTCAGACTGTAATACATCTGACTGCCACCAATGGCAGTCCATGCCACCTGAAGTCTCAGCTAACCTTTCCCCCTCACTCTTCAGCCTAATGCAACTCATCAAACATCTGTAGTCTTTGCTGGGCCCAATATCAACTTCTTGCTTTCAACTAAGTGTAGGTTTTCCTGGGAGCATTACTTTCTAACTGGGGGCTGTTGCTGTGTGTACCCTAGTATTCTATTTTGCTACAGCCATGGCCAGGGTTACCTTCTTTGGGGTCAGCTAGTATTTCTCTGTACTCCACCAGATATACCTGCTCTGAAAGGTTGCTGGACACCTCCTCTAGGATGATTTATTCTCCCCAGGGAGTTCTATTGATAAAAAGGAGACAGTCTTTTCAAATTATTGTAAAAACAGTAATAAAAAACATTGCGAGACAGATTAAGTGCTTGTGCACACTAACAGACATGACTTGTCTGTCATGCTGCTCCAGTGGGTGTTAGCGACCATGCAATTTAACCAAGGGCACACTTGTGTTGCATACGTGAATTTGGGGATTTGTGACTGCGTACACTAAGTTATCGAGGTCAAGGTTTAGTGTTTGTTTCCCTGAAATGTTTCATCTATGCATAGCCCACCTGCCTATCTGTGACATTGTGGGTGGGAAGTCTCTCATCCCTCTTGGGTTTATTGTGTGGTTGGCGTGTTTGTCTAGGTTGTAGTGGTTTCCCTCCCCATCATGATGGGTTTTGGCATTTCTAGACGTTGATGGCCATTCCTATTGCCTCTGTCATGGAACCTACTGGGAACCAGAGTACTTTTACTCGTGGGCCCAAAAGTGGTAACAGTGATGCTCCTCTATGAACCCCTGCCAATCCCTGAACCTTGGGTGAATGGAAACCATGATAATCTGATTCCAACAGAAACTAGCTAAGAATGGCTTAATACCATCTGGTGCATCTGGTTTACTGTAGTCACCTAGAATGTGGGACAAGGGATAAATGTCATGAGAAATTGCAAACTTTTTTCAATTTGAGCAATTGGTTGTGCACACTCAATATGTGAAAATTTTATAGGGAAAATATATTAATGTGGCAGCTTCCATAATCTTAAATTTGTGTTAATTTTAATTACCATCATCAAACCTGCATATACTTACAGTCTAGTTCTACTGGCAATCCTAGAACCTTTCCTAAGAGGAAGAATCTTGTTCATTACTCTTTTAAACGAGATGCACATCCAGAACTGAATTTGAATATAAACCACTTGGGGTCATGTATTGTAGGATAAATCTTGGGGGAGAAGAGAAGGTGGTAGAGGTTGTAGGAGAGGGGCGCGGGTGGTGGCGTGGCGTCAACGGTAGCGTCACCATCTGCAGGCAGGTGACTGACAGATGGACGCTCCGACCCACTCTTGGATGACGCGGCGGTCTAACACCTTCCCCGTCTCCAAATTTCACCTAGAAAAACACACACCGGTACAATTTAAGTCACCACCGGCTAATTACCTCACGAGGAACTAGTCAGCACGCAGCTATATCGCCACGCGCAGCTGGAAAACCATAAACGGCCGGAAGTCTCCAAGTCCTTTGTCGCGGCCGCCTCACACACCTGCGCCAGATGTCAACAAACACGAGGCATCTGCTGCATACTCCCCCCCTCCTAGTCTCACACTTCTCACACCAACAACCCTTATTTACACACAAAGATCATCAACTTATGAATTATTGGCATGGCATCTTTTAAGATGTTAAAACGAGGTTGTAGCGCAAGAAAGAATAAATATCCATCAGATGTAGACATTGCTAATAAACACAGTGTTGCCAGAGTGGGCTACAAATAGCGAATTGAGCTATTTTTCTCCCAAATTTTTAATTTCGCTACTTGCTACTTTTTGGGCTAATTTAAAAGCAAGATGTGCTAATTTGGGCTATTAATGTTAAGAAACTCAATTATGATTATTTAGGAACAAGAAATGCGAGCACAGCACGCAGACTGTATCCTTTCACGACCACAAAGATCACATTCACTCCAAAAAAAAATCTTCCACTTACGGGCTATTCATGCCCGTGCCACCTCTTGGGTGGCTTAATCTTAAACCAATCAATCACAAATAAGCAGTTACAGCCCGGCTCCTGTGCCAAGAACGGTTTGAGGGCCACAGGGACCAGACATGACAGTCTGCTCTCAGCAAAACTTTTAAATTACTGAACAATTTGGAAGATATTGACCCAGGACACTTCTTCAAAAGGCTAGATGTAAGACGAACAAGGAGCAACGGTTTCGAGCTCAACAAGTCACACTGAAGGATGGAATAATATTTGTTTTCACCCATAGAATTATAACGTTGTGGAAACGCATACCCGCCGAAGTCGTAAATGCCTAAACATTGCTCGATAAAATCCCCAAAACAAATGGGAGGGGCCTTCGACAAGCCAGACAACTTTCCTGTCCTTATCGAGACCACTAGAAAGAGATACCTGAATTTGCCCGAGGGCCACCATCGAGTAAATTCATGGAACCACCTACCCGACGAAGCCGTAAATGATAATTCGGTCCCTATCACCTAATGCATCTGTTTCCCTAGCAGTACATAGGCACCCGTTCAAGTTCAAGTATGTTTATTGAGATAAGCAATAAATACATCTCAAAGGGATAGAGTAGCTTAGGCTATTTCTACCCCCCTCTACTTCAAGTCCCTCAAGGGGCGCACAAATTATAGGCACCCGGGAGTTAGTTAACGGTTGCGGGGTTGCATCCAGGGGAGGGTCACCAGTCCGACGTTATAGACCTTGATATGTCTAACGTACGTAATTACCGTATTGTAATTACCGTATTATGTATCCTCACAATCCAAATTGAACCTTCTTGTATATATATAAATAAATAAATAAAATAAATAAATACGTGACCATTAATTTCCTAAGTGTAGTGACAGGATGAGAGCGTGTGTGTGTGTGTGACAAATGTGTCAATCAATCATTGGGAAGAATGTACGATTGCGAGTTACATGAATGTAACTAGTTAGTTTAGTTCATTTATTATGCACCCCATACCCATCTTGTGGGCGGTAGTGGAAAGGGTTACAGAGGCACATAATGGGCTCAGGGACTGAACCCCACAATTCATTTAGCTAAGCAAGTTAAAATCTTGATGAGTTAGTTACAAAATTCAATATAAGTTGTCACATCAACAATGGGTTCGAGATCGACCTCAAGTACAGGTTCTAAATTAAGCAACTGACATATGTGGAGAGCTAGTGTCAAAATTTATGTTTGTCCTGCACACCGCCCCCCATCCAGTACTAATCTATAAATAATTGTAATTAATAATAATTGTAAATTAATTAATACTAATAATATTATTTAATAAATTAGTCCCAACTCAATGCAGAGTTTTCTTCCAAGCACAGAAACTTCTAAATATAAATACAAGATAATAGATCGATAAATAAATAGACAACTTTCAAATATTGCACCAAGTAATGGCGAGAGGAAAAAAACTAGACAGTATACATTACATTTGAAATTAATAATGGATGAATGGTAATAAATTGGTATATGTTTGTATGTATACCAGACAAAGTCCATTTAATGGCAGAATTTAGCCATTTTGTGTAAAAACTTTTATATCTCATATTATTAATTATAACAGTAATCGAAAAAAGTCATAGTTTGTATATACAAGAGATGAAACAGAGAGCCATGAGCTAGAGCGATGTGCTGAGTCCATAAGGAGGCGGAGCTTCCAGAAATACCTTCCTGTGATTGGCTGTTGCGGGGAATACCAACACTTTTATGAATAAAATTTAAACTAAGAAATAGGTCCTTGTGCACAACAACAAGGTTGTTGTGAAAAAGAATAACAGTTTCTGTTTTGCATCTGACAGAAATCTCCATCTAACTGAATAATTTACTGGAATAAGAGGGCAGAGCAACATATCATTATTTGTGTCAAGGCAACCCCCAATAATGACGTCACAAGTTAGGTAGCCAGCCCATTTTTATATAACATCTGTTATATCCTGCAATATTTAATTATCACTTTATTAACACTTTAAATAATTAACACTTCACTTTTTTGGGTAAATTAAAGTTAAAGCAGAATTCCATAAGCAGAACTGGCGGGCTGAACTAAGATGATTTACTAAGTGGATGGCACCTATAGCTGATCCCTTCCTGTGATTGGCTGTTGTGTGAATGTCAACAAAGAGTTTCTACCAATGATATGCCATTGATTATGCACCCCATACCCATCTTGTGGGCGGAGCTTGGAACCTCCTACTCGAGCACAACAACCCGCCTTATGGGTTGCTGTTTGGCTATTTATAGTGGGTTGGAAAAGCAACAGATGGCGTTAGTTGTATTTTGTGGGGTAATTTGTTATAAGTGTAATTTGATGTCAACAGATGGCGTAAGCTGTACCTTATGGCCACTGTTGACCAGCCAGTTGATAGTGTTCTCTTCTGCCGACAGATGGCATCAGCTGTATTATTATTATTTTAATAATATTATTACATTAATAATAATGTATTATTATTACTTTAAACACTGATCTATACGTCTGGTAGGTATAATATCATGCCCGAAACGCTTTGCGTAATAGTGACTTTAGGCATTGTATGTACTAGCTCTACCTATAAGTCAACCAATCCTTGTAAAAAATTATTGTATGTATGTACCTTACCTAAATAAAATTGTATTGTATTGTAATAAGGTTTTATACCATGCTGGTATTAGGTAACTAGAATTCTGCAATTACTTTTTTTTATCTACTGTTGAGGATATGTAAGACAAATGTAAGGTTTTGAGGCTAAGTAACGAGGATAGTTACAAGATACGAGCCAGATGGTGTTGAGATTGCAAAAGGGATTATGATAAGAACTTAAGCCAAAAAATCAATGTATAAATGTTCGCATGTTTGAGTCTGGGATTTATATCTCGAAAAGTTAGTAATAAAATACGCTTTCTAGTTCTTTATTTTTACAATTAAGACCAGCTGGGATTCTGTCTAACGAAGCTGCAAGCTAAAAGTACACCGTTATCCTATAATGTTCATCTGTGGCTTGACCCTAAATACTCGTTTATTAAACGAATTTATTGTTAGAGTTCATTAGGAATCATCTTTGTTGAAGGCAGAGTTTCCAACAAATACCTTCCTGTGATTGGCTGTTACGGGGAATGCCAACGCTTATATGAATAAAATGCAAAATAAAAAATACGTCCTTTTGCTCAATAACCTTGTTGTTGTACAAAAGAACAACAATTTCTGTTTTATACATGACAGAAATTTCCATCTAACTGAATAATGTAGACCAATAAGAGGGCGGAGGCATTGTATCGCCGATATTATTTGTGTGAGGCAACCCCCACTGATGACGTCACAAGTTAGGTAGCCAGCCCATGTTTCTGTAACACCCGTTACATCCTGCAGTATTTAATTATCACTATATTAATACTTTTAAATACTTACATTTCACTTTTTAGGTAGATTAAAGTTGAAACAGAATGTCATAAGCAAGGATGGTGTGCTGAATAAAGATGATTTATTAAGTGGATGGAGACTTTAGCTGATCCCTTCCTGTGATTGGCTGTTGTGTGAATGTCAACAAAGAATATCTACCAATGATATGCCATTTATTATGCACCCCCATACCACTTGTGGGCGGAGCTTGGAACCTCCTACCCGAGCACAACAACCCGCCTTATGGGTTGCTGTTTGGCTATTTATAGTGCGTTGGAAAAAAAACAGATGGCGTTAGTTGTATTTTATGGGGTAATTTGTTATAAGTGTAATTTGATGCCAACAGATGGCGTAAGCTGTACCTTATGGCCACTGTTGACCAGCCAGTTGATAGTGTTCTCTTCTGCCAACAGATGGCATCAGCTGTATCATTATTACTTCCGAATTCCCTTTAAACACTGATCTACAAATCCCTTGGCTTATGATAAGGTTTTATTCCATTTACGATAAGTATTAGATAACTGGAGTTCTGCAATTACTTTTATTTATCATCTGTTGAGCATATCATCATATAATGTCTGGTTTGCTCTCGATTGATGAAGATTAAGCAATCCAAGAGGTGGCACGGGCATGAATAACCCGTAAATACTGCTCTCATAATATTATTCAGGGGGGTAGGGGAACTATCAAGTGAAAGCGTCAAGCCATTACGACTGTATAGCTCTCGGAAGGGATCAGGATACGGATTTGGGATGGAACGGGGGAAAGGAATGGTGCCCAACCTCTTGGGCGGTCGGGATTGAACGCGGACCTGTAGGAAACGAGACCGTCGCTCTACCGTCCAGCCCAAGTGGTTAAGCGTAATATTATTAAAACAACAATTTATGCATATAATAACAGTATTTCACACTAAAAATACTTGCATATATTGAAATTTGGAAGTGAATTCCAATCTAGGAATCTCTTATGACTTAACTGTACTTTTGAATCATTTTTATGTACTTACTACTTATTATTAAATTATTAAG